TTAATCAAATAGTTCAAAAGTCTAAAAGCATGATTTTAATGAAAATGAATTAGAATAATTAGGCTTTTGATATTTTTTATTCATTCGAACTATAAAAATTAATTTTTGGGGGTTATTCACATGCTTAGTTTAGTCCCAGCAATTCCCATAGGCTAACTAAGCGTGTGAATATCCTCAGCAACATTTCTTGCAAACCGACACTGCGAATAATTTATTACTTCATTCAAACTGATTCCGTACCTATTGATGAGAAATTTAGTTTAAATAATGTATCACCGGGAATTCTCTGCCCAGATATATTATCAAATAAATTATTATTTACGTGTTAAAAAAGTTATTCATTGTCAGTTTAAAATTAAGAACTTTATCTGTTTTGATTGAAATTTACATGTTTATAGTTTCTCACGTTGCTTAGTTAATAGTCTTGTAATAATTAATTTTCATTAAAAATGAAAAATGTATATATTCGTTAAAAACCTTGAAAAGGATTATTTCTTTTGCACAATATATAATCGTTAGAAGCCAGTTTTGTTTCCAATTGATAAAAATTTGTAAAAAAAAGTACAGTCACATTAATAATTAAGTTCATTCAACCATATTTAAATCGTTTTGCCCCTTGACATGAACAATTTCTACTGAATTTTCATTCCAATTTGATACATGTCTTACCTTAGAAAAATATTAATATTTTTTATTCATTATGAAGCAACGAGAAGAATAAAAAAGCACTGATTAACTCAAATTTTCAAAAATCGCGAAAATCGTTAATATATTTCAGCACATGTACTTCTTCTGAATAGGCACCCGGATTAGAGAGAAGGAAAAGAGACTGAGCGTGCAAAAGTGGTTTCGCAAATTAAAGAGTGAAAGAGAAACGCATTAGCCGCGAATGGATATAAAAGAACGCAAGGATGAAATACAATTTTGAAGAAGGACGGACGGGTTGGCTCACGGCGGCTTCGGCATGGTGATGCGGCGCGGTGCGCAGGTTTTTGATGTTAAGACAGGGAGTTGGTCCGCAGGTGCGAGGATTGGGAGGAGAAAAGGGCTCATTGTAATTACCGAGTTGATGTGCCGATAGCCAGCGCTAAGATTACTAGACTAGCACTCCGACAATCTGTGGAGCAGCCTTCGGGCCGCGGCGGCTCGTACACTATCATTAGGCACTATTTGGACACACCGGCGTTTCGACTGTTGGTTCTTGCTTGAAAAACAAGCCGCCGGCGCTCGCTCTGTAGCTCGAGCCGCCTTTTCACGTATCCACGGAAAACCAAGAGGTGGAATGCGATGCCGGATTATCATAATTCCTTCACAAATATGCCAGCGCGGTGCCAAAACTTCTAATCAAAATCAGTTTGGCCGCGTCAAATCAGAAATCAGAACGTCGCCAGCAGAATCAATTACTACACGCCATATTTGGGCAAAACCGGTGAAAAATACACCAATAAATTTTATTTTCCGTATTATTTTTGTATTGGACCTGAGAGGTGTAGTAGTTAATTCCTTTTCAATAGCATAATAACAAAAAAAAATTGTTTTTACTTATACTAAAAGAAACAAAATTGTAAAATATAAACTGAAAATCATTCAAGAAAAATGAAAATTATTTTATGCGAAAGAAATTAGAATTAAAATTAATTAATTAAATAAATTTATTTGTTAAAAAAATATAAAAATTATAAACTTTTTAATTGATCTACATGTAAAAAAATCAGATAATGAAAATATAATACAACATTTCCAAATTTATATTTTATTATAAATGTGTCACCAGGCATTCTCTGCCCAAAAACATGATCCATTAATTCAATAATTATACACTTATTTCCATTTTTTTTACAGATTTTTTCACGTTTTATGCGCATTTCTGCGTTTAGCAGGAAAAATTTTGAGTTTTGCTTTTCCGAAATTATGTTAATTCCAAACAACAACCACAAAATTATTTGAGCCTACTTCAGTAATTGTGGGGCAGTTGGTCTTGCTCCATATTATTTGGTCAGCAGTTAATGGCACGCTCTGCTGAAGTTTTCCTGATGTGTGAGAGAAAGGAGTGTGTGGTGTGACATGCAACGCGTTGGAAGCCACGGGGCAGCGTGCGATCAAAGTTTTTAGCCTGTCAAGAAATCTGACGGAATTGGATGTGAAAAGCAAACGTCCTCGAGCGTAACTTTGTCAGTGAACTTTTAATTCCATAATTGCGCGACGCTGGCGCCTGAAGTGCTGCTGCCACTTATTAGATAGAATTTTAACACCTGCAGCTCTTATAATTCCTATAAAATCTATGGAAATCAATAAAAATTTATTGGTTTTTAACGCATGAGTTCATTCACAAATTGCATTTATTGAATTAAAAAAAAATGTATTACGTGGCTTGTTGGATTATACTTTCAGAAATTGTATGAGTGGTGAATGCATGCAAGTGGATTAAAAAGTTTTCTTTGCAACTCAGCCCGGAGCGAAATAACTTTCCAGACGTGCTCAGCAGAAACCATTTTCTTTGCCTTCGTCTAAAACAAATTGCGTTTGACTCGCAGGTGTGAAATATTCAAATAGTTGTTTGAACTGCGTGAATTATCGTTTTTCTGTCCTCCACGTGGTCATTCATCAAATCGGCGCGGCTGAAAAAAAATGACCAGCACGACTGTTGTATACGAAAATGAGAAAAAAATGTGCCGCACATTCGACAAACAAAAAGACTATTTGTTAAAAGCTTTTCAAATTGCATTTCACGCTGTGTAGAGGCGAGAGAGCGCAAATTAAGCCGCCTTCTTCTTTCCACCTCCAATTATTAAATATTGTTGTTTGTGATTAAACACGGCAGTTGAGTGCTTGGGAAACATGATAGATCAGCAACAGCAGCCGCAATAAAATTATCCTCTGCTTTTTAACAAATTAAAATGCTTTAAATGCCGGCGAGATGTTAAAAGGTTAATTTATTTTTTAAAATGGAAAGCTGGCTGGAGACGATTTACGTGATTAGCTCTCAGCTGCTATAGTCAGATGTTTCGCGGCGCACGGATATTTTATTTTTCTCATTTTCTAATTACTCTCCGAAGAGCAAGCAACGATGACCGGCACTTTTATACTCTTTGATGAATTGCCGTGGCACTTTTGCAACGGAAGCCCCCGCAAAATTAATTTTGGACATACAGAGCTGAAAACTTTGAAAGAGAACAGAACAAGAGCAAGGATATTGATTTCTATTTTTATATTTAATCTCATACAAAGTATATTTATCCTAGTTTCTCCTGACATTTGTATAATATTTGATCTAATAAAAAAAAAAATCACATTTCTGAAACTGATTATATTGTTTTTAAAGATTCTGTTTTGTACAAAACACCATGTAATTCACTTAAAATAAAATTAATAAAATTTAAAAAAAAAACATATTTTGCTAAAAGCACAATAATTTGAAATACGGTTCCTGCATGGATTATTGTACAGCCGCTCCAGCTATTGTTCAAATCTAAAAATCGTAAGAAATCCGCATGTTCGCCTCCTAAAAATATATTTTTCTTATTTTAATATAAGAAAATTAAGTGACTTATCAAAGTAATTATTCTTTTAATCAAACAATCCACATTATAAATAATTTTTCTGCGAAAAGTAATACTAATCCTCTACAAGAGATATGAGCGAGATTAAGGGAGAATCAATGTTTTGATGTCTCCGATTAGCTTCAGCAAATTAAATTCAGATCATCAATCTCCACTGCTCGATTTATCATTTCCATTGAAAGAAAAAAAAACATGAGCAAACAGATGCCCCTGACGTTAATCTGAATGAAAATCTCTCAGCTCTCCGTCAAGTGTTAGTTTTCTTAATGTTAATGCTAATACCGATTTTGCAAAATCATCCAAGCGCGTATCGAATTTCTTATTCCCGGCAGACGCGGCAATTAATAATCCTCGGTTACACCATCCGTCTTATTTACAGGATGCAGCGGCGGTCAACGATTATCGGCAGCAAGCATCTGCTGGGCGAATCTAGAGTTTAATGAGAAACTGCCGAAAAATCGGCACCTGTCTTTATAGAAAAAGCGTCCCTCGGTGGTTAAGATTTCCTTAAAAAAAATCGCTTTGCATCTCATTACATGAGTCTGGTGCATAAATTTATTCGTCGGTGAGAGGCGCTTATTAATTCTAATGGCTGAATTTTTGAATTATGCGATAAATATGTATTTTCGGTGGTGCCGCCGTAGTCACGTTAATTGGCGTGTAACGTTTCACAAAATTTCAGAGAGGATGCAAATTAGAAAGCATTGTTTTAAAATTTCCAAACGCGGCGGCGGCGGCAGCGATTAATTAAAATATCCAAAGCCGTCAATTAATTATTATTCCGTAATTAGTGGGTATAGAGTAGTGCAATCAGCGCGCAGGAACGAACAGTTTTTAATTTGGTCTTTTAGAGCGGCTTAATAATCGCCCCGTGTGTAATAATGACGTTGGGCCAATGAGAGATAATATGCGCGCTGCTCTAATACTCGAGAGAAGAGATTTCTGCCAGATAATCGTGTAAATGTGAACCGAAAACTGTGAGAAATTGCGCTTTATATGTTTATTACAATTAAAGAAGCTGAGGCGAGCTATTAAAGTTTATATTTCATCATCATGAGTCCTTTTTAATTTCTGCTCCTGCAATAAAATAAATTAAAAGCTGCGAGGAAAGAGCAACCTCCTTCCATTCTGAATGCTCCATCTGTTAAACAAAGGTTCAACTAAAGCTGCTAATCGGTGTTTTTAATACATAATTATACAAAATATTTACTTATTTTAATATTTATTTATGCTTTTTATTTCACTTTATTTATTTAAAAAATTTGTGATTTCATTTAATTTATATAATTAAAGTTTTTATTTGTTGATATTCAACATAAATAGGTATGAAAAAATTATTTTGAAAAACATAACTATTTTACCCAGTAGAGATTATATATCTTTCAATATCAAAATTGAAAATTGTTCAGGTAATATTTGGAAGAAAATCAGATATTTCCAGTTTTTAAATAGATTTTTATTGCGGTGACCAGGCGCTTGGCAATAACATTTTTCATCAATGTACAAAACTAATACTTTTACTAATCTCATAAAATTTTGACAAATTACATCTACCTTCATACAAACGTCTTAAATAAATAGATTCTCCTAATATCTCTTATCTCAAAATGGGAGAGTTTGCTACAAAGAGCAATATTTATTTTTGTGCTATTATTCATTTCTGCTGCTCACAAGAATTCTCTTGCATTGTTTATCAACGATGCTATCAAAACGAAGTGTCAGTTATTATCACTTTTATTCCCCGCACATTAGACTTTGCAAAAAAGATTACGAGAAACGCACGTAAAACATAAAAACAATGATGTTCCTATTGATAAGTAAACAGTGCTTGAGACTTTCGGCTAATACGAAAAAGCATCTCTTCTATCTAAATATTTGCGCTAAACACACCATGTATACACATTTATATAACAAACAAAATAGGCCTTTATCAGTTATTGCGACGCTGATTACAACTGAAGAACTGAAAGGCAAAAAAGTTTGTAGTAAAACAGATTTGATAAAATACTTTACGCCACTGTTTGAAATTAGAGAATTGAGAGCACTTTTAGTAATTTTTGAAGACATTCTTTGGTTGCTATTGTTTAATTGTGAAAAATAAAGTTACATTACAGAAATTAAACATTTTAAAAATATTAAAGCTTCCTATGATAATTCGCCTACATCAATAATTAATTGTTCACCAACTTTAAATTTCAATTTGTTGATTCCAAATAAAATTTGATGGCTTCAAAAATAAACAATAAATTAACAATTTTCTCAAACCCACCCTATATATTAAACAAATGTTTGGCCATAGAGAAGGTGGCGATTATTTTCTTTTTCGATTGTTTGGAATCGGTTTTCACAGCAAGCAACAGGAGATCACAAGCGAGAATTACTTGAGTTTTTAAATTGTCATTGTAACAACTTCACCTATAGCCGACGCGCAGTCAGGTCACGTCCGTCACCAAACACCTGTTGTTGCTGTTGGGGCTGCCGAGCGAGACGTCCGAAGATGCCGAAGACAATTCCTCGTCTTCGGCCTCCGTCCTCTGCAGTGGTGGCAGAGGCGGGGGCGGCCTGTAGGGCAGCAGACCGTGGGCCATCAGGTGAGGCGGAAAGGGCAGGGGCTGCGGTTTGAGGGGCAATTGCTGGGGGCCGCCCGAAAAGGCGGCGGCCGCGGCCGCTGCTGCGGCCATGAAGGCAGGGTGGAAGGCGAGCAGCGGGGGCAGGAACTGCTGGGGGCAGAAGAAGGCTGGGGGCAGCATGGGTTGCGGGACGGCTACTGGAGGCGGCGCCGGGGGTGGCGATGAGTCGGACATGATGTTTTCTATGCTGAAATTGTTGCCCTTCCAGGAGGTGGCGGGGGTGGCCTTGGGGGCGGGTGGCGGCGCCACCGGCGGCGCCTCCTTGGGTTTCAGTTTGAAGCGTTTTCGGCGGCGCAGAAAACTGCCGTTTTCGAACATGTCCAGGGCGGAGGGGTGGAGGGCCCAGTAGGCACCCTTGCCAGGTCTGTCCGGCCGCCGCGGGATCTTGATGAAGCAGTCGTTGAAGGAGAGGTTGTGGCGCAGCGAGTTCTGCCAGCGCTGCGTGTTCTTACGGTAGTACGGGAAGCGCTCCATGATGAAGCGGTAGATGTCGGACAGCGGCAGCATCTTCTCGGGCGAACTCCAGATGGCCATGGCCGTCAGCGAGATGTACGAGTAGGGCGGCTTCTGGTCGCCGTACGACTCTCGGCTCGGACGCGGCATCGCCGAAATCAATCATGGGGCGGCCGACTCACCTGTCCGTCTGTCACACCGACCGCCGCGCGACACACACAGTACATACTCGGCTCTCGCGGCGGCGGCTCGCTTAGATCTTCTCCCACCCTCGAGAGCCACGCGCGTTCCTCAGGGGCTGAGCCTCTCGCCGGCTGGACCCCACCACCTTTATCTCGCCGCCGCGCACTTTGAGTCGCAGCGCCTCGAAGTAATATTACTCAGACTCGCTCAGGGTGCCTTCGCCATTTTTGCAGGTCGAAGCAGGCATTCTGAAATTTAACATTTATTAATTCAAGTGCATAAATTATATTAAAAATTTAAACATGAAAAAAATTAATAAAATACGAAGTCATTAATTTTGCTTGGTTATGATTTTTAAATTATTTTTGCAATTTGTGTTATCACGCTATAAAAATTACAAGAAGTTCTAATTTAATTATACAAGCATTCTTTTATTGTTTTTTTTTTTTTAATCTAAACAAGCTAAAAAGTATATTATATTCTGAAATCTACTTCTTCCACTTGCATAACCAAACAATTTGAGGAGCTTTCCCAAATGAGAAATTTTGAAATAAATAAAGTTATAATTTTCCTTTTTCCAATGAAAAAAAGAATTACATTTCTTTGAAATATTTAACAATTGAGAATGATTCACGGTTATTAAAATTTTTAAATATGGTTTTTATTTTATTTGGCTTGCATTACTGATGGAGAAGCCACTTTTATTTATTTTTGTAATGTTTTTATTAAACGTTTCAAAGATGCCACTTGCCGTAATTTTGCATTAAAAAATTTGAAAAGTCTATCTATTTATGGTTTTTGTAAGCATTCTTTATTCGATGAAAATATTAAATAAATTTAATGTTCTTGCATTAATGTAAACAACACGAAAATAATATTAAATATATTTTATCAAAATATTACAAGCGTTACAATTTGCAAATTTTGTCATTTTTAGAAAATAAAATTAATTTTTCATGGGCAAAATTGCCTATTTCACAAAGAGTCTGTGACTGCAAAGTTTGATACAAAATTTATGAGAGACTAAATTTAAAATCAAATAATTTACTTCCCAAAGCGTAATTCTATGAATTACTGAACTAAGCAGTGACAGAAAACGCAGGAAAGTTGTGTGCAGGGTAAGTAAAATGAAATTTATCGCAATACTTGCGTTTCCGTTGGTTGCTCAATTTTTCACGTCGAAAACAGTGAATTCCGTTGGAAATGCTTCAAATGCTGCACTTATCATTTTTACAAAATCTCTCCTGTGCCCAGATTGTCTCAACTTTAGGTTATCGAAACCTCAGCTGCCTTTTTTCCATGGAAATGAATTTCAAATGGCAGAAGCTCGAAATTTATGTTGAGGAATAACCCATACCTACTGCTGTTGGTCCAGCACATAAATTAGAGCGAAGAGTGAAATATATTGGTGTCCGAAAGTCGTGTGTGTGTTTTCCCCCAACGCTTTCACAATGCACATAATTTTCCGTGTGTTGTGACAAGCGCCGCACGAGCAGCGTTTGTTTGCAAAAAGGAAATTGAAACCGACGGTCAAATCAAAAGGGACGCAAACACGCTGGTCGGCGGCACATTGAATTTCCACCGATGCGCTTTGAATCAAATCAAATTTCCGACCTAATATAAATGTTTTTTGTTCAGAATTTACCTAGAATTTTAAATCAGAATAGATTTTAGCTCTTAACAATTTCAAATACAATTTTATCTTTATTTTTATTCATTCAATATAAATTTGCCAATTTTTGCTGAACCGAGGCTAGCTGCGTCATCATTTGGACAAATTGACAGAGAGGACACGCATCAACTAGAAAAATAATTATCTGCACTTCCATCTGTGTCTGTTAAATAGTGATGGTGTTGTGGTGACATTGATTTATTTTGTGGCGTTTGGACAGCAGAGCGCTGCCGGCACAAAATCACAAATTCACACTCGACTGGACTAGTTAACTGGCTCTAATTCAGTTTTAATTGCGAGACAGTGTGTGATGTATAGTTATTATTTTCCAATCGAGCTTGTGCTGGGAAACGAGAGCGACGAAAAATATTGTCAATGATTGATTTTATTATGTGCCAAATGACGTGCGAATGTAATTAATAAAAATGAAAATTTGCTCCATCACGCCGCCGCACATTGCGAGCGATGTTTTTTCTAGCTGGGTGGTCTGTTCCGGTGTTTTCCAAAAGTATGCTCTTATATATATGTGCTTATTTATCTTGGTCACCATACAGGTCCTTGTAAATAACGCTGCTAAAAAAATTCTATTGCAAAGAGTCACAAATTTGCCACTTATAATAATTACAAATCCAGCTGGGACTTTTTTAACTTGAAGCAGCAGGGTGAAAAAAATAAGATGTTAAGGAATTTGATGCTGTTCCTTTTTTAAAGGTGAAAGATCCAGATCTACGAAATTTCCTCTTTAATTCGCCACGCTTAGGCTCCAATAAGGTTGGAAGGCGTGTTCTCCAAAGGCACCATTTAAGGTGCTCCTCCCCGTCATCTCTCGCAGGTTAGAGTCTGCGATCGTTGGACTTTTCACTTCAGTATAATATTTAAATAAGATAATTAAAAAAATAATAATAATAATTTAACATGTATAACTATTGAATTTTTCGATCAAGTTTTATAAAATTCAATAAAATTAAATATTTAGATTTACTGATGTAATTCTTAATTGAGCACATATTAATGTTTTTTAGTTTCAAATTAAATGATTGGTTTTACAAAATTGTATATTGAAAAAAAATTGTTTTTATTTTTAGCTGCAAAAATAAATTCTGATAATTTTATAGGTATAGTACATTAGTGCACTTCTTTTCTGTTGGAAGTTTTGAATCAAATTTAAATTAGCACAGTTGTTTTTAACCATTTTTTGCCGTTTTTTTTTTTGTATGAGCAATTGAAAAGTTTTTTAAACCCGCTCTAATTAAATTATTACTCCCACCTGCTTTCTGAAAACTGTACCTACATAGTGAATAATTGCGCACCTTTACAATTTATTGAGTGTATATAATTACACGGTATACATGTACAATCGACACAAAGTGCGCAAAAAGTGTTCTTTTTTTGCACAAAGCCGCGTGGAATTTGACGAGAAATGTGGAGCTCGTCGCACACATAAATTGCGGCGAAAATGCAGAGCGCCGGGAAATTATCGTCGGTTCGGCAGCGACTCATTTAACGCAGAAATTAGTACCTTCAAAAATTGATAATCATAGCTGATAGGATAAAAGTTATAATTTGGTAAATTAGCATGGAAAACTTACGCGCAGCAGCCACTCTCTCGCATACATCATATTTTAACAGCGCGCGCACCAGTGAAAAAAACATAAATATTAGGGACGTGTTTTATTATGCGGCGGATGGAAATTCAAATGCTAATAAGAAGCTCTGAGGTAGGTCCCCCGCCGAATATGCACGAGAGCGTGCGCTCCTTTATATTTTTATCTGGCTAATCCATCTTCTCATATAACATAATATTTAACAAATTTTATATAACAATTTTCAACACAATATACAATATGCTTTATGCATGAGAAATGCGCGTTTTCCGCGGCCATCAGTTTTCAAGAAAAAATCATTAGCATAATTTATCAATTTACATGAATTTAATGAGAGCGCGACGCAGACACTCACAAATTAATATTAAACAACAGCCAAAGGGTGTCCCTCATTTAAATGAACAGAATTTTTAAAGAAAAACTTCCCTGAAATCCGGTCGAACATTGAAGCAAAAAAAAAGTGATGAAGACGTTGACAAATTAATCCATGTCTGTGAGATAAAGATCTCGTTTGGCGGTGTGAGAGAGAGTCCGTGTTTTTCTCTCTCGCCGCCGATTATTAATGTGGCCAAATTGCTCATTTCCTTGCTGGGTTTGAATTATATTTTACAATCGTGTGTCTACGCATGATACAAGTTCAGATATACATTTAGAATTTTATATTGTTATCATGTAAAAGTGCGGCGGAGCAACTTCATTACGCACAACAATGCCTTTGCAAATAATGCCTTTGGTTCATTCCGAGACGCTCTGCCCGTCGGCACAGTGGCGCGGCTTTAATTATTGTACGCCGCGGAAATCCATCAAAATTTGTCTCTGTCGAGCTAATTGGCTTGTTGGATTTGATAATGATATTTTATACCATTCCCGTCCATTATATTAAGTTTCAATTTTAGAAAAATTATGTAGGCTCCAATTAAGTTTGTGTTTGCTCCAATTAAGTTTGTGTTTTTTGTGAATTTCTACATAATTTTATGACCATATCTGCTTCAATCATGCATGTTGTGGACGCGCTCAAAATCATTGTATTCCAGCCTGCCGCCTGCCTGACACGTTACTTCTCTTTGATTTGCACAAATCACGGTCCAGAAAAACTGTGAAGGTTTCATTTTTGCAAACTTTTGCCTTCTTTGATATTCAATCTGTAAAATTTTGAGAGGAAAATGATTTAAAAGCCTTCAAACTTCAAAGGCTTTTATCAGAAGAGGCAAAATATTTTGCTTGCATTTTAATAACAAAACGCGTCTCGGAACGTAATTCCAAGTAAGCCGATTAGTCAAAAGTTACTAATTTAAAAAAAAATATATATTCAAGAACTTATAAATTAAGTTTCTAAAGACTAGTTAGCGTGCATTCAAATCGTTTTAAAATGTCCCTTTTTTATCTCAAATGAATTTCATTTTAAATCATCCTGAAATATATGTTCCAACTTTTAAATTATTCATCTTGGTCTTAAAAGAAAGGGTTGTTTATAAATCGTCTGGCTTCATAATTTGAGTATCAAGTCACGCCACTGCGAATTTGGCTCGGAGGGCGTCTCCTGCTGATCTAATTTTTGTGCTCGGATAATTACGAACATGGCGACCACCACTCTGAAATCAAATAATTACATTTGGCTCTAATTGCAGCTCAAGTTTATTAGACACACAACAGCATACAATGAAAAACGCGCGGCTCCAAACACAAAACTCGCGGGCGCATGTACAAACACGCGAATTTCATTATTCATTGCGGCACATAGTCGACGGAGCGCCGCCATTGTGCTCTCTCTGAAATTGGCTTTGCGCAACAAAAGCCGCTGCGGCGATATCAAAGACTTTTACTGCAGAGACAATAACAATAATCAGCATATTATGTATTGTCTCATCATTGCAACAAACAGCTTTTAAGCCTTACTTAATACACACCTCAAGACTTTCTAGATAACTTCTGGAAGGGCAAAATTTTACAATTTTCTCTGTAATGGAAATGATTCTGCAAGCATGTATATTTTCCAATAAATTTTGTACACAAGACGCATTTTATGCGTTTTTATTATTGTCTTATATAATCACTTTTTGTCGTTTATTATACAGAGCACAAGTTAAAAGCTGGCTGGCTTTATCAATGAGAAGCTTTTTCAACAATAATTGTATGGCCTCACAAATCGACGGCGCATTACAAGACAAAGATTGATGGAGTAGATCGCAATTGAGAATTGTTCAAAGATAAATAATTATTACTCAAGAGTACAAAACAAACAATAAGGTTTGAGTCAACATAGAATTCCACTTATTAATTATCTCACTGAAGAGTCAAGTGGATAAAAATCAAACAATTGACAACAGAAAGAAGATAAACCAACAAGAAGTACAAACAATAACTTTTGACAAATAATCTAATACTAAAAGTAGCACACAATCACATATTTATCTTTGTTTCATTTGATAAAAAAGTTTAAAGTCAAAGTGTAAACAAAAAATAACGCACACCGCCAGTGCAAAAATTGTACCTCAAAAATATTTTTACACAAAACAAGAAGAAGTGTGGAACACAATTCGTCGCCAACAAGAATCGATTAAAATGCATTCCTCAATGAAACATATAATTGTAAAAGTATTATGATTCCCAAAGTTTCTCTTATTAACAAAAGTGTGTATAAATGATGTAAGTTGCGATTAAGAGGTTATTATAATGCATTAAGAACTACCAATTAATTAATTTGTACAGTATGTTTCACATTGAAACACAATCGTGAGAACAAAGTGATCCATAGAATTTTGAACAACAAGCCTAATATAAATATACTGCTAAGTTAAGAAAATTCTCAAAGAAAAGCCGGTGTGTGATGTTTTTTTAGCAGTGTCATTGGCTTTCTATTGTACTTAATCGTGAATAACAATGACAATTTGAAATTGTTCACGGCCGGCATCACAGATTTCCACCGAAAGCGTGCATCAGCAATCAAACTATTATATAAAACAAGTTTCAAATGTGAGGGCTCTTCAAAAGTGGCTCATATAATTCTGGAATGAAAAATTGTATAATTTAAAAAAACAAATCAGAGAAAGTATCATATGACTTTGCTGTCTTTGTAGAAATATCAAACGTTTTTCCAATGCAATAAAAATACATGTATTTCAAAAGTAGTTGTTGTTTTAAAAAATTAAATAATTCATGAAAGACTTTGGTTTTAAAATCGAAAATCGTTAATTGAAACTTTTCTATTCTTATCGTTTTGAAAGCCCTGGAAAGGAATAGGCGATGCAAAGGCCAATAGGAAAAAATGTTCCTTTGTGAGATAATCTTGATTATTGCTGAAAACCACATCAGACAAAAGAGCCGCCCGCCTCCGACCATTATACTTTAATTTACTTTACGATTCCTGTGTGTTGTGAGTGTGACACTATTAGACAACAAAACAAAAAATAATCCTCGCACCACCGCCGCCGCTTTTAAACAACAATGATAATAATATCGCGCGCGGGAGGTGTAATTGAAATTCCCGAGCGAGGCTTGTCATTTAGCCTCGCCGCGCGCAACCTGAAAAATGCAGTGCATTATAGTTTATTCAGGCAGATGGGCCACCACAAAATGACTCCTTAATTCACACCGTCGGCGGCTCCGCAAAGCAAAAGCTGCCCGCATTGACCCGCGCGAGCGAGAGAGGATAAACGATTATAAATGTTGGCCTTTATATTCCACGCCGTGCAGAGAAAATACATGGTGAGATACAGGCGCTGCGTGTTTTCTTTAATCTGTGCTGAGCGAACAGGCCGACGTGATGGAACGCGCGCGCCTCGATGCTTTCCGCGTTTTCCTCCAAATACCTTTGCCCTCCGTCAAACCTCTGTTGAGGATTTTCACAAAATTCCCAAATTTACTTGTCGTAGGGTGGCATGTTGTTTTCCTCGCTGGCAAAAAGACTGTCAGGACAGCAGACTCCTGCAAAGCTGAAAAACAAAATTTCCCCTTTTTTTTAAATGTGCTTTACAAAATAAAAAATAAAAAAATAAAAGTGTTTTATCATTAATAAGTTTTTTCTTCATATTCTTTTTACAATTTTAAATCCAATTTCCTGAATTTTATAAAGTATGCAACCACCTGAGCTCTTTTGTAAAGCAAATTGCCTAACTTGGTAATTGTAAGATTCCTACTTACTGATTAATGGAGCAGAAGAAGCGAAGGAATTCGTAGAAGTCGTCTTTTAGTTCCGAAATGGAGCAAAAATGCAAATGCCTGCAGTGGCTCGGCTCTTTCAGTGGAGACAAGCATGGCGAGTAAGCTTCATTAGACTAAAATTTAAAAAAAGGGGGGGTTGACAATTTAATATTTTAGTTTCAATATTTTTAATATACCACCTCATTTAATCCAAGCGAAAAAAGTTGATTTTCCCCTCCTCGTCCTTTTGGCAGAACTAAATATCTGGGTCCATAGCGAACGTCCTTCAACCAGGACAGAGACTCCAAATCGACAAGACTGTACTTTTGCTCTTTACAACCAGATTTAAAAATCAGCAATTTGAAGCACAGAATTTTTGTTTATTAATACCGATGCTTTTGTCCTCTTCAAAGTCAACGTCGTCGACCTCCTCTTTGTCCCCTACCGAGTTGTTCGGCTCGTGAATTTGATTGCGCCCGAAATTTTCCGAGCTCTGCTGCTGCGAGGAAGCAGGCACATGGTGTGTCACTTTTCGTTCTCCGCACGGGATGAATGCTTGTTGCAAAGGGAACCAGTACTCGCCCTCACCGCCCTCGGAACACACGTCTGTGTTTCCAGCGTTTTCGTCGCCCATAATGTTGCCCACTTCCTGGCTCGCAGGCAGCTGGATTCGCAAAATTGAAGTCGCCACTGCAATCAAAACTATATTTAGATTAAATATTAATTTCACTAAAACTTTAAGTTGTGAAATCTTTACTCTTCTCACAAATAATTGCAAATAATATATATTTTATTCTAGTTAAATATTTAATTTTATTAAAAAACAAAATATATTATTTTTGTTATCAGTTATCATAAAATCAAGTTATATTTTGGATTCCAAGTGGAAATATCTTTTAACATTAACTAAATTAATATTCAGCTAATTAATTTTCAAATTTGTTACCATCATCATGATCGCCCTCAAAGTGCGGTTGCAAAGTCGTCGTAGCCGTCACAAATGAAAACTAAAATTATTCAAAAAATTAAATGCCTAATTTTAATCTTTCCATATTTTTCAAAATAATTCACCTCCAACGCTATTTGTGTCGCTTCGTCGCGCGAATCTCGAGCCGCAGACCCCAGCAAAAGTTGATATACTGTTAAATAGGCCCACATGTGTGACAAGTTGGGGTTGAATTTTGTATTTGGATAAAACTCAATTTCCGAGTCTGGTAGATGCACCGTGGACACTTCTCCGGTCGCTTGCGCACCTTTCACTTCACCCCAAAAGTCGCCGTCACCGCTTTCATCCCGTGCTTCTTGTTCGCCGCTCTTTTCCGCGTCGTCAGCCGAAAGTTTTCCAGCCACTACGATTTCCGACCCCAGAAAAGCGGCCGCAAATTTGTGTTGCGTGACCCACTCTGAATCCACCTAAAAATTTAATTACCACCTAATTGTTGAAAAAAAATTGCTAAGTTTACCATGTTTTCTGGATATTGGAAAATGCAATCAGCCTGAACTGGCGCGGCTAGTTCAGCGTAAACTTCCTGAAGCTGGATAGCCGCGTCCTCCGCGTCGTAGATTCTGCGTGCAGTTCCAAAATTTTCAGCGGAGAGCCTTCTCAAAAAGTAAATGTTCGCCTCTTCTCCAAAAGCCAGACTGTATATTGGAACATGTTTTACAGTCACGTCTTATAAAAATAAAATAATTTATTTCAATCAATTATTCAAAAAAGTTTAAACTAATTTACTGCAAGGTGGGTCGTCTGCGGTTTCTTGGTAGTGACTTGGCGTGCACTTTTCCTTTCGATTCGCTTCTCTGGCCAGTTTCAAAATGTAACTTGTCTTGGTCTCGCCAACTGTGGAATCGCCGTCCGTCAAGAAAACGACCAACGCGAGTGGAACGTCAGTCGAGTGCGCTATTTCGATTGCCTTCAAAAGCGCTTTTTGTATGTTGGTGCCTGTTATTTTTATTTTATTAGTTTACTTGTATAATTTTATTGAGAAAAAAAAATACCTCCGGAGGCTTTCATGCGGTTGATATATCTTTTCGCTTTTGCTATGTAGTGCGGTTTTGCTGGGATGACGCGGCCGGCGCCTTCCAAGTCATCGGGCTGCTTTTGAAAAGGTCTTTTGGGTCTAGTGCTGTCGGTGACGGGTGTTTCTCGATTATTTGAGTAACCATAATTAATGCTCTGCCCAAATTGCCTGGGACGACGACTTCCTTTGGGTCGTTTTTTCTCTTTGCTGTAAGGTCTCCAAACCTTAAAGATTAAGATTCTGAAATTCTGTAACAATTTACATAAATTTTAATACCGATTTGAAACTGTTAAATTGAATAATGGAGAAAAAGTCATCGTTCTTAAGCTCGTCCAAAATCGATGCCATGGCCAATTTTAGTTGTGCAATGCGTCTTCCAGCCATTGAGCTGCTCAGGTCAAGGACGAAAACCACGTGCTTGGGTAAAACGCTCAGGGCAGTCGGTGCGTAGTGGTGTGCAAAAAATCCATCTTTAATCTGTTTGATTTTATTTTTTTGGATAATTAATTTTTATTTCAAATAATATATTTACAGTAATTTCGCCGTCTTTCTGCCTGACTAATTCAAATTGAACGACAAGCTGCCCTAAAATGCCGTTTTCACTGTTGGACAGCCACATCTTCGAATTGGCGAATTGCGCCTGCTGCTTCCTACTGGGCGAGAAAATAATGTGCGCCTCACGGTTTGACGGTCTTATTATTTTAGCCAGAGGAAATTCTATGATTTAGGATATTATAGAATGATAATAATTTAAAATTTTTGAATTTAAAATTTTACCGCTCTGCCCTTCCAAAGGATCAATCTCCTTTCCGGATCTTAGCCCGAGCACACGCAAAACAGACAAATCTCTGGACTCGTGAATAAACGCATCGACTCTTAATTCTGGTACTATCTGTGGTTTTATTTAAATTATAATTATTTAGTGGAATGCTATCTTTTTATTACTAAAATGATCTTAAAATTAAGTACCTGTCCCGGATGCAAATTGAGCACTACCTCATAGATTCCTAATTTTCTTGTAATGAGCTGCTCATATGAAATATAAAGAACGGCCTCTTCTTTTGCGCGCAATGAAAGACCAATTTTTACCAGTTTCGATTCTCTTGGAATTCTAAAAAATTTATATTTAATTTAAAAATTATATATATTGAATATATTTTAATGTAAAGTAGCTAACTCAAAAGGTTCTAATGTTTCGTCTTCGTCGTCCTCGTATTCCATCACATTTTCACTTTTGCGCTCAACAACTTTGGTTTCAATAACCTTTTCACCAATTTCCCTGCAGAAACAAAAACGCGCGGATCAATAGTTTATCTCTCTCATTTAAGCTCCATATTTACGCCAGAACTCCAGAGAGAAATGCAGCTTCAGGAATAACCACGTTCAATGCGCACTCCAAAGTGCGCCAGCTGCGCTCAGGGTTGGCCACCTGGATGCGCAGCATGGACGTTGAGTACCTGAGGTGGATGTCGCTTCGCAGGGTGTAGCTCTGCACCTCGCATTGCGGTCCTTGCTCGGGCTCGAGCGGCCGCTGGGCTGGTCGCACTCTAATCGCCTCAGTCACCGGCCACACGACGGACGAGACCAGCAGCAGCAAAAACGCCGCTTTGTTCGAAAAAATCTGCAAAGCGGAGTCCTCCATGGTCAGGTTAAAGGGCGAGTCCGCTCTGTGACATCAAGACACGGCGATTTTAAGTGGGAGTGTCCTGGACTATCAGCGAGAATTCCTATTCCGAGTCACAAATAAACAGAGCAGACCAAAAAATTTGGCACCCTGCCACAACCCAGTTCTATAACCCATTGATAAAAAATGCGCCCTAAACATAACAATTGCTGCGAGCAAAAATGAAAACGTTTGGTCTGAAAAATGCTATAATTTTGTACTTGGGACTCACTGCCTTTATTTCCTTTTTATTATCACTTACATAACCCTTTTTAAGGTTTACAGCGATCAGTTATTTATAAAAATAAAAAATGTGTTCAAGAAAAGTAGATCATTGTTCGTCGGCGGTGGGGTACACTGACTCAGTGTTAACCAAAAGCTCCCTGTGAAGGTTTCTCGGTGTAAAGAGCAGTGGGTGCGCCTGCCCTTTGTTCTCTGGACGGGGCGCAGGTGTGATCTTGGGCTCAAGGTTCTTAGGGAAATTCTTGCCATCAATTAGAGGGTAGCTAGTAAAGTTGCAGATTCGCTTTCCATCAACAAAGTTATACGAGTGGAAGCAATGTTCACAAAAGAAAGCAGGATCATGAGGCACAAACTCGTTGCCGACAGTCACCCAACTGGAATAAAACGTGAAATTTTCAATTTTAACCAAGTTAAAATTTTGGCACACTTACGTGGCATTGAAGTAGCCACACATGATGCAAAGTTTTTGGGTTGCTTGGCCAAATGGAATCTTTCTCATTGGGTAGTATTTAGAGTTCAAGTTGTCAGGCCTGTTCAGCAGTCTACAAGTATGGAAAAATAATGAAGTTTAATTTATTCAATTCTTTTCCGTGATAATACTTGGCATTGAGGAAGGTAATGATATGCTCACAAGCACCGAGATGCTTGTAAAGATAAGGGTAACCCATTTTCAGCTTTAGCTCTCTGAATGTGACATTTTCCATTGAATCCACTTTAAAGTCAGTTGGAGGAAAATTAGGATTCATTGCAGCCCATTCTCGAATAACTTTGCTGTAGTCAAGGTTAGTCGTCTTCCTGGTATCATTGTAAAATGTGTTCTCGATGAAAAAGAAGCCAGAGGGAAACAGGTTCTGTTAATGTGTGAGTTAATTAACGTAAATTTAAGACATTTTCAATCAAACCTTTGCATAAAGCATATCAATCCTCGAGGGTTCGTCAGTTTTGTCTCCACAGGTTGAGAAGTCGTTGGGACAGCAAATGACGTCTTTCAGGACACTCAAATTCTGACTGGACAGAACCAACACGTCCTCTTGGGTGGACAGCTTTAAACTGTTTTTAGTCATTTTCAATTTAGAATTTATTTCTTGAAAGTCACATTACTTACGACTTCTTAACCTTCGGCTCATTCTTGAAAGGCTTGTGAACCCTGATATGGATGATGTAGTCACCAAAGGGGTTCAAGTCTAGATCAGTTTGCTTGCTCTGAGGATTACTCTTGATCTGTACATACCAAAATAGTTTCAATTAAATAAAGGAAAATTTAAATAAAAAAAAAAAAATAAAAAATACCCAAAGTTTTTCATGGTACTGGATTGTGTAGTACTTTTCCTTCACATGGCTGTTGGCCCATTTAAGAGACTTAAGTGAGTCAATGTCCTCTTGCATTGGTCTTTGGAAGACCTCTAGAATGTTAATATGTGTTTTGAGTATCCAAATATGTAAAAATAAATTATAGAGTTTATTATACTTGGCTGTGCAGCTCCTTGGATATCAATTTTAAACGTTGGGATTTCTCCGTCAACGTCTAGCATAGAAGGTCTGAAATGTGCAGATGATTTAAAAATCTAATTATATTTAATTAATTTTATGCGCTTTTACTGCATGTTTTTCTCTATTTGCTGAACATTGAATTCCAGTCCTGGACCTATCATGCCATGGATTTCCGAAAGCTTCTTTGGTCTGCTTTCATAAGGCAACTTGAGGCCAAAAGTGTTCAGAATTCCATTTGAGTATCCTATGAAATACTTGAACAAATCAACTGCTGTCGCACTGAAATCGTTCTCTTTTGCTAAAGAGGTGTTTGCAATCGCTTCATCACCCATGGCTCAGGCAAAAATTTTCTATCGTGTTTCGCACCACCTAGAATAATGAAGAGGAAATAAGAGAAAATCCTTAAAAAAATCTCATTATAATAAGTGCTCAAAATTATTCAAACAATAGGTTGATTATTAGAAAACGTCAAAATAATTTTCCAAAAATCTGTATCACCTTCATACGCAGTACGCACATGTGTCAATCTGCCAAAAATGTAAACAAAAAACAAACGAAAAAAGCCGGGCAACTTCCAAAGAGGTTCCGCCCACTTTTCATCCGCCGGCTGCCGCAGCCGCACAGCTATAAACTAATCGACCGGTAAAATTCGCATGTTTTTGCAATCTTGCTACTAAAGTAGTTCAAAATATAATATTAATAACTTGTGATTGTTGGTTGTATCGTGTAAGTAAACAGGTAAACTGCACAATAATGTATTCAACTGTGGTCTTTGCTCCATTATATAGCGTTTAAAAGCTAAGAAAAGTAGACTGTTTATGTATAACTTTCAGCCATGCACATTAAAAAATTTGCCCAGGGCTGAATGCATTATGCTATCGTCTATTAAATTATAATGAACTTTTATTTACTTATTAAATCACAATATTTTATGATACATAAAATTACAGATAAATATTTTAATGTATATGTATGATTTGAAATTTATTTCGTTACCCACCTAAAAATTATATGTAATATTCAAACTGCTTCTTTTCTAGCCTGATTGTGAGCGCTGTAAAATGGACCAGGCTGCGGTTCATCAACTTTGTGTGCAACTGATCGGCGCTGTGGAAGTGTCTCTGGATCCAAACGCCAGCATGGCAAAGAGACGAGAGGCATACGAGGCTTGCGAGCAGTTTAAAGAGACGTCTCCTCTGTGTGCACAATGCGGACAACTGCTGGCCCAGCTGCCAAATCCAGCCATCATTAGACACTTTGGTTTGCAGCTGATGGAGCACTGCATCAGACACCGATGGAACGTACTCTCGCTGGACGAGAAAGTGTTCATCAAGGTTTGCTGACTATCCTCTTTAAAAAAAAATACATATGTATGTAGCTTTATAACAAATTTGATTTCAGGAAAGCAGCATGGCCCTTATGCGTCAGGGGACCCTTCCAATGTTTGAAGAGCAGCCGCACATAAAGGATGGGATCTCAAGGCTGATTGTTGAGATGGTCAAAAGAGAGTGGCCGCAGCAGTGGCCCAGTTTCCTCATGGAGATGGACAAGTTGTGCAGTCTCGGGCCCACCCAAGCAGAGCTGGCTCTGTTGGTTTTCAGACGCTTGGCGGAGGATGTGGCTGTTTTGCAGGCAATTTTCAATCACCTCGTGAAAACCTTTAAATTTGACTCAATTTTTAACAGACCCTCGAATCAAACCAGAGAAGGAAGGACATACACCAAGCCTTGAATGCCAACATGGAGAGCATCTTTAGATTTTTCTTGCAAATCATTAACAAAAATTTAAAGCTCATTGGAAATGCGGAGAACAATAAAGTTCCCCTGAAACTCTGTGAGGTAAATTGTACTAAATGATATTTTATTTGAATTAATTGAAATTAAAATATTTAGGTTGTTTTAAAAACACTAAGCGCTTTTGTCGAATGGGTTTCGTCCTCAACGTTGGTATATGACGATGGGCAGCTTCTGCACTCATTGTGTGCATTATTGAAAGACTCTCAAAGCGAACCTGTGTTATATGCCGCAGCTGAATGTCTTGTCCAGGTTAGACACAATTTGAGTTTGAAGAATTCACCTGTTCAAAACAATTTTATTTCTAGATTTTAAACAGGAAAGGTTCCTGTGAAGAACGTCTGTTTGCCGTTCTTCTCCTACAAAGTCCACACACCATGGAGTGCATTTGCATGACTGCAGAAAGAGCCCTGAGCTGCCCACCGAATGAGCCATCGTACCTGTTCCTAAAACTTTTGACCCAGGTGGTCACTGGTCTTGGATCACAGATGCAGTATCTGCTGGCCAAAGATCCAAACTCGTCAGTGCCAGCTAACTTTGGCGTTTTCCTGGAGGTGCTCATGCTCCTCACCCAACACCCAAGCCAGGTCATTACCAAGGAGTGCAATTCCTTATGGGCCTCATTCTTCAAAAACGATCATTTATCAAAAAATCCCGAATTCATCAAGTATGCCAAGAGATGGATCGAACTAGCAGTGCCAAAGGTTTGGGATTTTCTACTTGTTTTTTTTTTTTTTTTTTTATGAACTACTCGTGACTAAATATAAATTTTTCAGTGCATGAAAATTGGTGTACCTGGACACATTGAATGTGCTTCGTCGGTTTACGCTACCATGGATTTTGACAGCGAAGAAGAATTTTTGACGTTTTTTCACCGATTCCGGGCCGACGTCCAAGAATGCTTGCACCAAGTCACCCTCATTCTGCCATTAGAAGCGTTTGAATGTGCCAGTAGGTGTTTGAGGACGGTTATGTCAAAAAATCCACCCACAGTGTGCACCATTCTGACACCTCTGGTGATTGAATGGGAAGCTGTAACCATAGTTTTGGACTCGGTACTCAACAAAATCTTGCACTGTGTAACGCGTCCCTCACCAGCTGCAGGACTCAACTTGATCAACGAGTGTCTGCAATACGAAAACAACGATCCTTTTATCATGTCTTTCCTGCTCTCGAGCATTTCTGCTCTGTTTGTGTTCCTCAGTATGGACCAATCTTGTGCTGCCATGTTGCCGCAAGTTCTGCAGAAGATTTTCTCCGCCCTGGTTTTCTCCCTTCCTGGACAGACCAAAGATCGGAGGACGAGAGCAGTGAAAAACGTTAGAAGACATGCCGCCTCGTTGATGGTCAAACTTGCTCAAAAGTACCCTTTACTTCTGCTTCCACTGTTTGACGAAATCAAAGTCACCTTCAACAACTTGGCCAAAGCGCCAGACCAACTCTCTCAACTGGAAATAGTCACACTGCAGGAGGCGCTAATTTTAGTGAGCAACCACTTCAACGACTACCAGCGTCAAACTATTTTCATCTCCGAAATTATGGAGCCGATCTCTTCTCTCTGGATCTCCTTAGGTCCTATCTTCAGCAACGTGGGCACGTTTATGTCGTATGTTGGCCTGGACAGACCACCCGTTGAACCCAGCACTGAAGACACCAACGGACAAAATCGCTCTCAGATTATGCGCTGCACCAAATTGCTGTTTGCAATTACTAGAAGATGTCTGTGGCCAACTGATCCCGAACTTCAATCGAAAGGTGGATTTATTGCTTACCAAACGCCTGCTGGGATTCCCGTGCAGAGAAATCCAGCAACGCCACACTTCTTGCCTCTTTTACCTCAGTTGCTGGCCCTTTGCAAGACTTTGAATGATCTCTGGAAACCAGAAGCTTTAGCTGCACTTTCTGAGGGCTACCGAAAGGCTCACGAAATGGTTGAGGTAATAAAAGAAATTAAAGGCTATTTTTATTTTTATAATATATTCTTTTATTATTTTTTTGGCAGGAGTCAAGGAGAAATGCTCTTGGAGCCAGCATGGCTTGGACCTTAGCAGAGTCCGTCGAACAAAAGCCTCAGTCTCCTCTTGAGCGAATGCAAAACTTTTTAACCACCCTGCACGAGCACTGCTACCTCATTCTCGGAGCCGCAGGGGTTTCTTTTGGCCACGACTTTTACAGCATTCCTATGCTAACTGAGAATTTGGTTTCAAGCGCATTTACAGACCTTGACCCTGTGCCCGATTACAGGCTGAGGTCCCTCATTCGTCCATTCTTGAAGTCATTCATCTCATCATGCCCTTCGAGCTACTATCAAATTCTGACTCCCGTTCTATCATCCATTTGCCCATACAGTAAGATTCGCTAAAAAATTTAACTTTCCTTAATTGATTCACATTTCTAGTGTTCCAAAGACTGACCAATAAGTGGCAGCACATTGCTAGCCTCTACGATAACGGAGAAATTGAAAACCCTGAAACCTGCGATGCTCAGGTATTAATAATATAGCGTAATATAGGTTGCATTTTTTTTTGATTTATCAATTTTTTTTTTTTTTTTAGTGCTGTGAGGCAGTTTTGGAGGACAATCTCAATAGACTGCTGACACGAGAGTACTTCGACCTGCTGAGGGCCGTGCTCATCGGGTCTAGTCCAGGCCTGGCAATTGTATCTGATGACATTATGGATGTTGCCATGGATAGTGGACCCATTAATGTGAAAAGTTCAGAAGTCATTAGTGATTTGGGCCGACAAATGCTTGCAACTGATATTATTTGCCAGTCGATGTTTGTCTGCATCTTAAGGTAAGAAAAAAATTGGTATCTACTTTTTTATTTGATATATTATGTTTGATTGCAAATTTTAGGTCTTTCTCCTGGTCTGACAACACGATTTCCCAGAGAGCTGTGCAACTAACCCTCCCTCTGGTGAAATTGTTGTTTTCTGAGAATAAGTTGTCTGACCAAGCCGCTTCTCACATAATTTGCTCCATTCTGCACGGTCTCGAGGTTCAGGGTGAACATGAAACCGCCAATATGGGATTCACTCACCTAGGCGCCTCCATTTACGACTTAATGCGGCAACGATATCCAGTTTTAAGAGAGGTAAAATAAAATTTGCACCACAATAATGGAATTCAAAATGAATTAATTAATATTCATTAGATTTTGTTGAGCATTCCTGGAACAAGCGTAGATGATGTTAATCGTCTAGACGAAAAGATCTTGAATGCTCCAAAAGTTGGCAAAAAAGAGAAAGTTGTCCGAGATGCTTTTCGTAAAATTTCAATGAAGGTAAATTGTTGCTTTCTTATTGTTCATAAGTCAACTGAACTCCATTCATAGATTACCAATGAAGGGACCAGTAAGCTCTTCAAAAAGAAAGTCAGCATAAAGGATCTACCTCCCATTGAGAGAAAAATGAAAGCTTCATCTGCTATGCTGGAAGGCAATGATGTTCAACACAATGCTTTGGATGTTTTATTTGGAGACTCTTAAATTACTTTAGATTTTTTTATTTTAACTACTTACACTCTTAATTAAAAAATTTCATATCAAGCATATATAAATATTTGTTTCATGGATCATAAATTAAACACCTGATTTTCTTATAAAACGTTTTAAACATTGTGCTGCTAATTATTTGTGTACGCAAAACAAGCTTACAAAAAAAAATTATTCTTGAGGGATTTATTCAGTAGCATCTTCTCTATCCACAGAGAAGGGAGTCTCAACAGTTTCAGCTCCGCAGTTCTTGATGACAACATCCTGCTCAGGGCGATCATTTCTGTTGGTCTTGGTGCTTTCAATCTTGCGAATAACGCTCTGAAACAAACACAGATTAACAAATTATAAAAATTTTATTACAGTCGCATGGTTGAATATGTGAAATAAGATAAGTAAATATGTGAGCCTCATTACCATGCCCTTGATAATTTTTCCAAAGACAACGTGACGTCCATCGAGCCAAGGGGTCTGCTTGACGGTGATGAAGAACTGAGATCCATTGGTGTCTTTACCAGCGTTGGCCATCGAGAGCCATCCAGCACCATAGTGCTTGAGCTTGAAGTTTTCATCCTCAAACCGTTCTCCGTAAATTGAGCGACCTACAAACCAAAAATAAAAATGGAATTAGTTAATCATACTTTTGGTGCATGTAAACAAACAAAAATTGATTTCTTACCTCCGGTTCCGTCTCCACGAGTAAAGTCTCCGCCCTGGATCATGAAGTCCTTAATGACTCTGTGGAACTTGCTGCCCTTGTAGCCCTCTCCAACATCCTTCTTTGCCAACTCGACAAAGTTTCTGACAGTCTTGGGAACGGTGCCTCCAAAAAGTCCGATTTCGACGCGACCAGCAGGGGAGCCGCCAATTTCAATGTCAAACCAGACCTGTGAAAAGCCAATTTAATTTGGTCTCGTCTCAGTAATATATTATATGCCATGAATTTTATTTGAATATTTTTAAATACCCAGAATAACAACCCAAAAGTTTGAAATATAATTCTTTTTTCCATACCTTATCAGTAACTTTGGGGCCGTTGTCTGCCTGCACGCAGGAAAACGCTACCAAAAAGCACACGGAGGCGAAAAGCTTCATGGCACCCGACTTCTGTGGCAAGAGCTCAGGGACTGACTCGCTAGGGTTCAGGGCAGATTAACGGCCTACCCTAGCAACAGCAGCTTTTGTGATGTGGAGAGGAAAAAGAAGGGAGATGCTAGATGCTATGCTGCTGCTAAGAGAGCTCGAAGGTCAACCACCGGCACCGCAAAGTTTTTGGTTAGTCGTGCGGAACACGTACCCTACAGCTATTGGTCATGTGACTCGGTGTCAATGGCTTCTGATTGGTCTAATTTTATCTGCAAAGGTTTGACAGCTCGTGGCGGCAGCAAAAATAGTACATAGAACCGCAGCTGCGGATGCTGACAGCTGAGGTGATTAGTAAATTTGTCGCGTAAGTGCACGCTCTGATAGGAGAGCTGCGTTTATTAGCCAATAAAAACATTTTAACACCCTAACATATTTGCGCCGCAATTCATTGTTAAGCCCAAAACAGCGGCTGTTTCCAGTGTTATAATTTTATTCTAAAAGAAATAAAGCTCCTTCCGGGAGACAAGACAAGCTATGATTGTGTCAATTATTTCAATTGAATGCGTAATATTAAAATTTATTGTTGTGAAATGCAATCGAATTGCAATCACTTTCACCTACACTATAGAAACCTCTTAAAGGAAACTCTTTTGTGATAAGTTATATATGTTTAAAATGTTTTGAAAGTTATTAATTAAAAATTTTAATTTCTGTTGCTGTTTAAGTTTTTTTAGATACAACTTATCTTACTATTTCATTTTGGTTGTAGAAATTAACCTAATAAAATAACTGTGCACACTTCAATCGCATTGTTAAATATTAATCTTTTATGTGAAATCAGCATTAAAATATTGCAAACAAGTTCAGCGGGCCTTCTGAAAAACCTAAAAATAACTTATTTATCTGTATCAATCTGTATGGTGACTGATTGTTTTTGTTCCTTTCAATGGTGAAGTTTGCGAGTGCGAAATTAATATTTTCAAGTAAATGTAAATTTGGATAAGCCAATGCATAAAACCAATGCTGACTTTTTAAAGCGATTTTTTTTTTTTAGCTACTTTATATTTTACTACTCACTATTTTGTTGGGGTTTACGTTTATAAAAATTGTGAAGCAAGAATTTAATTTACGGTGTAGTCCATAAAGTTTATTAACTGAAAAATGACATTAGATTTAAGTTGCTTGTTGAGGATGCAACCATTGCATCTTCAGAAATTTACAACTTCAGCTTCGTCCTTCTCCAGTGACGCCTCTTGGCGTTGTAACTGCAAAATAAAATCATAAATGTTAGTCAAATTTCCATATTAGTTAATGCATAAGATATTTTTATATTTTTTAATTTATAATCATATGTTATTTATAATTTGTAACAATAGAATTGAAAAAATGGAAATTCTCGTGTACGACTTTTTCAAGATATTGCTGTAAATTGTAAGGCCTTCCAAAGGGCCTCTGAAGTTCATTTACTATAATACGGCATAATTATTGAGGTTCTTTTCTTTAACCATCCATAAGTTAAAATTATTTTGAGCATGAGCATGAGCAAAGCGTAAAATCTAATAAATGACTTCCTAATGAATCAAATCGCAGGAAAATCATTAATCAAACATTCAACAAAGTCATCTGCAATAAACATTTGGTTTGTAATGATAAAAAGCCATTAATAATATATTATAATATAGCTGCTGTGGTTCATTTAAAAAAAAAAAAATTTCGAAATCCTCAACAACCTACTGAATCAAACAAAAAAAAGGTGCATGTTCGCATGTTCATAAATATTTATATAGAACGATGTTGCAAAAATATTTCCTCAAAAATAATTAGCAGGATTAATATCGCTGGAGTCGTATGACCGACAGTCAAAATTTATCACAAATAATTAATAAATTAAGGGTTTCATACCGAATGGTGTTGCCAGTTCTGAGACGAACCCATTGAGGAATGGGACGATTTTGCCGCAACTTCTTTCCAAGCTTTTGCTTGATCCTGAATGTCTTGAGAGCCGACTATAATAAAAAGTTGACACATTAGAATATGCATATTAACATGTGCGAAACAGATCGTGCGTAATTATGAAGATGATCGCGAAAAATAAGGATTTTCAAAAGAATATTACTAACCATGTTTCACGTCGACTACCAAACAAAAACACGAGAGGAATGTGACGTCACACTAGGCCGGGCCCACGCCCACAAGGGTACCAAGGAGCGAGGGAAAGAGGGAAATTTTGAATTTTACAACAAACTTCCTTGGATCATATCTTATCATACAGCCAATCAGCGATCGGTTAGTAGAAGGTTTTCAACCAATCAGAGCACGTTCTCCGCTCATTCACCTCCTCCGAGCTCCGAGCGGATAACAAGCAGGAACTGAAAATCTTGACGAAACTTGAATAATTTTAATGTTTACCACTAACCGTTGGACCCAAGATTTTGCGATGGCCAAGTGATTACGATGGCAAACTTGCTTGCATGTCGTGGGTTGATGGGTGCGACATAATTTTTGGAAAAAAGCTGAGACTTGGGTGACTGCTGTCCACTGCCAGCATATCAACAGTTTGTTGTCCTCGGCAACGACCCCGCGGATTTTTAGATTTCGCAAAGGAAGCCCCTGTATTTGATGCGATATGCTGTTCGTCGTGTTCAGCTCTGTTGCATTTGCACTTTTCACCTTGGAGACGTCAGCGTCAACGCACTGGATCGTCACTGAAAGAGGACGAATCCAAGCAAAAGTAAAAATTTATTGCAAAATTCGATAATATTTAATGTTGCGATTTTTTTGCAAATATTAATTAATCTTTATTTTCAAGGACGACACTATGTTTGACATGAAAAACCCTGATGACCTTGTGGGGTTTATGGAGCTGGAGAAAAAATTGATGTCTATTGAAAACCTTACTCGTCTCATTGCAACAAAATCAAAGTACGTCGAGGAGACCAACAAGTACTACAACACCTATTCCAAGCTATCACAAGCGACAATGCAACCTTTGGAGTGCAAATCAGCCATTCCCATTGAGGACTGCAATTTTTACATCAGTTCCACCTTAGCTGGCAATGACTATAAGTAAATAACAATTAAAATTAATAAAATTAAAATTTTCATAATTGTGTAATGATTTTTTTAAATCAAAATTATTTTTACAGTACAATCTTGACTGGCAATGTAGAAAATGGTGATGATTTTCCGGAGTGCGCCCCTCTCAACTTCAGCATGAAATTTTACGAGCACCTGTTGGCCATGCAAGATCGGTCTCTTTTGAAAATGAGTCCCGAGAAGACCCTTTTTCCCTTGTCGAGCATCGACTGCATAGGACACCAAGTGGCTGCCCACCTTCAAGTCAACCAGTCCTCCTGGGAGTTGTACAACCTGGCCACCCTGTTCTGGAGGGCCAAAGGTGACGCCCAGCAGGCCATCAACTGCATCCGCCATTCGCTCTTTCACTCTCCTGCAAACAACAAGCACATTGGTCTCCTCCATCTCGGAAACGTCTTCCATCAGTCAAAACGCTCAGCCGAGGCCGCCATCATTCTGCACGCGGCCATCGACCACTCTTCCTACGACCCTGAATCTCACTGGACCCTGGGCAACATTTACTCAGTCATCGGAGATTACCAAAAAGCAATTGTGTGCTACGAAAACGCCCTCAAGCTGGACAAAAGTCTCAGTTTGGTCCAACGGAATCTGCATTCCGTCAAGTGTCATGCATCCATTAGCCAGGCGCTGACTGAGGCCATGGACCGGCTGCAGGAGCTGCTGAATGACATAGAAGACGCCAGTTTGCTCAAACAGGAAAAAACGCACATAGAGGGGCTCATCAACAAGTACAGGGCCATTACAAACATAGCGGAAAAGAATCTTGGCACGGAGGTCGGCACAAGAATTCTTGAGTTAGACGATAGATTGAAAAATTTGATGGAAATGGTACAAACATTGTCAGACAACATGGACTTTGAGAAGAGAGTGGAGACAAAGCCGAATCCATTAGATGGAGAATGCCTTTCAACGGAAGACATTGAATATTCCATTTTGCACTCTTCTTTTGAAGACAGGTAATTAAACTATTAAGTTGTATTAACTTAGCTTACTAAGATATTTTTATTTTTAAGAATATATAGTTGTTTAAACGAAGATCTCGGCCTGAAGAGCGGTGAGAACCACCCTCTACCGTGGCATCCTCCTGTGTGTGAGGAGGATTTTCGAAAAAAGTTTCCTCAAGTTCCTAATCATGTGATGAATCAATTCTTCTCACCCGGAAAGGCAAACAAACTTAAAGCACAACCAGTGCTGATGAAACACCTGCGCCAGTTTGTTAATGGGGAGCTTGAAGCTGACGAAGAGCTTGGCCAACGAATCTATTCTGCTTTGGAAAAAGTAGGTTTTTGTTTTGTTTCTCCTGTATTTTTTTCCGGACACACAATCAGCTGAAATTTGATTCTAGTTGAGATGAAATTAAATCATAAATTTGCTATACTGTTTGTTGGATCCATATTATATTTATTTTTTTTTCGCAAAAGAAATAATATTATATGATGAAAATGGGGAAGCCTGAAATTTTAAAAGACAATTGAGAAATCTTCCAAAAATTGATGCCACTCCAGAGCTAATCTTAATTTCTTTATTATATTGAGATATCCAAATTCTTATTAAGTTGCTTTTTACTTTCATAGAATAAAAAATGTAATTTCCTGCAATACCAAATTTGGGAAAAAGTTTTTTCATATATGAGAATTCGTATTAGTAAGAAATCAAAATAAGTAACTAAAGAATAAGGAATTTAAAAACAAAATCAATAAAACTATGAGCCGTATCTTTTATTATTAAATAATTAATTAAAACATCCTTTTATCTCTTATATACCAATATAATCATCTAATTCAACTTTGGAATAAATAAAAAATATGACACAGTCGAACAGTAAATTAGGGAAAAGGAAGTAAATAAAATACTAATGAAAGTGTCTAAAAAGTTATTCGAGTTATTTCATATCATTTCAGGATCTGTGTTCGCGGTATCTTCTCCGTTCGTTTGCAGGCCTTTACTGGTTTGCACGCGGGGAGCTCCGCCTAGCCACAAAGTGCTTTTTGGCCTCTCTCTTGGAGTCCCCAGAGGAAGATGCTGTCGTTCCTCTGACGGCAATGTCATCAATGCTGATGAGCATGGGCCTCTCGGACGGCGCAATTTACCTGGCGCTGCGAGGCATTGAATCAAACATGAGCGACGTTGGTGGCAACATGCTTCTCTCGTCACTGTACCTGCAAAGGGGCGACCTGAAAAATGCCAAACTGCACCTGCAGCAGGCCTTCCTGAACCGGCCAAGAGGCCTTTTGCGTTCCATTGCTCACAATCTTGAGTGCCATATTAGAATTCTCTATCATGAAAAAGAGTTCTGCGAAAGCGAAATCGCAAGTGATGACGACGAACTGATGTCCATGCCAAATCTCAAACAGTGCATCAAACTGACCAAAAATAAATGATAGTCCAAGCAAAAATTTTCACAAATATTTTTTCATATATAAATTCCTTCTTTTATCCAAATATTTAAATTCAAAACATGCCTTGCCTGAGCATACAAAAGTTTATAAAATAAAATTAGTTCCTTTGCAAGTAGACAAACGGGTAACACAGAAACTCTGGTAAAAAAATTATTGGTGTCCAGTTTCTAGGAAGGAAGCAATTTTTCATGTGGTCGCAGGTGCCACTTTCAAATGAGGTTCAGACAAGGGAGTAAATTTTTTACACCTGGCTTTCTCGCGTTGACGATGCCCCTGAAGGGCCTTAATTTGATTATTGCAGCGGCCGCGGTGACATATCCTCTGGCGAGAAGCCCCTGCAGTGGTTGCGAGACACATGTCACTGCTCGCAGAGGCGACTGCTTGCCTGCGCGCGGAGAAGCCCCACTTGGGTGGCCCCTGTGAAACTCGACACAGGTTTAAAAATTATTACTTCTAAGGTTTTATAATACATTTATGTATGGGGTAATAGAATTACCTTCTAAGCAAATTTGCATTTCTCTTGAACACACGTCCTTGCCACGCGCCACGTTCTTATGCAATTTTTGGCAAGCGCATTTTATCCTCTCTAGCTCGGTCAAGGACGGTGAAACTATGATTTTTATCTGATTTGCTCAGGAGGTTTACATTTTAGTCTTTTCAATCAAAATATAAAAATCAAAAATTTTTATGTGTAAAATCTTGACACAATTACATGAATTTTTTATACTATTTTAAATGTACGTCGGAATTTTTGTAAAAGACATTTTCTAAAAAAATTGAAAAATGGAAACATAGTCACTATGAAATTCATTCTTCAAAAGTTTTTTGTACAATTAATTCTTTAATTTTAATAATTTTACTTTGCACTGCTTTACTGTTGCAGAAAGCATAGTAAATTCCTAACGGAACTTAAATTTCTGAAGTCGGAAAAGTAGCCAAAACTCGAAACCTTCCAAATTCCAATTTTGTAAAAAATTTGTGAGGAGTATAGAACCCACAAGTTTTGACTGGTTTAATTAAATTAAATTTTCTTTAAATTATTTTTTTCAAGAATAAAATAACAACAAGTTTCTTGTAAATTCTTCATTTTTCATGCGGCACCGTGATGGTTAAGTACTAGCCAACGATAGCCGCTGTCACACGCACAAGAGTTTGCAAAGTCTAATCTTGTGCAGTGTCCAGCAGCTCCCGTGCATAGTCATATTTTTTACGATGCTTCTTTCTTCCGTCTTACAACGACGATATGTATTTTTTTCATAGTTCTAAAAAACAATAAAAATATGTGGAAAAATCCTGCAAACTATAATTCAATGAACTTGATAGACGCGCGTTACGGAAAAAACTAGAGCGAATAATATTTTTTTGTTGATTTCAATGTCCAAGAAAACATAGCTCTTTAAAAAAAATTAATGAATTAAAATGTGTACCCACTTTTTTTTAGCAAATATGTGATTACGGTATAGCAATGAATTGATTTAAAGGCTAAAAAGTTTCAAATTGAAATTTAGGTACAGATTATCAAATAGTAGTGGACTTTTTTAAATTTCAAAATTATTGTTGTTTTTTGTTCTTTCAATAATTTAATTTTGACAAATAAACAAAATTAATTTTGACTTGGTGGAAGCAGCTGATATATATAGTTGAAAAATGGAAATCTTAAATTTCCAACCCGATTCCCACTACTTTTTAATAATTATTAAATCTCTTTTTGTCTCAAATCAAATTAATTTTTTGAAATAAAAGTGGGAAAATTTGATACGATTTCATTGACAAATAAAATTAAAAATATTAATCAGAGAGAAGTAATAAATTAAAGCGAAATTTTCACCGGATCTGGCGTCGAATGTAAACTTATCTCACTCGTGTTGGAAGGAAGGAGGGAAAACCTCACCAGGTGCTTGCTGAAGGTGTGAGCCGGGAGCGGCAGTGTGACGGTCGGTCCGCACTGCTGCAGGTTTCGGTCGCGATTAAACATAAGCAAATGACGCTTTCTGTTTTATAGCACGCCATTGCTTCTCACCCCTATCTTTGGTCGAATTAATTTGGCTTCCTTCACCCTCTTTTGTCCTCTTTCGCTGCAGCGCTCTATGTATTTACCTGCGACTGACTGACAAACACACACGTTGGCCGCGCACCGGCTGGCCGACTGTGCGTGCGAATTTATGTATTCATGTGCCATATCGGCGCCTCGCGCCCGCACTAGCCTCACGCACCCCGGCTTCTTTCCAGTGGGGTGCTGCGTTGCATGGGTGCGTTCACGAGCACTCGGCGCGCGAAGGAGGCTAAACGGTTTTCTTGTAACACCGACTTAATCCTTTTATGACACAGCAAAGACCGACAAGAGTGAACTCTGTGCGCTTCTTCCTAAAAAATCATTTCATAATTGCAAAGTTGATCAGATTTTACAAAAGTTCCTTAACATTTTTTTATTATTATTAAAAAAGATGGATAAAAAAATTACTGAACATTATAAATTGTGATTTTTGAAATGCTAAAATTAAATTTAAAAAAAAAAATTGCTAAATTAAAAGTTATAAAAATTGTTGCAACTCAATTCATATGGCTATTTGTGCCTTCCTTGAGCATTCCTTAAAAATAAAATAATTAAATACATAATTCTTGTTGACCAATATTGAGAAATAAAATATATTGAGGGAATTAATTTGAATATGATAATTATTTAATTGATTTTAAAAGAAACCGAATATAGATTTGCTTCATGTCAGAAATGCATCTCTGTATCTTTATTTTAAAATGTGCATTTGACGTTGCCGAGTGTTTGTAACAAAATTATTTTTAATAGCTATAATTTTTTTTCACTTTAAAAAATAATTTTGTTATCATTCCTTCAGTGGGTTTATTGATTTCGTTATTTATTTATTTTTTGTTTATTAAATTACAATAGATTTGGCTATTTCATTCAATAGCAAGGAGATTGCACGTGGACACGAATTGAGCACAGGAAAGCGCACCTGAGCTGATTTACATCGAGCTCACATACTTTTTAATAGGATACATAATTTTGTATGGTCTCCTTTTACCAGGGCTTCGCCACCGCCCCACGCGAGCATTGCTCTTTCTCCTGCACACGATCACCAGCCGCTTGCATTTCAAATTTAAACTTCCAGCTTAGCATAAATTACTAAAGTCTCACCCTTGTACTTATTTAATTCACATAAATAAAATGCAAGTTTGTTTAAATTCTATATTTGAAAGCGTTTAGACTAGCTGTAATAAAATTTTTTTGAGAGAAGAAAAAACTATCATTAATTAATTGATTAATTTAATAATTTAATATGTATTAAATCATTCTAGTATTTTAATAATAAAAACTAAATTGTTTCATTGAAAAAATAATATTTGAGAAAAATAGATTTTTAAGCTTTTTTTTATTTCGCATTTTGCGGCCCATTTTATTTATAAAAATGATTTTAATTGTCCTTATAAACATTATATTTTTCAAACTATTTGATCAAAAGAGTAAGGCGCATGTGAGAATTTCATCTCCTTTGATTGCAGCTCTATTTTCTATTTAAATATAAAATATAACCCAAGAGGTTTCGCAATTTGCAATAAATTTTAATTTTCCATTATTTGCTCTCGATAAATAGACCTGACGCCCCGATTATATAGTGTAAATTCATTCGAAGCGAAGAGGCAGCGTGGTGGAAAATTCTGTTTTCTCCTGACTGCGGATTTGCTCTGATTTTGCGTGAATAGAAAGCAAATTGCCTAGGCACTATTGAAAAAGTGCACTGGGTTGCTGGGCAGGCTCTCTCTGTATGTTGATGCGAGAGAGAGAGAGAAAGAGAGAGGGCGAGAGCGCGGCGGCATTGACGTCAAAGTCATGACGTAGTCGGTCCCGCTGTATCGACACAATTATTCAGCCCCACGGCGGCGAGCAAAGTTGACGCGGTGTGCAATGTAATTAACGGACACGGTCCCTGTCCTTATTAATCGCCTTGCTGGATGCATCATTTATACAAATACATTTGCAAACTCGTTTGTTCCAATCCATTGATTTTCGCTCGGCAAAATTTTTTCAGACATGTGCAGGCGGGGCGCACGACTTTTCTGGCAATTGCAGCCAAATCCGCCGCCACCGGAATCTATAGAACAAACGACACGACACCCTTAGGCGCAGCACACCCTCCACCCTATCGAGTTCAGTCAATCGGCAAATTTTGCTGGTTGACCAAAAAAATCTGTAGTTGATTGTTTTTTCCGGCTGTTAATCTTTGCCAATTTGCCATTTACAAATAATAGCTATAAAATGATAATTTCAGAAATAAATATAAAGGAAACTATTGAAATAACTAAGCCTTGAATTCTCAACAAAAAAATCCAAAATTAAAATTTAATTTAATTACCGTATGATAAAAATATTGAGAAAAAATAATTAAAATTAGCTGAAATTAATTAATAATATGGTACCATATTATTAAAGTAAAGAACCAGTTTATTTTGAGGTTAATTTTCAGAAAAATTATAATCACGCAATTATGCAAAATTAATTTTAAAATAAAAAATTGAGAAATTTAATTTTTTAAATTTTATGTGAGAAAAGTTATTTTAATTATGTAATTTAATTTTCTATTGAAATAAAAAAAATGCAGTACTATACCATTGATGGGAATTGGTGGGTGACAGATTTCACCTTTCAAGCATCGCCGCAGCCGAACAGAGGGATGGCCACTTGTTACCAAGGCCCGGTGTCCGCGTCAGGTTCAGCAAAAGCCCTTGAAGGATTCCCAGGACCCTAGCTTACCTCGGTCAGGAGCTGGCGACGAGCAGGAGCGAATCCTTCGGGCTGCTGGCGTGTACAAAAAGTAGGACCTCGCCAAGGGTAGAGAACTGAGACCCATATCCAGTAACCTCAATGGAGGCGCGCTCTCATTGGTCCAGCGGCCTCTGACGTCGGTGCATTGATTGTTACATCCCCACGTGGGAAAGCGAGCCCATTTACTTCTGTTTTATTAATCGCACTCAAGCCGCCTCCGGCCGCCTCCGCCCGGGGGTGGCAACCGCCCCTGAGGTCTACGAGGCCGTCCAAGGCTGTCCGGGTCGCCCCAGACCCCGGCGGAGGCCAGGGTCAGCCCCCGCGAGGGTGCTGTTGCGCTGCTTGCGTCATTGCCATTATATCTATCCCAGCTCAACCCCATTCTACCCCCTTGCGTGGTGACGTCATCGGCTACATTCAGAGACCCTTTGTGGGGTGTATGTGTGTGCGAGTGAGTGGCTCCGCTTCGTGTTATTACATTTCCAAGCTTCGCCGTGCGATTTTTTGCTCCGTTTCTCGCCCAAAAATCAAGAGCGATTACAGGAGGGGGCTCCTGTGCAGTCCAGAGTTGACACGAATGCAACGAGAGAAAATTAACTATGCTGTAATCCTACAAGAACACGGAATGAAATGAAAATATAATCAAGAAAATTAAATTAAACGTTAAGCTTCAATTACATTGAAACTTACTGCAAAGCAGACTTTATATTCGACTCATTATCGAAATTGAAATGAACAATAAAATTTAAATTTAACAAATTTTATTTATTACCTCGGTTGATATTTTGCAAGAACATTATAAATTCTTCGCTGCAAAAACTCTACAAAATCACATGTAAAATTTTAATCCCTTTTTCAAAAGAAAACACCAAAATTTGATTATAAAAATTGCCACATTATTGTTTAAGGCTTTTTATTTAAAACATTAATATGCCCTAAATTCTTTTAAAATGTATTTAATCAATATCATTATTAATATTTTGCTATTTTGAAAATAAAACCACCTTTTTCTCAATTAAATTTGATACTAAATTGTAAGAAAAATCATACATTTCATAATGATAAAGATAAAAGTATAAAAAATTCAGAATTCAGTTTAAAATAAACATCATTTGAGTCCCCAGACTTTATTTTCAACGCCTTCTACTTATATTCTAAATTTTCCACTCCAAAATTAAAGATATGAGTTCTATTGTAGTCACGGCTATTTGTACTGGAAGTCCCAAAATAGAATAGGTCCGGGAAAAAAATTTGGCCGGTGGAAATTGCGCGACGCACGTGTTGCTGTGCGTCCGCTCTCTCATCGTTCAATAAGCTTTAGTCGCCTGCAGAAATTCGTAATAGGCAGCGCGTCAAGCACAGCGGCTCGGCCGGTTGCCTATGCTAGCCGCCGCAGGGGCCGTCGCCGGCTTTAACATAAATAGCAGAGCAGCTCCCTCTAGGTGATAAATTGCACGCGCCAGGGCGAAAAGCGCCCGCCGTCCTCCGCCCGCTTACTCAGCCGCTTATTTGCGAGCCGCCGACATTGAGACTTGGCTCGCTGGCCGCCTCCTCTCGCCGTCGTATGTCATGTTTTGACACTGTCCAACAGATAGACAAAGCAATCATGGCGAATGACAAGCCATGCAAAAATTGTTGCCAAATTATTCACTCTAATGCAGGTCTTAAGTTAATTCTTTTTATTTAATAAAATTAAGACTGACTTGCATGCTGGGTTACCGAGTAGCTGACGTTACTGATTTTTTTTTTTATATAAAAAATAAAAAAAGTCTTTATGCGACTCTAAACATTTTGCAGTTATTTTGATAAACAGTTAATTAAAGTGTTTTGATTAAAGGGATAGTAATTTCTTGCACTTTTGGGATGATATTTAAGAAAAGATGCTAACGATAGTCATAGCGATACTGAAATTTAATTATTCTTCAACATAAATTTTTGTAACAACAATGCATTACTTGTTATTGGTTTTTATTAGCTAAAATCTTCAGACTTTGTCGAGTATTTCCTAATTTTATCTTTCTCACTTGGATATTATTTCATTTCAATGAATGATTCGGTTTTGCCCATAATTTTTTAATTCTTTACAATTTATCTTTGCTGGTTTGTTTGGAAGCAAAAAATAAATTTAATCAGCCTTCTAGGAAACGACTCATCATGTATAATGGGCTGGATTCGAAGCTCTCTGTATCTTATATGTCGGCGGTGAGTGGTCGTCGAATGTCTCGCAGTGTCTCGGATGCAAACAGCAAACTGGCGCAAGAGAGGTCCAGGAATAGACGGGGGTCACGTGAGCTGCTCGGCGAGAATCGGTCGGAATGGAGATTGGTCGCAGTCTTCTACTGTGAGTGTGCAGAGGACCAACTGCCCTCTTCTTTTCATCAGGTACAAACTTGTCGGATTTTTCTTTGCCCAGGGCTCAGGTGCCTCGAGTGGATTGAGTGTGGAACTGGGCAGACCCGGATATACAGTTTCCGCGCCTTTCTCCAGACGCTCTGTGAACTTTCCTTTTCTCTGATTGTGTGATGCTGACTGTGTGATATATACATTCTTATGCCTTTCGTGAGCAAGGACCCTCCCGATTATTCAAAAGTGGCGAATGTGCAACGTTTTTTTTTTTTTAAAAATACTATCCACCAATTTTTTTTTTCGCTGGTTACAATTTAGAGTGAAAACTTGTCCATGTGTTAATTTTTATAGAAAATTGGCCCCCTGAAATATTTTATTTTTAAAAGAATAATCTTTTGAATGAATCAATTTTTCCAAATATTTTTCCACCAATATTTGCAAACAATTCTTCCCCCGTTTCATTTTCCCTCATCTATTTTAAAATCTGCAGTTCATTATTTTTGAACAGTCATGTACTTCAGTACCTGCCAGTTTTCTTTCATTTTGTGACAAATCGTTTCGTAAATCCTTTTGCCCAGCACAAAGGAAAAGTTTTTTAGAGCGCGAAAATCTCGGTTTCGAGGTGTCGGGAGATCAAGTTATCCAATCGCTGACGTTGGAGCCAAATATGGCACTGGGCGGTGCTCTCACGTTCTATTTTCGAGTTCTCAGCATCCAAGTCAAATTCGTGGACGGCCCGCGCTGCCAAGAGCACGCAGCTCGGCGGCCCTTTCTCGCGCATAGGCAGGCACACACTTACTTGTAGGTTGACAATAGAGAGCCGTGTTTTTTGCTCATCCGGAATGCAACCCTAAACATTTCAATCTACGCTCGGCCTTCTGCGCTTCTTACGACCGGAATTAAACGTGTGTCCTCCGATTAGCAAAGTTAGATAGAAAAGACGGACCGCTTGCACAATGAGCCGAATTGCTCATTGGATACATGATTCATGCAACCAGCCTCATTTGCAATTGAAGGCGCCAAATATATGAATTAATTAACATTTTTTTATCTTTTGAATTTCTCAGATAATAGTTCAAAAAGGTCTTTCCATTGAGGATTTTTTTTTAATTAAAACTTTTATTAGTGTCTCAATTTCTTATATGATGTTTATTTAAAATAAATTTATTTGAAGCTTTTATATAGAATTTAATTTTTTGGAACAAGATAAGGAATTATTCAATATAATTAAATTTAAAACTTTAATAGAATTTGAAAAACCTTGAGCTGGAAAATTCTCTTTTTAATTTGATTTATTTGATCATAAAAACGTAGCAGTAAAATCCATTCTTTTTTACAATATTTAAGATGCATAAAATGGTAATATTTTTTATACTAATTTGCTGTTGTACACCCTTTTCGCCACCACATTTAGTTTTATGAATTGAAACAACGCCAAAGTGTTTTCTCGTCTTATTTTTGCGTTTTGTTTTACGATGAAAAGATGAGCAGCGCTGGCAAACAATACTGTTGAGCGCGCGCCTTTGCATAGTCCTTTGGAGCGATGAAACGGGAGAGCAGTCGTGGCGTTAAAAATACTCCTATAAATAATGCGGCGCCCACGCTGAAAATTAAGAGTCGGCACGGAAATAGCAGCGACGGCCTGCTTTCTTGCTCACTTTCTAGCTTATTCAAGAAACTCGACTCCGCGTGCATTTTTTCAAGTCGAAATTTTACGTTTGCCCGCAGGTTCTGTGAAGTAGCAACACCACCCGTAAAACATGGCGGATGATGAGGTGAGGTAAGCATCCAATGGCTCCTGCCAGCAAATTTCGATTCTCTGCCAACGAGGGTGACTTTAACCTTTAACCAACCCTTTGATGCATGCATTCCCATCTCGAGAGAAAATTTATTTAAAGGTGAAATTTTATCTTAAGGCTCGTCATACTCAAATTAAGGTAAAGATTTTAAACAAACACAAGTTTGAAGTTTTAAATTTTATTTTTCATATTTTCAGTGTTTGATATCTATATATTTATAAGCATTAGCTGCATGAAACATGAAATTTAAATTACATGGAATTTATATTTTTTTTCTTGTACATATTTAAGTAGTGTAAATTGTTCCTTTTTTTGTACGTCCTATATTTATGAGTAACTATAGTGTCATGGTTTTTGGAGTGGTATTGATTGAATTGGTTTGTCCTGAAAACAGCAGCTCTGAGGAGGAAAGTCAGCAGGAGATTGACGATCGCGCAGTACGTATAACCTAATTTGTACCCTGTAAATTTAGAAAGTGGAGTTGGATTTAATGAAAAAAAATTTGAATAAAATTTGCAAATATGCTAAAAAAAATATTGCATGGAATTTTTACTTAAAAATATCTCGAAACTTTTAAATTAAAAAAAGCATGTTGGAGCAAATTCCTCTAGAATTTTATTTGGTTTCATAAAGTTTTTACCACAATTTCCTACTTTTAAAATAAGCAGTTTGTTTCTATGATTCTGATTTACCTTTTTTTACTTTTTTCAGCAAAAACAATTGGAACAGGCATGTTGGAAATATATTAGGAATGCTCTCAGCATAAAATTAGGAAATTTTCAATCACACTGAATGTCGATTTGGAATTTCCAAAACAAATGTTATGTTTGAGCTGCATTACGTCAGCAAGGACTCTCAGATTTTTTTTTTTTGTAAAATTCTAAAAATGAAACTCGCGTATTGTCGAATTTCTTCCGATTTGGCATGACTGAGAGTTCTCGCTGGCGAGGGTCACTCGCGACCTTTGCCACGGACGGCGCGTAAGTGTGGCCCTGTGCCTCCAGGAGAAGAAGAAGAAGCAGACCGAGATCGAGGCCAAGCGCGCCGAGGTGCGCAAGCGCCTGGAGGAGGCCTCCAAGGCCAAGAAGGCCAAGAAGGGCTTCATGACACCTGAAAGAAAGAAGAAACTCAGGGTGAGTTTGTTGTCTCCGGCCAAAGTTGAGCAAAAGCACTGACTGAGTTTCGCGCCACAGTTGCTGCTGCGTAAGAAAGCCGCTGAGGAGTTGAAGAAGGAACAGGAGCGCAAGGCCGCCGAGCGTAGACGCATCATCGAGGAGCGCTGCGGAAGCCCCAACGACGTTGAGGATGCCAATGAAGGTATGCTACCTAGTTCCTTCTTCTTGTTCTATTGCCTCCTTTCGCCACAAATTTCCTTTATTATGAGCATTTTTATAGTTTAAGAAAGAAAGATATTTCTCTTGATGTACCTTTTTTGAGCAAGCAGCAACATGATAGCGAGTGGCTATAAATTTTATTTTTGAAATTTTCAACTTCGATTCTGGGTCCACTTTAAGCAGAAAATAGCAATAACCACGAAACAGAATATATATATTTTATTTGTTTTTGTTTCCCCAAAAATATACATTAGACAAAAAAAATTTGTTCGGGGAGAAAATCACGACCATTTTGTACCAACAAGATACTGCACAGATTTTTCATTTTCTTTTTTCTATTTATTTCTCTCTTTCTCCAAATGTAATCAGTTGAGCCCCGTCGCCTTTCTTCTAATTTTTGCCCTCTTTCAAAACGATCCAAGTCTATCCTACTGGAATAATCATGTAATTGGCCAGGCGATCTGCAGAAGTTGTGCGAAAAGTACCACAACCGAATTAATGGGCTGGAGTATGAAAAGTATGACCTTGAATACGAGGTGTCCAAGAAGGACTACGAGGTCAGCCACGATGCAATTATTATTACACACCATTCATTTGGTGCTCTTTGTTGTTTCTCATGTTTATTGGAAAAAAAAACACGAGCAAGCGCAAGAATTAAGCTTCCAGTTAATAATCTCTCTCAAATAAAATCTCCCCTGCTGCTCTGACAATTTCTGCGCACCAAGCTTCTTATAATCAGTGGTGTTTGCTTACACACACATTTTACTCGTGAGTTTGAGACAACTTTTTGTATATACAGTCACACACGTACGTACATGTCACACACAGACACTTATTAAAACACTTATAGCGATGCCCTGGCCACAGAGACATACACAGAGAGTGCTGGGCCGTCATCCCTATTACTATGTAAAACCAAAAGTTTCACTTTTCAACTGCATAAAAATATAGCAAGCAAGTTTGGTGCACCTTGCACGACTTTGGAAACCGTACGAGTGCGGCTGAAATAAATTTGCATTCGATCAATACGTACCGAAGCCGACGAGCGCTTCGTTTTAGCCCCTTAAATTCACACCATGTATGCAACCCTCGTGGCAATGTTCCAGGTGCACCAAATATTAAATTAAACGAAATATATACAACATGATATTATTTATGAATCAATTTTCTGCTAAAAGTTAGGGATCATGGCCCAATACTGCCCAGGGCATTCGTCCTCCCTTTCTCTTGTCAGTCTGAATTCTTGTAATTAAGTGAAGTTGATTTTAAGAATCCAAAAATTCGAACGAGCGAGGATTCCAATTCCGAGCTCAATTTGATGTTAGCATGTGCTGCGTCACGCCACTCATAAAATTTCCTTCTTTCCGACTATCTACCTATGTTGATAAATGTCCTAAACAGACAAAAATCCTTATTCAATTTACAGCTGAACTGCAGACAGTTATTAAACAATACTGGGAAAGGTTGTACGGTCTCGAAGGAGATAAATTTGACCTAGAGAGAGCCATGAAACTTAGACAGTTTGAGGTAAAATCCCTCTCTCTCTTTACTAGGCAATGGTTTCTGATTTCGATTTTTTGCGAGGATCGAATTAATCACAAACATTCGCGGATTTTCTTGATTGCGAATAATAATCAATTTTTATTTTATTTCTTTTTTATTCTCGATTTATTTACACAAATAATTTCGTCGGACTCAGACCAAAAATTCGAAGCAGAGTGCGAATTTGCGAGCGAATAATCCATTTTCCACGAAGTTAATCAGATTATTCTGCTCTTATTTGCTTTCGAAAAATTATCTCGGTTAAAAAAGTTGTGGCAGAAAATTTGCTCCTTTCCACATGCCCTATAATTCCTCCTCCATCCCAGCCCATCAGCTCTATTTGCAGGAGAAGTGACTTCTTATAATTGCGTCTGCCTATAGAGGAACTGAAAGAGATCCTGAACGACTATTATGATCGCGTATACCTGTGCGAAGGTCAGAAATGGGATTTGGAACATGAAGTGAGAAAGAGAGATTACGAGGTATGCAAGCCCGCTGGCCTATTCAAAAATGCTGTGCAGGCGCCCATTATATCAATAATTGCATTTTTTTTTTAAATTCTCATTTCGTTTCTCCGTCAACATACGATCTTATCATCTTATTTATAAATAATGTACCATTTCATTTAAAATAAGAACCTCCCGCCTGGCCAGCTCTGGGGTTGATTAAAATTAAAGCGGGCGTCGTCTGGGGGCGGTTGGGGGAGGCAGAAAACCGATTGACACCTGAGTGCCTCTAGGACTTTTTATACCATCCGTTCCCACGTCGGCCGAGATTTTGTTAATTTTTTTTTCATGTCCCCAAATTCCCAATGTCCTCAAAGGGCAGTGAATCAAGTTTGATATGATTTTTGTTTTTAATTAGCCGGCGCCTTTATTCACTTTTATTCTCTCTGGTAGATATAGTATTTTGCTTCACGCGCTTTTTTTGCTTCGGTAGATTAACGAGGCGCAAGAGGAGCGTAGGTTGGTTTGGTAGAGTTCCTCTGTAGAAGTTATTTTTAACTCGAATCGCTTGAATCAAAGCCAAAAAGAAAATTTCGGAGGCGGTAGAGGTGGAATCGGGACTTTTTATATAACTTCCCAGCTGTAAAAATAGAAAATACATCCAACGAGCACAAATGTGCACTTAAGCCCCTGATGGATACAAACCTAAGAATAAATAAAAACACAAATTTTAAGTAAATACGTAATGGAAAACACAATTAAGTAAGAAGCATTCAGCTTTAAACCCTTCAATGTGAAACCCAGTAACTAAAACCACACAATTTCTATTGGATGCAAACCCCATTCTTTCAACCCCTTTGACTCTCTTCTTCAAGGCATTAAATCTATCAAATCGAAACCTCGATCTTGTGAATTCTCTGACGCCCCTGCTCTCAGAATGGCTTTTATTTCTACTTCTCTGATTAATCATATATCGGTCGACTTCTTTCACTGCCCTCATTAAATTCCACACACCTGAACCGAAATTGAATTTCTCAAATCTCAATCAAATGAGGGATGATCTGCAGCAGTTTCTTTAAGAAAAAAATTAACTCTAATCCCCACGGACCCGATTACTCCAGGGCTGGCTTTTGGCTGCGGAATGTCATTAGCTTGGAATCGGCGTGTGTGTGGTGCAAACTTCCCAGCTGCCAAATCCTCCCCTAATCACCTCTCTTTCTCTCTTGGCCTCATTTGATGAGTCACGGTCAGCTCTTTCTCATATTTTCAGTACCCCCCGATAACTTTTCTAATGCATCCCTCTAGCGGGTACAGCATGAATAGGCCCAAGATGTGTACAAAAATACTCACTGCTACTGTAAATAGCTCTCCTCTCCTAAACCCGCCGTTGCTGCCCAGTGGCGCTTTGATTTCCACACTTTCTTTTTATTCGACATCTCTGAAGTGCACTCCAGAATTTTTTTCGCCGCTTCTGATATACTTCATTCAGAGTATGTGCGATGGATAAAAAGATTTGCGACCAAGTCTCGCGGCGCAATTTGAGACACAAGAGTTTGCTAAGTGTCATAAATCATTATATGTCTCTCGTCACTGCAAGTAATTGCCACTGTATGCGGCACGAGAAATTCCATATCTCCACCAGATCCTACTCGCTTCCTGATTGAATTTTTGTCTCTCACTTCCTTCGAACTTTGTAAAACCTTGGTCTGAGCTGATGAGGATTTTGCACCAGTTGGCAGTGTGATATCTGTAGAAATCGAACCCGTTGTTGAGCCCCAACTAAAAACTGTTCAAACTCTCATCAGTACTGTTATTTGAACTTTGATTGTACTTTTTTTTACTTTCAATTTAAATGTTGAAGTTACACTCTCGGTTGTATTTGAGTGTGAAGTTGAAAAAAAAATTGAAATTATCATACTGCATGATGCAGGCAACAGTCAATTTTTACTCATTTTATCCGTGGATTTAGATATTGCTGAGAGTAGTAGATTTGGAAAATCAAAACGTTCATGGAATGCATACTCCTCCTTATGCCTGTTGCAAATTTCTGTGTAACAAAACACGCCGCTTTTTGTGTATATCTTTGGCTTGAGTAGCTTCGGAATGTGATTGTGCACTAATTATATGTTTTCCTAATCATCAGTCGTAAAAATCAAAATTGAAGCAGTTGCATTTTATTCAAATTTAAATTTGAAAAAAAAAACATTTTACCACAATTCGTTTCGATCATTGAAATGCACCTGTTTCTCAATGAGCACCGGAAGTCGAAAAATGTCTAATCGAGTTATTGGTTGCAGATCGCCGACCTCAACAGCCAAGTCAACGACCTTCGCGGCAAATTGTAAGTACTAACGCATTTCAGGTTTTTGGTTTTGTTGTTTCTCGCGGCTCGAGACGGGCGAATGCTGACCGCACCCTGATCTTTCTAGCGTGAAACCCACCCTCAAGAAGGTGTCCAAATACGAGAACAAATTTGCCAAGCTGCAGAAGAAGGCGGCTGAGTTCAACTTCCGTAACCAGCTCAAGGTTGTCAAGAAGAAAGAATTCCAGATGGAAGAGGAAGACAAGGAGGTAATTTTTGCTTTTAGTAATTTCTAAGAAAAAAAATAATAAATAAAAAAATTATCAAGATGAATTTCTAAAATGCATTTTTTTCTTGGAACTTTGCAGAAGAAACCCGACTGGTCCAAATCCAAGGACGAAAAGAAGGTAAAAGAAGAAGAAGTTGAAGCTTAATCTTCTATTTTAATTTTACTTTACTTTTCCGAAAAAAAAAAAATACCGAACCATGTGAACTTTCTCAATCGCGCGTTTCAACTCTTTGATGAAATATTATTTATTATTTGATGTCAGTCGTGTTGTTTTTCTGCGAATTTTTGAGGGCCAGGTCGCCAAACACGAACGTAAGGTGGGACCGGATTTTTTTCCTCAAGTCCCTTTTGTTGTAAAATTTGATCTGAAATTTTGCAGCCTGCATGCCAGGCCACATTTTGATTTCCCATTGGCCAACACTTACAACGATTTTTCGTGTTTTGAGCATACAGCTGTGTGTTTTGCTTCACAAGACGTTTTTACCACCTCCATATTATCCATCATGTTATATAGTTGTAGACTTGTGCCCTTTGTCGGAGGACAAACACGATATATATGTTTCTCTATACCAAAGACAAACACACACTTGGACATCAAATGTCACCAAGTCGGGCGTTTGTCCCGACATACATCTCAAACTAAAACACATAAAAAATAATGAATCTTTTGTCTCAATTAATGATGTGTATACAAGAAAAGAGATAATACAGTTGTCTCTGAACCCATCACGAAAACCTGGTTATTCTCACTTGTATATGTCTCAAAACTGTTTTGTGTGACAAATGAAGCGACCAGCAGCGGCTCTTTATTTCGCAATAAAAAACCTGGATTCGATTCGTCCCATCCACATTGTTGTGTATCTGTTTCTCACACACGTCTCCTACACCTCTTAATCGTCAAACCCATTTGAGAGAGGTTTGCGTCTCGCAACCCCAGAGCGCAAACCACTGTTAGATTTCCTTTTAGCTGAGACCTCACCTGGGAAAGGATTTTTATGTATGTTTTTTGAACACCTTTTGCATGACCCGAGATCTATGCAACAACCCTTTTTACAGTTTGCAAATTTTTTCAACATTTTTGTCGCACATTTTCCATTTGTGTGGTAAAAAATTGCATGCATTTTTTTCCAAAAGAGGAAGTTACCCAAATTTTATAAATATTTAAATATATACACAAAATTTTGTTTTGCAACTTTTTGCACATTTTTGGTATCTATAGAAAGAGAGGAATGTCAGTTTCGATTTTTGACACGAAAGGTCTGACGCGGTTGGCATGTATACAGCTTGCGGACGAAAATAGGAGCGCACGCAAGTAAGTATGAGAGAATCACGAAGCTGACGGTCAGGTACGTTGCTCAATTGGGGAGGAAATGAATTAATTAATAGCTCATTAGTTGATGAGCTCGAAATAGAGTGCATGATATTAATTTAAAACTGTAAATAAGTGATAAAAAAAAATCGGTCAAAATATGGCAAAATTTACTGAAAATTCAAAAAATTCAGTTTTTGCTGTATTATTAAAATTGCGATGCATTTGAAATTTAAAATATGACCAGCTTTCATTTGAACATTTGAAGTTGAGAATTAGCTCACACGAATGACTGACAAACAAATTTAAAGCAACTTTACTATCCGAGTTAAAAATTTTAATTGATCTCAAGTTATGGTAGTTGCGCTATAAACATTTAAAATGCTAAATGCTAACACCAAAGGTCCTGCGTGCGGACTGTCCAGCTAAGCTTACTAATTCGCTTGTAGAAAGAGGGCGAGGAAGCTGCCGCTGAGGGCGAAGCTGCCGCCGCCGCCGAGGGTGAGGCCGCCGCAGCCGCCGCCGCCGCCGAGGGCGAGGCTGCTCCCCCTGCAGAGGGAGGTGAAGCTGCACCACCTGCCGAAGGCGCCGCTCCTCCCGCCGAGGTAATTGAACTTTTAGAATAATCGTCACTATATTTTTGGTGTCAACGTCCTTGATCAAAAAAAAGATCAACAACCGAATTTTATTTTGAAAATAGGGCATTGAATGTGAAAGCAAACTGCGCCAAGAGTCAGTTTGTTTAGCTTGTGTAAATATTTATGCTCGCGACGTCATTTCTAAAACGGCGAACCTTATAGGGCGGTGAGGCCGCACCACCTGCCGAAGGCGCCCCACCTGCCGAGGGCGCTCCACCTGCAGAAGGCGCTGCGCCACCCGCGGAAGGAGCTGCGCCACCAGCGGAAGGAGGTAATGAGGATGATTCCCAAGATATTCAAAATTAACACAAACACGCTTCATTAAATATCAATCTCTCATTCTTTTGCTGCAAGTTAAACGCAAATTAAATGCACTGTCACCAGCTTTGATTAACTTTTCAGTAACAATTAAATCATGAGGAAAACTTTATAGTCGGTTGTAAATATCTGTAACTGATAACAATTACTTAAAGACTTAAACATCAGATTTTTTCGCATTTTGAACTTTTTCACAACGTACAACACTAAACACTTGTTTTAATATATACAAATCAACACTTTTTCTTCTTTTCTAGCCAGGGTTCTCCCAGGTCTTTTCAATCAATTATCGAAAGATAATGAAGCATTTTCGTTTTATCTTCTTCAAAGATTTACACTTTTAAATTTTTAATCTTTATTTTATAAACTTTTTGATTTTTTGCTGGTTTGCTGGACATTTCAACGCTCTATAAATTTTTGGAGAATATTTTTATTAGACGATTTAAACGTCAGTATTTGAATTTTATTCAATTTTTAATTTTGATAAATTTATTTTTTTCAAAAACGCAACCTTCAACTTCTTTCTCTTTAATAACTAAACAACAATTAATTGAGCGCCATGGACGATAGATAGCAGAGTTCCGAAGGAGAGCTGCGAAACCAGCAAAGGTCGCGCCAAAAAGAACCTGGGCCCAAAACGAACCCGCTGCATAAAACGACTAAACGCACTTTATCTAACCGCACTAACGCCTTTTGTAGCTCCTGCTGCACCTCCCGCAGAAGGCGCTCCCGCCGAGGGTGCTGCACCTCCCGCCGAGGGTGCGGCACCTCCCGCTGAAGGTGCCCCTGCGGCGCCCGCCGAGGGTGCACCTGCGCCCGCTGACGGTGCTGCCCCCGCGGCGCCCGCCGAGGGCGCACCCGCGCCTGCCGAGGGTGCCGCTCCTGCGGCGCCCGCAGAGGGCGCTCCCGCTGCTCCCGCGGAGGGAGCCGCCCCCGCCCCTGCCGCCGAAGGTACAGTCCCACCCGCTGAGGGAGCCCCCGCCGCTGAGGGAACAGCACCCGCTGACGGTGCCGCCCCTCCTGCCCCAGCACCTGCTGCTGAGGGCGCCGCGCCCGCCCCTCCTGCCGAAGGAGCACCAGCCCCCGAAACCCCGGCTGCAGCCCCTACTGATGCTGTTCCTCCTCCTGCAGAGGCCGCCCCCGCTCCCGCAGCCGCTCCCGCCCCAGCCGAGCCCGCACCGGAAGCTGCCCCTGCCGAGGCACCCCCTGCATAAACGTTCCGAGCCGATGCACCATCAAACTCACGCCACTGTCTATTTCGTCATGAATTGGTGCCCTCAAAGGTCACTCGAGCTCTGGACGAGGTTCCATTTAAATTGTATTCACTGTACGAATAAAGCTACTTCACGGTGTCAAATAAATGTAATACTATTTTAAGGTATGTTTTGTCTCACGTCAATACCAACATCACCTTGACCGTGTTGGCATTTATCATCTTTGATTCTAATTAAATAGGAAGGATAGAATGAAGAAGGAACTACTTATAAATTGAAGAAATAAGTAAATGAGGAATCTTCATTCGTGTAATTACCAAACCACCCATGCTTACAACGCAAAAATTTCTTTATTTTACCTTCAAATAACACAGGTTTCTCCCTGAAGACTTTTGACGTAGTTCTGGTAAGTTTTGAGTGAGTCCTGAGGCACAGTCACTGAAATTCTGTTTCTCATGGCGACGTAGTTTTTGTAGACTTGGAGAGAATCACTAGACACTTGAACTTTGACTGGTTGTATCACATGGGGCGTATCAGCCAAAAATTGAGACTTTTGATGCATTTTAGCGTACCTAGAATTTAAATTACAGAATAATGCACAAAACAGAAATTTGTTAAATTGTTTTAATTTACCGATCGTATATTGCAATATCATTGGCTTCTGGCTCCTTAACTCGAGTTCCGTATGTTTCTTCCATGCTAGGAAAGAGGGCCCTGAAGCTAGTCACACTTTTATTAGATGGATTTTCGACAATTTCGAAGTCTCCACTTGCTTCTCCATCTGACTCTGACTCAAAGCTTGAGCTGATGAATAAAAAATTAAATAAAATTTCTATATTATAACGCATAAATTTCACCTGGTGCTCGAGGTAGTGGAGCTGGTGGAGCTGCTCCCAGTCAGAGAAGGATTCCGCATTGGGTTTTTATTTGTAGTGTCTTCTCTGTGTTTTCCTGGTCGCCCACGAATCACAAAAGGACTGCAGTTAGTTGTAAAGTGTGGCATGAAATCTCTGGAATGACCACAAGTTTCTTACATAAGATCAAGCAAAAAAAGTTTTGTACAAATTAATACCTGACAGAGTGAGTCATTTTGAATGCAAACATATCATCAAAGTTGTGCAGCTCATATGGTCGGTAGAAGTCGAAGAAGCAATCAACTCGTTCGTCACCTTTTTTGACACAAGAGATTTCCAAGATTGGTTTGTTCTGAACGTAAAGTGGCCTTGGCAGAGCCTCCATTACATCATTACCCCACCACTTAGTCAATGGACATCTTAAAAAGAAAAAATAGAGTAAATATTGATCATTAATTAAGGCCGTCCTTACTCCACGGGAATGTGGTCTCCTCGAGTCTCTGGATGGTGAAGATAGTTGTCGGATGCCATTTCCCAAATGGGTGGCTCGTCGTCTTTTGGAACAAAGAGACCCAGGAACAGGTTCATAGTTCTCTGCTTTTCAGTATCTAAAAAAAATTTATGAGATATGTTGGAAAAATCTTTAAACGCAAAATTACCTGAAAATGTGTTTCGACAGTATCTGCTGATGGTCTGCATGATGTCATTGCCCTGAGATGTCCACGGAGAAGTCTTTCTGTATGTTTTGATTCTGTGCACCAATTGAGACCCTCCGTATTGCAGGGCCAAAGTGTCTCCGTGGTCTTCGTAAAGGCTCTCCAGCAGCCGGACACAGTCAGTGTCAAAATCCAGCTTGGGCCTGTTAAGCGCCCCTAAAGCACAAAGCTGGAACCCAAGGGCGCAACGTCCCAGAGCAAACTGGGCAGTGTTTGTCCTATCCAGGCAATCAACACAGTTGACCCGAACGATGCCGCACTGCAAGCGTCCTTTGCCCGTGAGACCTCCACCTGGCTGCCCCAGAGTTGTCAGCAACTCTTGGAAAGGACCACTGTTGCCATTGATCTCATTACTTGTGAAGATTCCTGTTTTGCAAACGGCGTTATATGCAATCTCGTCCAACCAGCCCATTACGTTTGCTCCAGTTCTAGGGAAAAACAAAAATTTTAACTGATAATAAAAAAGTAAAGGACACACTTTTTATTCTTGCGGGCCATGTCGAAGCTAGTGTATTGGATGTGGTGCTCAGGAGGCAGAAATTGGTTCAAGTATTTGACCGAGTTCATGTACTCCTCACTGAGAAGGCTCTCTTGTTTTTTCTTCTCCCTCTTTTTCACAAGATTCAAAATTATCACAGGGGTGCCGTATCTCAGGAACAGATTGTTGAAATGATTCCCTATTAATAAAAAATTAATTTTTTGGTAAGTTTAGGCTTATCGTTATTCACCTGCCGTGATCGCAAAAGGATCAGGGATGTCGATACTGATTACAGGCTTTGGTTTGATGTTTGTAATGGTTTGACTCCAATGAGTAGGAATAGATCCTCTCATTTGGACAAAGGAGGAGAAGTAGCCTTGCTCAAATCGGTTCAGTTTAGAATCGTGGACAATTTGTTCAGTTTCCACCTCATTGGCTACGTCTCCCTGAGAAAAATTAACCGAATCATATGAGAAAAAAAATTTTAAAATATCGTACCTGGAAATTTGCTCCGCGCTTTAAAAATCTGGTACCAGCAAATTTGTTTGACCTCCTGGCAATCACAGTAATGTAGATTGAGCGACCGTAAATGCTGAGATTCGACTGCCCAACAAAACCATGGACAACATCAATAATCCATTCAGAGTGCACAATTCTTCTCGCATCTTTCAGGAGGTAGTTGTTCCAGATGAAGCGCTCGTTTGGAACACACTTGAAGACAAAGTTTTGCTCTCCGCTCTGCAAACCTGAGCTTCCACTTTGCATAAATATCATTGAAATTAAATTTATTTTACCTTTCAGAATGTCCGAGTTTGTCACTGGAGTCATATTGCACTGCAGGGTGTTGGTAATATCATAACTGTAGCTGTAAATTTTTAACCCTTTTTAAGCTAAATGCTGTTTTATGCTAATGAAAATATACCTAAAGTAGAAATTACTTGAAAGATAAATATTCTGGAACATTTTCACGTATCGAGACTCGTCGGGGTGGTAATGTCTAATTCCTTCATTCGGAATGTAGATCATGGAAGTGTCCTCGATTTTGTAAACTGAATGGTTTCCTATCACAGCAATCCTAGTCCTTTTGGTGATCAGGATTATGTAGTACCCTTCCAGGAACCTGATAAATCCTGCACATAATATTTTCTCGATTTTAAAAAAAAAAATTAAAAAACCAGAGGATATATGTACCAACTATTCCAAAGGCCGAGACAACTTTACAAATGCCAGACCCGGTTGATCTTTGGCCTGTCTTGCTTCTGTTGCCACTGTCGATCATGTTGACCAGATCTTTGATTTGATCCTTTGAATAAAGGATGTTGTCGTCAGTGATGTTCAACGCCTTTGGCTCCATTCGATCAATCTTGAGCACTCTGCATCTTGTTTGTGAATTATTTGATCCAAGTAAATAAAAACGCTGTAACCAGAGGAAAAATCGCATAAACTAACGAGTTATAATTTGTATTCTAATCTTTCTTACCGATTTTGTTTCATACAAGGCAATTTTTTGGATAGGGCTGATGGCCCCAAAACAGTTAGGATTCATTTCACTGTCCATGATGGAACTAGAACAGGCAAGACGAGGGAAAGATTAATATTTACGTTCAATGAGGGAGGACTTAAGATTGCTTAATTACCCTTGTTATTTAACTTTAAAGTCTTAACCGTCTGCAGTTCAGACAAATCATTTTTGTCGCAAAAACATTACCAATCTGCAGAGCAAGCTGCAGAGGTCCAAAATAAGGGGGCGTTGGTTAAGTCACGTGGGGGCGTGGCAAATATATTTTTGTTTACGCTCGTTCTGGAAAAGAAGAGAAAAGAGAACGCAACATAGCCAGAACAAGAATTGAAAAATTTGAAGTCGAAGCGCGTCTGTCAAAATTGGCTTGTAAAGTAAAATTAGGTGAGTCTATTTATTGGTTAAATAATTTTTCAAGGAAAATTGATCAAAATACATATGTAATAAACGCACGCCTCACAGTATTTTACATATAATAAATTAAGTTCTCTAAATTAAGTAAATTTTATGTTATTTCCAGGTCAGCCTTTTCGTTGAGCAAATTAAATAAATATTTCGCCGTTGAGACTGATCAGAAACCAATAAAAGATGTCTGAGCGAAAAGTTTTAAACGTAAGTAAACAATTTATCAGAGTTGGTATGTTGTATTCATTTTTCAATTTTTTAGAAATACTATCCTCCGGATTTTGATCCATCTAAGATTCCTCGCATGAAATTGCCCAAAAACAGACAGTACACCGTTCGTTTGATGGCTCCGTTCAATATGAGGTTTTACAACAATTTCTAATTCAAATTATTTTTATGCTACTACCTTACTTTTATCGAAATAGGTGCACGACGTGCGGAGAGTACATTTACAAAGGAAAAAAGTTCAACGCAAGGAAAGAGGACGTTGAAAATTCCGACTATCTGGGCATCAGAATCTATAGATTCTATATTAAGGTAATATAATTTGATTAGGTTTTGCTTTTTCTTATATTAAAATGGTTTTAAATTTTTAGTGCACCCGGTGTTTAGCTGAAATTTCATTCAAAACCGACCCAAGGAACACCGATTATGAAATTGAAGCTGGGGCAACAAGAAATTTCATGGCACTGAAGTTGGCGGAAGAGCAGGCAGTTCGAGAAGAAGAGGAGCGGAAGGAGGAAGAGTCCACAAATCCAATGAAGGTAATAAATTTAAATATAGTAAAATCTCAAATAATTTATTAACTAATTTTTAACTTAATTTCCCAGTTGTTGGAAAATCGTACCAAAGCTTCAAAGAGAGAAATTGAGCAGATGGAGGACTTGGAAGAACTTCGAGATTTGAATCGCAGACAGCTTGCCGTCGAGTATGACTCAATGCTGGCGCAATATTCTGAGGACTCGGTAACAAGGGCTGCGCGAGAGAAGGCAGAAGACGAAGCGGAAATCAGGGCCAGTTTCAGGTCCAATTCATTGAAGAAAGTGGCCGAGGAAATCGTCGAAGTGGACGAGGAAGCGCCTCCAGCCAAAATCCCCAAGGTTGCACCTCCAAAGCACACCTTTGTCCCAAAGGTAATTGTAATACATTTTTTCAATCAGTAAAAATTAACAATGAATTTTTCAATTTTACTTAGCCTAAACCTATGATGGTTTCGAAATTGGCAAGCGCAGTGGTCAGCAAAAAGGCGCCTGCAGGTCCGAGTAGCAAGATAGCTGCTGCAATCAAACCTAAGGAGGCTCCACCGGCAACCTCAAAACCGGCAAGTGCAAACGGTCTGTCTTCATTGTGCGCCTACAGCAGTGCAAGCGACTCCGACTAATTTTTATGTATTTTATGACGGGATGAAATATAATTGGATAATTTGCATAAATGTGCCTTCTATAATTTCTTTAAGAGCTTCATTTTACTCTTTACTGCTTGCAACTGCCAATCAATAAAACAAAGCGGTACAGTCATTGAGAAAAAAATCCTCTCTCGATGCATGATAAGAACCGCAAATGAGTTTTTTACAGTCATCAGCTTCTGGAGCAGCCAGTGTCTTCCACATGGTGATTTATGACAGACTTTGGCAATGAACCTGCTGTTTTGTATGGTTGCGCGCGCTCTCTGCGTGTGAAGGCGCTGAGGGAGAACTAAAATATTAGACTAGAGAGCCGAGGCGCTGAAAGGCTTAGTTTGTCGCGGAGAGTGCTTATCACCGGTTGGAGCATTGCTGTCGTTGCCAACCACGTTATTGCCGATTTATTCAGGTGGGCAAAAAGTGGTACTCTTTTTTTCATGACAGATCGAACCCAAGTTGCATCTCAGTCTGCATGCTGCGTTCATCCAGTTGCATTCCTTACAAATGTGGCTCATTTTGATAATGCACTGGAGGGGTGAATTATTGAATAATTGCGTTTTATTGTTGCTCTCAGCCAGACGGAAAATAACATCGAGACCCCTTGCTGAGAGAGCCGTGTTTAAATTAGATTCACTTTAACTAACAAGAGCTCTAAATGTGGAAATATTTTGCCACGAATATAAAGTTTTACTTAGTAGTGGTTACAAAAGTTTTTGCACGTGCTCATTATATTTATATAGAAACTGAATAAATGTAACTTTTTTTTATCAATTTGTCTAATTGTATAGGAGAAGTCCGTTTCTGATGACCCATATAACCCGAGCATTATGAAGCCAAGTTTAGCTCTTAGCATCAAAGCTTAAGTATTGAAACCATATTTCTAGAGCAGGGAGCAAAAGGGTCAAGGTCAGAGACTAAATTTGAGAGCAAAATTTAAAAAAAAATTGAGTTAATAAAAAAAATTATTAAGGAAAAATTTTAATTTTACATTTTATATCATGCCTACGAATTCCTGTGTCAACATAATATCTGTGAAGTTGGAAAAGAAATATTTTGACAATTTTATGCTTAATTTTTTTATAAATATTTTACAGCTAGATGTTAACGCTTAATTCACTCGAGTTTTAAATTAAACATTTGGTTAAATCTATTTCAATAAAGTAAGACAATTTTCTTAAATTTCTATGAAATCAAAATGGAAATTTTGTGTATTTAAATAACAATATTTGCAATGAAAATGTTTCCTCAGGCAAAATAAAATCGCCTGAAGTGATGCTACACATCAAGCGCTGGCTGCTGCTGGCGCTATTTCTAGGCGCACTTTGTTCTGGAGCTTTGTCTGCACGATGCGACCGGGAACCTGAGGGTCGCCTCACCTCCAAGTCAGCCATCGATGGAAGGTTCAGGATCAAAGTCAGCGGCAACCCTGAGAAATACGTACCTGGCGAGGTGTACACGGGTGAGTTTTAAAATAAGTATTCGGAGCCGCCGCCACAGTAAATAATGTACCACATAGGGATTTGGTATAAAGAAAAACCGACCTAATAAATTATGAAAGGCCACGGGTCATCAGTTCACTCTTTCTGCAGTAATAAGAGGGGACGAGCCTGCTGATCTGATCGTTCGTCGATAAATGCGTGGTGATAAATTTATTACTGGTGCTCGATTATTGCCTCAGCGCGCTGCGTTCTAATCCCTATATATGAGCAATAACATGCGATGCCATCATTTCGTATTGATTTTAGATTACATTTCAAAATAAATGAAATATTAATTAAGGAAGTAACACGAAAAACATTTTGATAAAATGGAATCGAAATTCCAGGAAAAATATTTACTGAAAAAATAGAAACGGAAATATGTAATTATATTTTATGTTCATTATTTTAAGATTTTAAATTTTTTTGTAAAAGCTCACTTAGCCCTTTTTATGCCAATAGTCTGCAGGCCAAGGTTATGAATGCAAACTTCCAGAGTTTGAGCCTCTCTCGTCAAAGGGGCCTTTGAGTTGACGATCCGCGTGTGTGTAAAAACACAGATGTTCCCATTAATGCGTAATAAACAGCGGCAACTTGATATAGTTCGATATATGACGCACCATTCGAGCGATGCAAAGCACATGTGCGAGTGTGCCTCTCTCTCTCTGCTAATTAGAACTTTATATACATATCACTCAATGCGCGGAATGGAACGAACGCTCCAGAGAACGGTCTGCGCTGCCAAAAGTTGTGTTGCTTTGTACCGCGGCCAAATTGCTTACCCCGGAGAGCTGCCACGTACCATACATTGAGACCAATTTAGCTCTCTCGGGAGGATGTTCGGACCGATTGAATCGAATACACACTCGCACCTTTTGGCGAGAATTAACGAGACGTGTGCACCGGATGCGCGTAGGTGTCTCGAGAATTCAGCGCCGGTCGCGAAAATTCTTCTTGTATAATTAAATCACTTTCAAGTGCCCTCTCATGCTTCTTATGCTAACGAGATTCAAATCGGGCAAGTGAATTTTAAAGCCCCTCATTAAAAGTTTCTAATTAAACAATCAAAATATAAAACTTTACTTTTGTCGCAGTGACCCTGCAGGGCGCGCGCAACCAGCAAGTGCCGCAGAAGTTCACCGGTTTCATGCTGTCGGTGGAGCCGCTGAGCAATGGAGCGGCCGCCGACACTGCAGTTGGACACTTCCAACTGTTTGGGGACGCTCTGACCAAGTTCAGCGAGAAGTGTCCCAACACGGTGTCACAGACATCTTCCATGCCAAAGTCCGAGATCCAGGTGCTCTGGACCGCACCGCTAACGCCCGGAAGCGGATGTTTAGTCTTTAGGTACAATTTAATAAAAGCAACAAACTTGAAAGGGTATAAAAATCAAATTTATGACCAAGAGATTGTTGGGGGTTGAAAAACAAGATTATAAAATTTCATAGGTCAAACAGGTTTAAAGAAAAAAAATGCATTTTTCTCTCCAGAACTGCTCCAGAATAAATTAAATTAACGATCTTTTAAATATTAGCTGATTATTTTTTTTTAAAGCGATCATTTTCATGTTATTGGAATAATATTAAATACAGAAAATTATTATGAAACAAATGAAAAATAAATATTTTCAAAAATGTTGTTTTAAAAATCCGGCAGGCATAAATTTGATTTTTTTTCCATCAAACAGGATTTTCGTTGTAGTTATTTATAGTCCAATTTTAAGTACTTAATCTTTAGAGCCACGGTGGTAGAGCACCGCGACGTTTGGTACCAGGACGACGGGCCTCTGAGCAAAATTCTTTGTGAGGACGTGCAAGAAAGCCTGGACGAGCAGCCGCAAATAATCGACCCCTGCTGTGCCTGCGACGAAGCCAAATACGAGGTGACATAATGAATATTTATTTTGTAACGCGCGGGCGGCCGTCTTAAGAGCCGAATTACATTATGCAGGTGACTTTCGAGGGTCTCTGGTCGAGACACACTCACCCGAAAGATTTCCCCACTAACGGGTGGCTCACCCGTTTTAGCGACGTCATCGGCGCATCGCACACGGTTGATTACAGGTTTTGGGAGTACGGCGGCATTTCTTCCGAAGGGGTGCGCCAAGTGGCCGAAAAGGGGTCGACCCGTATGTTAGAGAGCGAGCTTAAGTCTGAGGTCAGTAAATTCAAATTGAGAATAATATAATTGATAATTGAATTATTAACTTTGGGAGAAATTTTGTATTTAAACATAGAAATAAATTTGCTATTATTTGCAGAGCGAACACATAAGGACAATCATTAAGGCCAGGGGTATAAGTTACCCCAACGTTACTGGAAAAACCTTTGCCGTTTTCAGGGTTGACAAACATCATCATCTCATGTCATTAATTTCAATGATTGGTATTATTTTTTAATCAATTTACAACAATTTTGAACAGAATTGTTTTTTTTTTCAAATGCTTCAAGATCCATCGCCTGATTGGATTGTTGGTGTTTCTGGGCTGGAGCTGTGTTTGAAAAACTGCAGCTGGGTCGACTCCAAAGTGCTCAACCTTTACCCTTGGGACGCGGGTACGGACAGCGGCGTGTCTTACATTGTGAGTAGGCATCTGTCATTCAGAAAGAAAAAAACAATTTCGAGCCAGATTCGAGCCAATTTGCTTCGTCTATTGCAGTCACCGGACCAGCCAACCAACCCCAGGGAACCCATCAGAAGGATAACATCCAGCTTCCCCAACGACCCCAGATCGCCGTTTTATGACCCCACCGGCGTCGAAATGAAACCACTGGCGCGCCTTTACATCACGAGGCAAAGACTTTACGAGAAGAGCTGCCTCGAAGACGGCGCCAAAGCGAGCCAGGAGGTCCCCGAAGAAGAGTCAGGCGAACAAAGTAAGGCGAATTTGATATCATATATGTGGCAAAATTCAAAGAATATACAATTTCATCACAAAAGGTTAAGTGATAATAACTAGCGCCAATTGGATGCGCACTGTTTTTTTCCGTCCGTGCGTCAGCATGGCGCAGTATTATGATTTTCGAAAATTCCAATTTGAATCGTGCCAAGTCAGAGGTCAGACTGGCAAACAAAAGCATTAAGCTGATGATTTTGTTGTCAAGTGAGCCCATTATATTCACGGCAATCCGCGTCTGTTTTATGAAACCCTTTGTACCACCTGCGAGTAGACGAGTGTCGCGTGGGCGACTGGTCCGATTGGTCTCCATGCTCGGCCTCGTGTGGCCGCGGAATGAAGCACCGCCAGCGCTTCTACTCAAACCAGGTGGAGGCCGAGATCAACATGTGTGACCGCCAATTGACCTCTCGAATGTCCTGCACCGGAGAACACCCTTCTTGCAGGTAACTTTTACATAGAAATTTGCTACTGATTCTCATTGTTTCGATATTTCATTTAGTTTAGGAGAACCAAAGCCGGGCACGACAAGCGATAACCCCATGTGCGCCACCACTGATTGGGGTCAGTGGTCCTCGTGCTCCGTGACCTGCGGCAGAGGAGTTCGCACAAGATCAAGACGTTACATCAACAGGCATGTGCGAAAAATGTGCAACGTTGAATTGCGCCAGACGGAAGTGTGCTTTGGTGAAGAGGAATGTGAAAATGGAGCAGTCACTGACGAAACGGTAAAAAAAAAAAAAAATGAAAATAATTCTTCTAAATCAGAATAAAGGGATTATAAAAGTATAAAGAAAATTTCTTTTGTATTTTTAAAAATTAATTTAAGTTACCTAAAAATTAAATTGCCTTTGTAGAGTTTCTTTGTTAATTTTGCATTAAAATTTTAATTATATGCCAATTTTTTAAACTCAGAATATTACTGGAATTTATATATTAAAATTTTCAGAATTTGCCTTCCTACTGTAGAACAACCTCTTGGAGCGAGTGGGGCCCTTGCAGCGTGAGCTGCGGCCAGGGTCTTCAGCTCCGTTCAAGGCTTTACCAAAGCCAGAGCCCAATGACCCAGCAATGTGGCCTGCCAATGGTGGAGCAGGTCGAGTGTCAGGCTGAGTTGGCGGACTGCGACCTTGGCCCTGAGGACGCCAAGTGTAAGAATAAAAAAATATTTTGAGCAAAATTGAATGAATATTTTTTTACAGCCGTGTGCCAACTGGAAAAGGAAGTTGGGCCCTGTCGCGGGTACTACCCTCGTTGGTACTTTGACCCTTTGACGGAGGAGTGCCAGCAGTTTGTGTTCGGTGGCTGCAGAGGCAACAGGAACAACTTCGAAACGCAGGAAGAGTGCGAATCAACTTGCGCCGAAGTCAAAGGTTCACAATCTCTTTTGCGAGAACAATAGGTTTTCATTCACTAAAAGTACTAATTCCACCGGTTTAATAACGTAGAGATTGCATGCTGAGAGACTAATTAGTGTGTGGGGAATTCAGTTAAAAGTATGTAGTGGCGACGAAAAAAGCTGGATGGGCAGATGGTGTGTGTTTCAGAGAGTTTGGTTGCCGAGAGGGCGGCGAAACTGAACAAGTACGGGGTCATGATTTCATCTGTGGTGTCCTATGTGCTTGAGGACGGCCCAACAAGTTGCGAGTCAACCAGTACTGAAAGTAAGGTGAAAATCTACACCACAGAGAAAGAAAGAGACTGAATCCTTCTTTTGACTTGCTCTGAAGCTCATATTGTGTGTACACTTCAACAAGGTCGCAAAGATTGTGACGAAGAATCGAGTTTGCCAGTTGTGGAAATTTCTTCCTGCAGCTTTTTAAATCTGTTTATCCTAATATTCTTAATAAATGCATGAATTGGTTCACTGCACGTGTGGTTCCATCACTATCAAATTTCTCTAATCAACAATAACTTAAGCATGACTAAAAAATGACACGAAATTAAATAAAAAAAAGCAAAATTTAATTTTTGATAATTTTTGATAGACGGTGACGACACCACGGATAAAACTTCTTTTGGAAACATTGACCTTGACAACCGCGTGGCAAACGTGACAAGGGTGTATGAGCCGTACCCAACTCCAATGGGACAAGTCTTCCCCGTCACAGCCATCGTTGGTGCCAAAGTGGACTGTGAGGTTTCGGGATGGTCTGATTGGTCTGCATGCACAGCCACGTGTGGAAAGGGGTGGAAAAACAAGTGGAGGAAAATCAAGGTGAGGAAAATTAAGTCCAGTCCATCATAGATTTTTAAATAAAGTTCAACCCAAGAAATAAAAATAAATAAATTCAATAATAAAAAATGGTTGGTGCCTTCTGCACCACTAATAAATACTTGAAGGGCGAAGGCCAACAAGACTTTCTTTACATGAACCTTAAAAAAAAAATGGTGACTAGAGTGAAAAATATTTCGTTCAGGTGCATCCCAAAAATGGAGGCAAGCCCTGCCCAAAAAGGCTGCTGAAGAGGAGAAAGTGCAAAGAACGCTCATGTGGTAAGCTATTTTTAAATTTTTAATTTACTCAACATTTTTTATTATCTGTTTGCAAGTGCATATTTTATTTAATATCCTTATGCAAATTTTCTTTCAGCTTCCTACAAAGATTGCATTTAAATTTTGTTTAAAAATAATTTTAGTTATTAGCAAATATATTAATTACTTTTAAATTTACGCAAGAAAAAAAGCAATTGTTGACATTTAAGTTAAATTTTTTTAAGATGGCAGCGATGATGACCACCCAGATGACACCCTTCCCACCTGGGGTGAAGCTTTGATCAGACCGAAAGAAGGTAAATTGTGAATAAAAAATATCCTCAGTGATAATTTGCGCTTAAAATATTGTTTAGGCGGCTTGAAGGGAGGAGGCGATTGCAAGCTTTCTCAGTGGAGCCCTTGGTCACCGTGCTCCCAGTCATGCGGAGCCAACGCTATGGAGCAGAGGACGCGAAGTGTCATTTCGCCTCCTTGGGGCGACGGACTGCCCTGCGGCCCGAGACTGCAGAGGCGCCCGTGCGCTCTTCTGCCATGCCCTCGCTAACCCACGGGGTCCACACCCTGACCCTGGCACACACACACAAATACTCCCTCTTTAGAGATAGTGATTTTTCGGACTTAACATTTTTCACTCTCCAGGCAAAGCATTTAACCTTTTAAGTACATCTACGGGAGGCACTAACGTTGTGTATTATTAATTATTATTAATGATGATTTGCAGTCTACCCAAATATAAATATAACTATTTTGATTTCGTAATAGAAAAAAAAAACGCTTTTTATTTTAAAAAACAGACCTTATGCTGTGTTGGTGTCCGGTGGAACGAGAATGATGTGCGGTTCTGGCTCTTCATTCACTTTTTCACTCAATGCTAAGTCATCGTCCATTTGACGGTCAAGAACAACCTCTTCTGACTCGTTTGAAGTCCCAGCCACTGTTAACTCAAGACCGTGAATGCTTTTCTTGTGCATCACCAGTGATTGAATTCTTCTGAATCCTTTCTGGCACATCTCGCAGGTAAAAGGTTTGGCCGGGTTGTGCACAGAAATGTGTTTGTTTAAAGTCGAGTACTCGGAAAAGGTTCGACCACAGTCCTAAAAACAAAATGTTAGGAGATTGAATAAAAAATTATAAAAATTTACTTTTAATGGGCACACAAGAGGTTTTTCTCCTGAGTGCGTTCGCAGGTGGTTCTTGTAATTTGGGATAGCGATAAAAGATTTTCCACAATTGTCATAAGTGCAAACGAAAGGCCTCTCTCCAGTGTGTGTTCGAAGGTGGATTTTCAAGCAGCCTGATGTTGTGAAACATTTTTCGCAACCCTCTATACTGCACTTGTATGGCTTTTCACCTGAACAAAAATTTCTTTTGCTGCAATGCTTATTATATTTCCAACAAAAATTAACTTCAATACCTCTGTGGAGTCTAGAGTGTTTGTTGAGATCACTAGTAGTTCTGAAGGCCTTTTTGCAATTTTCACACTGGTAAGGCCTTTCGTTGCTGTGGGTCCTCAGGTGTGTTTTGTAACTGTAGCTATTTGCAAAAGATTTTCCACAGCCTTCAGACGCACATTTAAAAGGTCTCTCTCCAGTATGACTTCTAATATGAACCTGGAATAAATAGTTACATTTTTTTTTCAATTATCTCTTAGCTTGCTCGAAAAGTAATTTTTGCTTTTTATAAAATAATTTAATGATTTTTTTTTTTACCAACAAGTGTCCTTTGCTACTATATTTCTTATCACAGCCTTCAAAAGTGCAAGGGTATGATTTAGACTTAGGGACACACGTAGAAACATCTCCGACATTCAAGTGTGAAGTGGATTCTTCTGTGTTCAGCTCATTGACGAACTCGTTTTCAGCTGGGAAAATTTCATCTGTTTTCAGATTGATGCTGGAAGTATCAATTTCATAGACGACACAGTCACACCTTTTTGTTCCATCTTGCTCGGTGGATTCTACATCGATAAATTTATGTACAATAAAAAATAGAATCGTTACGATTTTGCATAGCAGAACCTATTATAAATTTGATACATACCACGAAGGATAACAGTAGCACTACCATTCTGGGTAGAAACAAGAATCGGCGTAGCAAATGCCATTACAGTCAAAAGTTTTTTTTTTGTAAAAAGAATAGATAATCAAAAAAAAATTCTTCTCTTTATCCAGGATTTTTCAGGTGTCAGGTAAGTGAAGTGTGGCCTAAACCAGTCACCAATCCTCTAGAGGAGAGGGCTGCAACGCTGCAACCAGGAACCAGGTTCAGATTGCAAGTTGCAACCTTGCCAGCTCTCAAATCTCAAATTATGCTGTTTTGGTACTTTTGGTTTAGTTGTTGTTGTGTGTATTTTTTGGCTTTGGTGGTTTATGTACATATGTACATACTTTGTTTTTATTTTGTTGCGCCCAGATGCCTTGCCCAGATGTTTCCCCCTCTCCATGTGTTGATCGTTGAGCCTTGAGCCCCCTTGGAAATTTTGGCGCGTCGAACCGGCTGATGGCTGATTGCTGCAAACGAATTCCTCTGACTTTAATTTCCAATTTGTGTTTGAATTAGGTTCTTATTTTGAAAATCATAGGCGTATAATAAAATTTGAAGAGCCTGTTTATTCTATTTTCCATTAATTTTAGTCGGTGCGGTTCCAAAAGCAGGTAAAATCGTCCTTCAAAAGTGGCTCCGTTACCATTATTGTTTGTTAAGCAGTTTGGTGCAACATTCGTTTGTGGATTTGCACAGATTTTTGCACTTTCACATCAGATTTGTGCGTTTATATTTTAAATTCATGCGCAGATAAGAAAATAGATGAAAGATTTTTCATGTCTCGCAACATGTGACCTTAAAATATGATTGATATTTTGAAACATATTGATTTTTTTTCAGGAAACATGAATTTGGCTGACCCAGTCGTTGAGAGGCAGTTGCAAGGGCACAAGTCCAAGATCACCTGCATCACCTTCAACCCTCGATACCCAGCAATTGCTTCAGGAGACTTGGGAAACAACATCATTGTTTGGAATCCCAAGAAATGGGGCAACTCTTTAAAGTAAAGAATTTTTAAATTTTATTTTAAATCATAAGCTGCTTTTAATTGTGACAAATATGAACAATTTAACCATTTAATTTTTTTCTAGGTTTGAGGGTCACAAAGGGTGCATCAATGACCTCCACTTTTCTCCAACTGCCAACTTGCTGGCGTCTGCTTCCTCAGACCGCTTGGTTCGACTCTGGGTGCCTACCTACAGTGGCGGGTTTTCCGAGTTCATGGCCCATTCGTCTGGGGTTCGCTCTGTCCAATTTTCCCCTGACGGAGAGTACCTTGTGACTGCCTCTGAAGACAAGTCTGTCAAACTGTGGCACACAGATGGTAAAAGACGTTTCATTTCTTCCATGACTCATCACACAAACTGGGTGCGCTGTGCCCGATTCTCATCCAATGGACTTCTCATCGGATCTTGCTCTGATGATAGCTCAGCCATTATTTGGGACTTCAGGTATCTTTACAAAAAATAAGTTTTAATTACGTGTACTTTAATTTAAATATAATTATTTTAGGGACGAGAATAAGGCTGTGGAAATTGTTCAGGGCATGGACTCTGCCCCTCACCACCTTGCCTTCAGTCCTGTACATGAGACGACCTTTGCCCTTGCCTATCCCACAGGACATGTTCGAGTGTTTGATATTAGAATGCCTCAGCAACTGCTCCAGAGTTACAAAGCCCATGACAAGGCTGTCCATCAAATATCATTCCATCCCTCGGGCAACTTCATCCTTTCGGCCCACGATGACGGACAAATCAAAGTAAATTCTTTTCATCATTTTTAAAATATCTTGATTAATTTATGCAATTATGTAGATGCTGGATTTGCTCGAAGGCCGACCGATCTACACTATGTCCCTTCACAAAGGAGCTGCTACCTGTGTTGCTTTTTCCCCAAGTGGAAAATTGTTTGCCTCGGCTGGAGCTGACAGACAAGTTGTGATTTGGAAGGTTGGCAACGAAAGCAAGCCTACCGCCAATCCCTTGGCCAGTGGAAATGGTTGGCAGAGAAACACAAACAGAAGTGGCAGTAGCAAGGTAAAACTGCAAACATAATAAAATGTAGGTGTACATTTGTATTATTTAGCCTGGAACTGCTCGCCCAAGTGGTGACAAAAAGGGAGCAAGTTCCCCAGACTTGAACAGAATGAAAGAGCTTGAGGCACGTGTGCAGAAATTGGAGCTCATGTTGCAAGTTTCACCAAGGGGCACCATTGGTGATGAAAACTTCAACCCATTGAGCCCAGACAACTTGGAGAAAAGAGTCATGTGTCTTGAAGAGAGACTGAGCTTTGATGATTCCATCGAGATCAGCCACGTCTAGTTGATTATTCTTAGTGCATTTTTTATCATTGGCTGACGACTTTTACAGTTGTAAAAATTCCTATTCCAAACGAGATGACACCTTCACACTTCAGAGATCTGCCCTTGCAAAGTATTTTTTCATAATTTTTATTATAATCCTTGATCTCTTTACCGGATGCATTTACTAGATTTAAAGAGGTCCGCAAGGTTTTGAGATTTCTTCATTAATTACGTTTGTATCTTCCTCTCAAATAAATAATTTAAACAATCTATTTTTATCTAAAAAAAATATCGTTAATCACTAAATTCTTAGCTTCGTTTCTCCCCCGCCTTAACATAATGATTCTATAAGAAAAGTATTGTAGATTAAATTGTAAAAAGAATTAATCTTAACTATTAAATTGTACAAAATGATTAGAACATTTAATTTATTTGTTAACATTCAGCGCAATATGCAACAAGTGAGGATATAATATTAAATATACAAATTTAATGCAGGAATACCTGCCTCTGGTTCCAAGGAGGCTTGCTATTCAGATGATCCATGTATAACCAAAACAAGAAGTGAGCAAAATTCAAACGTCTGACTCGACAAAGATAAAAGACCGGTGAATTTTTTGAGCTCAATTTTTTGTTTTCGACCATTTGCTTAAAAGCACGGCTTATTTGGTACAAAAAACCACAAAAAACGATTATCTAATCAAGGATTAAACCAATTTTGATGCCACTATGGCTAAAGAAGAATGCAGTTTTGGCAAGAAGTGCTACAGACTGAACCCCATTCATTTCAGAGAATATTCTCACGCCCACTGTAAGATTAAATAATTTTCTTTGAATTTATGCTTTGCTTAACAATATCATTCTCTTTTATATAGTGGAAAGTATAATATCTCAGCAAGGGCTAACAAAAACGGAGGACAAATTTGAGCTTCCGAGCAGCTTCAAAACTGACCTTCCCCAAGATGTCATCAAACAACAAGTTGGTGTCATACTTTCCATGAAGAAACACAAGGAAATGTCTAAAGACTTCAAAGGTTACACTTTTGATATTATTATAAATTAAATAATAAACTTTGGCATGATAATTCCCTCTAGCCCAAAAAGATCAACCAGCCTCATCCAGCTCTGCAGGGCCAAGCAACTCTAATTCAACTAACACAAGACATGGAAAGGAGGAAAGCAGCGTTTTATCAAAGTGGGAGGCAGCTGCTCCTTTCCATTTATTCATGACTGTTGTCCCTAACATACCCCAGACATTAGAGGAAGGTTTGAGCATAAGTTTGTCAGGTACAAAAAAATAATAATCCTCTCTCAGGACAAGTTACACAATAATACACATATACATAATTTATTAACAGATTTGTACCACCCGAGTTTTGGTGACATTGATGAATCTCTGCAAATCAACTTTATGGTTGATGTAAATTTCCTATTGAAAAATTTGGCTGCAGCTAATTGTGTGTGAGTGCTAAAGAAGAATGGGAAAGGATTTTATTTCAATAATTATTTTCCAGAGGTAAACCCATGCTCATCCTTTATGAAACAAGCAATTTTGAGGAAGTTAAAAACCAGACAAGGGAAATAAAAGCCCTATGCGTGAAACCAAAATCTATGTTTGGGCATCACCACACGTAATTAATTTACTTTTTAAGTATTATTAAAATATTTTCAGGTTTGTTTTTTTAGAAAAATGTCAATAATACTTTACAAAGACAAGAGTATCCGAGTTGTAGTGTCAACTGCTAATTTAATAGAAGAAGACTGGAATGATTACTCACAAGGGTGAGATATAAAATACTAAGAATTGATATGAGGTTTAAAAATTCCATTTTGATAACAGAGTTTGGATTTCACCATCCTGCCCACCAGCAGAGGATAAAACCAAAGGCGAGTCTCCGTCAGGGTTTCGATCTTCTCTGGCATCTTATCTCTCTGCTTATAAACTGAAAGACTTAGAAAAATGGATCCAACTTGTTCGAGGAGCTGATTTTTCCAACGTCAAGTACAATATAGATTTTTTGAAAATTTAAATTAGAACTGAAATTATTTTCAGGGTTTGCTTTGTTGGCTCTGTGCCTTCCACTGGTCCGCATGAGGTGAAGCAGTGGGGTCTCGGGCGCCTGAAGCACTTGCTACAAAAATATGTTCCTGCCGAATCTGCAGAAGCAAACTGGCCTCTTCTGGTGCAGTGCTCTTCCATAGGATCTCTAGGCCAAACCCCATCTGACTGGGTGGAGAGCCAGTTAAAATCAACTATGCTTGGAGCAGCCAGACAACCACATTCAAAAACACCCCTTTACCTGGTAAAATTTTTTTGCTAGAGTTAATTTTTTTTACATATTTTTATTTTAGATCTATCCGTGCTTGAAAGATGTGAAGAGCAGTTTGTCGGGAGGTGGATGCTTGCCGTACTCGTATGCTACGCACAGAAACCAAATGTGGCTGTGCGAGTTTGTCTACAAGTGGCGCGCTGACTGCAGAATGAGGGGTTTTGCCATGCCACATATCAAGACCTACAGTAGACTGTCTCCAGACTGGACGAAAGCGGCCTGGTTTCTGCTCACCAGCTCTAATCTGTCAAAAGCTGCTTGGGGACGAAGTACTCACCAGGGCCAAGGGCAAAACATTTTGTCCTATGAAGCTGGAGTTTTGTTTGTTCCTCAGTTGATGGTATATTTATTTGCCTGAAATTTTCCTATTTTTAATATTTTGTTAACAGGTTGGTAAGAAACACTTTGAAGTTTCACTAGGACCAAAACAAGAGAGCCAAAAACTGCCTTTTCCATTTGATTTGCCACCAGTGAAATATGATTCTTCCGATAAAATGTGGGTTTCTGATTACCTACAGCAGTAGATTTTAAGGAGAATGCCAAGGAAAATAGTATACAGATCTGAACCTTTAAGAACGGAACATTAATTAAGCTTTGGTTTTACTTCTTAATTTTGGTTTATTATTATTTTTTGATAGATTTTCACATTCATATTTTTTTACTTACTATATTTTATAATAATAAACTTAAAACTTAATAAATGAAATGTATTTTGTAAAAACTGAAAAAAATCTACTGAAATAAACCTTGACCAGATTTCATCAAATTTATGATTACCTGTACGTCCTCTTAATGAATAAACTTCACCAAGTTCTGTTAAAATGAATCATTCAAGTTTTTGGAATTTTGTCGATTCAGGATATTTTGCAGAAAACAATCATTCTCTGTGGAAAAATGTATTTCACTTTAATTCAGGGAGCATGCGTGGTGGGGAAAATCTACTAACATCCTGCAGTGTTGGCCTGAGTAGCTAGCGCATGCCATACAACTGCAGTCCATAGTTGGCCACCTTTGGTGCCGGTGAGCAGCAGAGAGATGTCAAAATAGACCTTTTGACCTCCCTGGGCCATTGAAAATACTATGCACCTGTGATGTAAGTAATCAGATATCCACAAAAAATTGGCACAAAGTTTTTTTCAATTATTAAAATTGGGTCATATGTATTTTATGCGTTATTTTTGTATTTTGCCAAATTTAAATTTCCAACGGGTTCAGATTTTAATATGTGTATTAGATTTTATATGAAATTTATTTACATAATATATGTTAAAAGAAAAACTATTTTCGCGTCATATTATGCAAAGCGCTCGACCTCTGGGAAGGCCTACAAATATCGATCTGACTCTCGGTGCAATCACTGCTTTTAATTTGATGGGTTGCAACAGCCGCACTTAGGGGTTGCTTGCTTAGTGAAGTCACGGACACTCATTATTGCTCTCGGCGCAAACTGCCGGCTGACACTATTTTCGTGCACCGAGTTTTGATCAATACTCCAGCCGGCGTGCGTGTCGACATTATTGTTGGCAAAAGGCAGGAAGAATTTGCACCCGAAGGGTATGCACAACACTTTAACTCTACCCTCAATGTTTCTAATTTGTTATGTAATTTTATTTTTAGTTAACCCAAAATTATATCATAGAATTTTGCAGTGTATTAATTTTAATTATTATTATTTTTTTTATTTCTTAGTGATTTTTCCATAATTATTTTAAGTTAAGGATATAATTTGTTAAGGTTAAAAACGAGAAAAATTTTAATTTCATTATTTATTAGTTTGTAGCTTTTTACATCATATTTATGTGTGTAATCATTAAATGACGCATACAATTTAATACAGAGTGTGGTACAAATTTGTAACTTCTAAATTTGACGGAACTTAAGTATTTCAAAATACAGTAAAAATTGATAAGCTGAGAGCAATTTTTGAGTGATTAGATTTTCTTCAGTTCTTCGTCGATTTCAGGAATGATGGACTTGAACTTCTGGTACTGTTGGGCGCTCATCGAGATGCCCTTCTTTCCTGGCAGCTCCTTACCGTCCTTCTCGTAAAACTCCCTGATGTCGATGTAGACCTTGCCCTTGAACTCACGAATCTTGACGTAGCGCATCTTCTCGAGCGCCCATGTGGGTTCGTCGGCGCCTTCCACCTTGGTGGAGGACGAGGCGGCCTGCTTGTCGCCGCCGGTCTTCTGCTTCTTGCTGGGGGCTGGGTTTCTGTCCTCGGGCCCAGAGTCCGAGTCGCTGCTGTCCGACTCGAGCTTCTTGTTCTTAGGCATCGTGTCTTGTCTAGAAGCTTCGCAGATCACAATTTGGCGAGCCGGTCTAAAGTTGCAAAACAGAGATAGCGGCCTAGCGCGGATTAAGATTAAGACGGACATGCAGCAAGCGGCAAAGAGTGATCAGCGAACGGGCAGCCAACGTGAGAGAGGCGGAACGCAGTGTTGAAAAATTGGGTTGGCACTAAATAGGCGCGTATTCACGCGTACTCACGTCAACTTTCATAGAAAATCTTTGCAATTTTATTCTTCGGAAACTGAATATAAAATACTGTAAAATACCAACTTGAATCTCCAAAGTTTACCTTCAGAGTGATTTTAATGTAAAAGAACAAAGAACTCATACAATTTCAATTTAAAACCTTCAGAAGAAAAATGAAGTGGATCCACATTTGTTTGTATGTATAAAAATTAAAATGGCCTGAATTTTTTTTATTATTAATACTGTCTAAAATCTAAACTAAAATAGTTTTTTAAAGAAAAACAATTCTGCATATCAAATTCAAAACATCAATTTTTCAAAATCAAAGATTTTTAATAATTATCTATTGTGATCAAAATGCAGTTATTATCAAATATAAATATCTCAACAAAATAATTATCCGTAATCATCAACGCAAAAAACACGGGAAACGAGAAGGGTACGTGGTGACGGGCGGTGAGAAATTAAATTTAGCTAGAAACAGAGTTTTTCATAAAATAATCCCATTTTTTACCGTTGATAATTATTCTGTGGACATATTTATATTTGATAATAATTGACATTTTGGTCATATTAGATAATTAAAAATATTATATATTGCAAAAAAAAATTGATCTTCTGAACTGAATTTCATTTTTAGAATTTTCGTTTTTAAATTTTTGTCTACATTTAAATAATCAATACCGGTTTGCTATTTTTCCCCATAAAATCCAAAATACTAATTTAAATTTGGTTTGTTATAATAAAACAAACCAATTTTTTTAATTGGGAAGAACTGAAATCTCTACTTAAAAAAAACACTGTCAAATTGTCATTAAATTAAAATTAGTAACATCAAGTAATGGTCACAAATAAAAAAAATGTCAGGACGATGATTGCTGAGTGACGGTGCGAGAAATGTTTTACCTGAAGTGATTCTTGACGCACTTTTTACCACAAATTGTCACGAGAAGAAGTATTACCTGCGGGAGCGAAGCTGAATGACGTTATTTTCCTTCCTTGCTCTTCACATTCTTCATACTCTCAACAACAATGAAATATTCATTGGCGTCAGTGCGCAATTTCTAAACAAGTAAACACTTTTTTTTATTTTCGCTGCATTTTTTTTTAACATGATGCGCTAAATTTTGTCTTGCAATTATATATTTGGCATTGTTTCAAATATTTTCATATAGGAGGATAGAGTAGACATTATAGATACAGGCAGTAAAAGACGATATAAAGTATAATAGCATTAAAAATATAATGATATAACAAATAATGCAATAGATATTAATTTAAATGAAAAACACTTTAGATGAAAGCTGGATGAGAGAACTAAACTTTGCTCTAGATATTTTTAATATGTATAGTTCAAATTTTGTAATGCAAAATAATAATTTAATGCGTAACGTTAGCTGTGTAATTTACCATGTGAAAACAAATTATTTTATCAGATTATCCAACTCTTAAAAAAAATCAAATATCTCCGCAGCACAGTGACGTCATTTTGTCTAGGCAAACTATAAATATGATTAGTGGATTAGCTAAAGAAACCGATTGAGTGTTTCTCTTTTGCCTAGCGTCTTCCTTCAAAGCAGTTGGGCTAATTTGATTCAGCGTCATCAAAAGAGGATTTTCGTCATACATGCGTGCATTTATTTTCTTTGAATCGCACCACTTTTGTTTGCTCAGAATGTGGTCGTTAACTTGACACCTACGTTGCTGACATGCACATTTTAAATGGGCAAAAAACTGAAGGGGCGAGAGGGGAAGACGCGAAAATTGCCATAAGAGGAGCGCCCTTTTTTGTCGTTTTCGTCCCCGACGCTGAACAAAACCAAAATCCAATGGTGCGATGGTCTCACTTTTTCAGATTCGGCCGACTACGATGGAGGAATGTTACTACTGGTACATCATCGGCGCCCTGTTGCTGCTGCTCCTGCTCTACACCACCCTCGAACTGCACTACTTCCTCAGGACCATTATTTGCGTCGTCTGCGCCAGACTTTTCAAAAAGAGGGTGCACATTCTCGACACCACCACCGTCACAGGCAAGTTCTTTACTGGCATTGACTTAATTTAAAATTAAATAGTTTTTCAGAAATCAGAAATGTTTTCAGATTGAGATATTTTAATAATTGTTTGAAGAAAAATGAAAGAAAAAATATTGAGGAAAAAATATATTACATAATTCCTTGATAAGTATTTGCAGCATATATTTTGGTAAAAGAAAAATAGAAATACATATTATAGCTGAAAATGTTTTGCATTAAAATGGTAGTACTTAAAAATTAATCATAAAATTAAATTAATAGTTGGATCTCTGAAGAATGAAAATTAGTTTATATAATTATGCATTAGGCATGAAAAGAAAATATTATACTACAATAAATCCACAATTAAGAAATTGTAATCCATAGCAAGTGTATTATTGTCACTGCCCTTAAAAACAAGATATTAGAATTCACACTTCGCAAATTAGAGCGCATTGCAAAAATTCACTTTGAGCGCGAACGAAAATTTTTGGATAACTTAAGGACTCCTTAAATGCACGCGGTTTCAACAATTGAGTATCTAATCTTTCCGTCATTACAGCTGTCAGTATGGTTGGTGTATGTAATCATCGTGATGTACATTATTATGACATGACCGTTTATTCTGCGTATCATTTTTGCTTAAAAGAAGTTAATACAAAAATTGGTCTGCAGTAAAAAAAAGTGTGCAATTGCACGTCAATAAAACGACAGGCAATACAATGAAACGCATGATTCGTGCCTAATGATGCTTTAGACATCATCAAGTACCAGAGCTTCAAAGCACTTGCAATGACTCGGTGTTTTCATTATTCCCCAAGGTTGCATTAAAAAAGCTTGAAAATAATGCGTTCTACCCGAAGAACGTTTTAATGTTTTTGTGCAAAAAGCGTAGTTCACAACGTAGCTTACAAGACAATTTGCAACCTTAGCGCGCAGTGAAATTGATATCATAGTGTAAAAACGCCACTTTGCCTCAGTCGCTGCCCTTTCCGCGACTTCTAATGTGCTCCAGTATAAGTGGTTTTTCGTATTATTTCTCTCATCACTTCAATTTTCGCACATAGGAAACATAAAAATAAATTGATAATCACGAAATTTTCAAGGTTTTACCAAGAGGAATTACTTTATTTTATTGCTCTTCTGTTCACTGAGCGCTGCCCGTAATTTAATTTTAAGTAGAAAAAATAGCCAAAATACTTTTTGCAATTCTTTTTTTTTTAATAAATTAGAAGAGCGTTATCCTATGATTCCTACGAGAAGTAAAGAACAAAAACAGAGCCATACCAGATAAAAATACTATCATGATTTTTATTTTGATTATACTCTTCAGCAAGGAAATAAAATATGGAAAAGAAAAAAATAAAAGAACGTAATTTTTATATTTAATTGTTGCTTGCCGTTTTATTTTGCTGTTAGAAGATTCTGCAGTTATAGTGATGAACGTAGTTTATTATTTCCCTATTTACACGCTGCGATCTGTCTGTAGTAGAAAATGAATCTGCATCGCCTTTGAGGCATTAAAAGCGTGTGCATCAACCTTGTGTCAAACCAAAGGAAAGCCTTGGCCTATTCGCAATGCACTTCCGAGTGCAATTGTAATTGCTCGGTCTTCATAGCAACAGTAAATCAACATAAATTGGCATCGACGATCAACGTTCAAGCATCATATTATTACTTGGCTGGCAAATAACAATTATTAATATGAAGAAATCGGTTTCACTACAGGTGCGCGCAAGAAGGTTTTTGCCACTGGCCATTTCTTTTTCCAATAATATCTGTAACATGAAATCCGTTCTTGTGCGCGATGTAGCCGAAAGGAATTATTTAAGTTTTGCTTTAATAAAAATTCCGTACTTTCTTTGCGTCAACTGACAGTACATATATGCGATCGGATACGAGCTTTTGCTAGAGGCCAGACAAGCAGACGAACCAAACTGGTTTTATGTCTTATCATTGATGCTGAGTTTTATGATATATTTTATTTATTGTTTCTTTAAAATTATGTTTTTAGCTTGATTTTTTTTACTGGAGATTTTTTAAATTCACGACTTCTTGATGTTACATGGCAATAAAAGTTCTGCAATTATACGCAGATTATTTTCAATTATGCGCACTTAAAATTTTTGAGTTCCAATAGGTTTGTATTAATTAAAATCGAATTAAGCCACCTCTTGCTGCCACGTGCAAAATATCCACAATTGCAAGTAATGCACCACACGAATAGGAGATGGCAAAAATGTAAAAAAATAATCAGAGAACCTTTGCACTGACTCAAGACTTCTTCTAATTGATCTGTCAGAGGAACGTGATTTTAACTTTATGCTCGCGCAATTTTTCTGTGATTCATGATGTGTCAGTTATAAATTTTTCTTATTTTTATTTTTTTGAAAAAAAAAAAATTCAAATGTTTTTAAAAATCGTGATGAGGATAATCGCTAAGTGTAGGTTCATGCATTATATCTTCCCCCTGGAGGATATCCTTAAAATTAAATTTAAAATATGAAGTTATTATTATATTATGTTTTTTAGGAATCTGTCTTACAAATGACGTGGACACACTGCTCTTCCACATGAACAACGCCCGCTACCTAAGGGAGTTGGATTTTGCCAGAGTGGACTTCTATGAGAGGTCAGGACTCTACAGCGGAATCAAAGCCAAAGGTGGCGCCGTCGTTCAGGGTGCGTGCACCGTCAGGTACCGCCGCTTCATCAGACCATTTAGCATTTACAAGATCGAATCAAAGGTTGGTTTCAGTTTTTAAACCCCCAAAAATTTTTTTAGGCCATAATCAAAAATTTAATTACACTACACTCACTTAGATCATTTGCTGGGACGACAAGTCTGTGTTCATGGAGCATCAGTTTGTTACTCCCCGAGACAACTTCATCAACGCAATTGTCGTCTGCAGGCAGAGGATAATTGACGCTAACGCCGAGGAGGTGATGAAGGATCTTCTAAGCAAACCTCGTGGCTCCAAACCCAGCGCTGACATCACCGTTGAATCCCCGATTGAGCGGCCTGAAGTCCCTATGCACATTCAGAAATGGATTGAATTTAATGACCTGTCAAGCGCGAGTCTTAGAAAAAACGACTGTTGAACTTTTTTCCTTCCAAAATTTTTAGCAATCATCCCAAGTGTTGTGATGTTGAGAGACGAATAATGAAGCAGGGCTTCAATTCACATACTCATCGATTTTTCCTTTCCTGCCTGACTTTTTAATTTGAGTTTTACTTTTTACTTGGCTTGTAAAGTTGGCTAAGCTCTCTCAGTGATTTTTTATAAGTTAAATTATTACATGATATATCGTCTACTTATAAACTTTAATCTTAAAAGCATTTTCTATCTGCAGTATTAAACACGCTTTTAGTGCAAAAATGATAAAAGCTTTGGGTGGTATGTAGTATTATGTTTTAGAATTTTTAATTAAAAAGAGCCAGTATATGTTTCTCTTGAATGCAAGTGGTTTTGTTCTAACGCGACTGAAAAACTAAACGATTTGTTCTCCTATATTTATTTTCCTGGATTCAAAGCAATTGATGAGCATATCTGCCTTAAAGAATTCCATATATTCTCTATTCCCATTTGAGAAAAGCAGGAAGAGAAAGACTTAATTGTACATGCTTATGAAAGTCTCGGTCGCACTCTAGCAATGAGAGTGTGCAACTGCGTATGCGGTGATTTCAAGGTTAAGGCTAGTTTGTAACTGTCGCGCGCGAGCGAGAATGAAAAAATCATTTATGCATCACGCACCGCACCTTTTCTTACTTCTCAGCACGGACACGCGGCGTGCTTTCTAGTAAGAGCACAAACAATAAAATGTTATTTACTGAAAGGAAACAATGCAAAAGTTTGCAAAGGTCGACTATTAATATAGTGTCCTGATCAGCAATCTTTTAGCACAAACTACTTTTGAGATTTGACTGTTCAAAGTTATTTGAAGAGCTAAACTATTTACCCTGTTGTATAGTTTGACAGAAATAAACAGAACGTTAAAATTATGACAACAAAAAGACAGGGCTTTTATTTTATTTATTTCTCTAAAATTGTATACACATGTGAGCAAGTTTATATTATATCAAACAAATTGAATTAATTATGAGGTACAAGAATTTACTTAATTAAAATTGCCTAATGCGAATCTCGTTGCTGTTGTAATTTGTCGTAAGATGCAGTAGAACTCCCCTGAGGCGACTGATTGTGAGACTTAGGCTTGCGAACTGGCTTTGTGTTGGCGCTGCAATCCAGAGCAAACTTTATCTCCTCCTTTAAAGTGTCAAGGAAGTTTGCCTGCAAAAAATTGAAAGTATTGGAGGTGACGTGATTAATTTGGATCCTCACTCTTTCCTCCACTGCCACTTTTCGAGTGTTCCACAGAAACTCAAGTACGGCAACGAAAAAGGCACCCACCATTCCTCCTATGAGTACCACAAAAACACCTCCGACATTGGCCAGTCCAAGTTCAGGGCCTGCACTGGCCACGGCCACGTTTTGCTTTAGAGGTTATTAAATAATTATTGTATTAAATATGAACCAAAATTAAATACCTGGCAGGCGCCGCCTCCGTGCATTTCTTTCCACCACTTGGTTTTGAGGCCTAAAAGCTTACCCTCCTCTTGTAATTTTAAAACAGCTCCGCTTATAGCAGTTCGGTAAGGAGAATCTGCAGTGGCATAAATATTAATATTTATTGATTTTGTGGTAAGCTATTCAAAAGGCCGCTAATTTATTGTTTTATTATTCAGAGTCAAGTTTATTGCCAAGATACTATTAATAGCGAAAACTCACTCAATGGCATGGCCACCCCATAGCCCTTGGAGTCCAGAAGGCCACCAACTTGCTGCAAGTCACAGTTCCGTTCCACCACATACTCGATGGACGTCGACTCCATGAAAAATGCGTATGTCCGCTTGCTTTTGGCTACGCGCTCCACTCCTTCCCCATTGGACGAGACAAAAACGCTTGGCTTTGTGGATTCCATGAAAGACCACATTTTTTGGTACAACGAGAAATTTGAATTCTGCAATATGCAAAAGTATGATTAAGTATTTTAATAAATGATTTTGAGCATTACAGAGAAGAACGAAAGAGTTGAGCCTCCAGACACTGCTCCATATTTGATTTTGGTCTGCTTGGCCAAGTCTTCAGCTGATTCAATTGTGGCGTCCATCCTTTCTACTGTTAAGAAAGCGGCTAAGTTGGCGGTGTAAGACGAAATCATGATCAAGGTAAAGAACCACCACATGCCAGCAACCATTCGCGTTGAAACAGCCCTATTTGAAGATTACATGCCAATTAAATAGAGTTTAAAAATGAAAAAAGTGACGAAACAAAAATAAAAAAAATTGTGGGGCTCAATTTTTTTTTTTAAATATAAAAATTCCCCAAAAAATTGCTTCAAAATTCCTTTCAAGGAAAAAATTTTTGCAAAAGAAATATATTGATAAGACACACGCTTAGAAATTTATTTATAGAGAGACGGTCCGTGGTTAATAATATGAGAGACATGTTACAATTAATATTTTGTAATGAATATTTTAAAAGATATGTACAAGAGACGGAGCATGCCACATTAGAAAGCAGAACAGTTATTTTAGAGAAGAAGCAAAGCTTTTTTGAAAATAGTTTATTATTCTATGTTCTAATGAAATATAGCAGGGTCGAATTATGTGGTTTTGATGTTCTATTATGGATTAATACATGAGAAAATGTAGCCAGATTATATACTAAAGATGGAAATAGTGAGACTTTGAAAAGCCTATGGAATTTAATAGCGGATAGAAATACGGAGTGAATTTCTACTAACAAAATTTTCAAACCAAAATTTGCGAGAATTTGGGGAAATAAATTTTAATTTTCATCTCTAAAATAATTTTGGCTCTGACAAATGTCATCAGTGCGGGCAAAGACAAAATGTTGAAAATATTGAACACAAGGACGGGGATTTGTGATATTGAAGAAATTATAATACAAGGATATATACGAATTGGCATAAAAGCAAGACATTTTGATATATCAGATACATAATTGACGATTTTATACTTGCTCTTTAATAACTCTACTCTCATCATCTGCCTGAGGGATATATAAATTCTCGCTTTGCGGTAAATTAATAGTTCTCAAATACTACTACAAAACATGATTAAAAAGCCAACTAGGTGCGCCTGCTTACTTTGGGGCAATATCTGAGCCTTGCTGCATGATTGAACCACAATTATGCCAAATCAGGTTACATAGAGTGAGGTTATTTTCCAGTTCTTCGGGTTCATTGTTGCAAGGGTGAGGACTGGTCCATTCATAAGGGGTAATTCTGCAATGCAAGTCAAATGCGTCCCAACGAGAGTTGAATATACAGTTAAATTTTGCCCATCCATATCCTGATTCCAAATATACAAATTCAACTTGAAGGGAAACAAATTTTTTACATTGGCTGCATGGCAGAGACTTGATCGATCATTCTGATCCACGGTGCCTGAAAATTGTGTAAGTTTGACAGCTCTTGGGATTAGTAGAGGTGCACCAAGAGTTTCTTTTTGTGTGTGTCAAAAACATATCATCCAAATGCATAGCAAAATGCTGCGTGTGTTGCAAAGGACTCTTAATAATTATTGGTAAAATTCAGTTCAGATTGGTTTCGGTGCAAAGGGGAATCTCTTACTTGGGCAAGAAGTCGCAGCCCTGTTGCATGAGAGAACCAATAGTGAACCACAATGAGTTGGGCATGTTAAACTGCGCCTCGAGCTCATCAGGCTCTGGATTGCACGGGTGCGGATTTTGCCACTCATTGGGAGCCAACCTGCGATTCAAAGTTGTATGCAAAATATTTAGCAGAAAAATATAACATTTTTCAGCCATGGCAATTAAGAAGTCCTCTGAAATGTGTTGTTGATTAGATGATTTTAGATTACCTGTTATTGTAATAAGAACATGGGCAACATTTAAAATCAGTTTCAAAAAATTATAATAAATAAAGATACATTTACTAAAAGCAAAGGGTTTTAACCAATAATTGTCATTTCACCACTGGAGACGTGTACGTCAGTTCCTTGCTAATTTCGTAATTTAAATTTACAGATAGCAGTTTGCATACTTGGAATTTTGTAAAATAAGATAAATCAAATGCATACCTGGCCAGCAAGAACAAAATAACAGAGACGCCGAGGTATGCAGTGGCCATGTACAACCAGACATCCACTGAGAGGGGAGACAAGAAGGAGAACAAGTTCGGTGGTTGCTTCACTGGTTTACTGTATAAGATGCTGATACCTGCATTATTTTCAAACATTAATTTGGTCCCCATATTGCAAATTAAAACACAACCTAGGTTCATGAACGGCATCGTAAAATCGACAGCAGTTTCCCTTTCATAAGTAATTGTCAAATCGCAAATGGCCAAGTCGGCTTTCTGTGATTAAGTAGTATTAAATGCATTGAACATTTGCAGCAAGAATAATTTTGTGCTTGCCCTTTCCAAAAGCTGTTTTACGAGACCATCCCACTTCTTGGTGTTTGGGTTGTAGCTTCCGTAGCGACCGTCGGGGACCAACTGGAATTCATATTTGAAGCCCAGGATTTGAGAAATCTCGTCAATTAGGTCAATGGAGTAGCCTTCGAATCTTTCATTGCCTGTCAGTTTGTCTGCATTTGGCCGGAACATTAAATATGGCGCACCCTGATTGGAATAGTAAAATTATTTGAGAAATGATTGAAAATTTGTCATGACTTACAATGCGCGACGAGACAATAAAAGTTTTATTCTGAAGATTTTCAATAATCAGGTTGCGGATTTCTCCATCAGACATTGTGTGATTGATTCCTATCTGAGGATCCCAAGCAGCAGTCTTCACCAAATTTCCTCTCTGCCATTCAATAAGATCCAGAGTAAAGTCTGTACGCAGGCCGACATTGTCAAACCTGACAGGTCCCGTCAGTCCTTTCGTTTCCATCTAAGCTCAATTTTGTTAATTGCACTCGTGAAGAGCCAAATTGATAACTTACAACTCTCATATAATTAATCAGGCTGTAGCCATGCGGCCAAGTTTCCTGCTTATCACAGCTTAATGGTTTGATGTTGATTCGCTGGGAGGAGGACAGGTCGTGGAGGGCGCGAGCAAACAAATGGACGGCGTCGTACATCAGCGCAACGTCCGTCTATTAAAAAGACACAAATTCATAAAGCAACCTCTTGGTCAAGAGAGTTCTCACAGTGACTTGACTAGCGGACAATGTCAAAACTCTGCCTTTTCGCATTTCACCAAATATCCAGTCCTGGACAACATTTTGCACCTCTTGACTTGTCGGATCCAAAATTCTCAGAGATGTGATGTTTGTCCTGCCATATCTAAACTCCTCCAGATCAACAGTGTGCAAGTCCTACGCAATAAAATTTATCCAAAAATTCAACATAAAATAAATAAAAGCGCACCATTGATATTATGAAGTAGCTCTGATAATCTTCCATCATTTTCACTTCTTTTGCCTGCTGCAAAATCTCCAAAATTTTGTCTGTGTCGCAGTCAAGGATTATATGGGACTCCGAAGACGCCTGGACTTGTTTCAACAAAGGCCTGCAGAGTAAATATTAATTAAAAAATTTTAAAATCAAAGATATTTTCCAATCAACCTGTAGTCGTTTCCCTCCTCTAGCTGCCTGACAGTTATTGGCGAGTCGCTCGGTCCGTGGTCTTTCAAAACCTCCTGCAGTCTGATTAAGGCTTCATTGTGTTGATAAAGGACAGTGAAGGTTTTCCAACCCATATCTCTGACAACTGCTTTCAAAGCCTAAAGTTTTAAGTTCAAAACAACCAATGCAAATTAAAAACGTGGGATACATCGGATACATAAAAAGAGAAAAAATTTTAAAATAAAAAACTTAAAAAAGACCAAAAGAAAAGTACCAGGGCAAAGATATGCGGCTCAGGATACATATTGATCTGCACACTGTTAGGAGGAAGCTCCCTTGGTTCCCAGTGTGTCTGAATGTGAGGAATTTCCTTGTTGTTGCAAATGGACTGCACCATTCCGGCAGTCGTTCGGGACTGAGGACCAAAAATCGCTGCCACACCTCGGCTTGCCAAGTTACAAACTAACAAATAAATAAAAAAAATATATAAAAAAGTAATTTAACTAACAAAATAAAATGTCCACCTTTCTGCGCCGTTTTAAAACTGTCAAGTGTCGGCACATGTTCAATTATGGGCACCAGGGTGGTTTTTGGCAGCAGAACCCTGTCCATGTTGACCCTGTCGACAGCATACCTGAACGCGATTTCCTGCAAACTGTCTTCGGGGTGGAAGAGACCGCCTGTAGGAAACTGGGTCATGAAAGAATGCGCCTCCGAAGAACTAAAAAAACCCACCGATGTGCACCAGGTCGGGGTAAAGGACGGCCCGACCAACGGCGGTGAGGCCCAAAAAGAGGCCCGCGAGCAGAAAGGCCCTGCCACTCGCCATTCTTCGGACGGTTCGGTCAAAACATCACAGAGAGACGCGCAAACAATCAGACGGAAAATGCTTCCTCTTGGCTGCGGCTCGGCCGACGGCTATTTTTAGCCCAAGAAAAAAACTTTGGCACGTTGAGGGCGAATGGGCGAGCGGTGATTCTAACGTTTTAGTTATAAATACTACGATGTCCATCTGTCGCCAACTCTTAATTTTTTTCCTTTGCTCATGCCAGTTGATATTATAGCAAAAAGAAATAATATTATATATTATTCAAAATTGATAAAAATGCAAGATTTGAATAATACGTTTTCAAAGTTTCTGTTTTAGGAACATAAAATGTTTCATTTGAACTTGCATACATAACCTTTTATTGACAGATTTTGCTAAACACACTGGCGAATTCTATGGAATTCAGGCAGACTATCGGTTTTACAAATTGTATTACATAATTGTTTGAGGGCAAATCTTCAGTCGGTCGCCTTCGATGCCACTAATTGCTCATTGATTTTGATAGAATTTATCCTGAGCATTGTCAGAGGTGCCCTATGGACTGAAATTTGAAAAGGGAAACATTTTACCAGCTGGCGTTTGTCAAAGAACAACTTACAAGTTGCATTATATTATTAAAAAAAAAAAAAAAAAAAAAAAAAATGATAGTTTAGATATTTTGGTATTTTTCCAAACAAAACGAAACAATTTAAAGGCACAATTATTCTCGATCAATAACTTCTGCTTAATACAATATAATTATTAATTATTAAAAAAAAGCGCTTCAAATATTAGATGCTAAAAAGTCAACAGGATTGAAAATTATAATTTTTTTTTTACGAAATTTAAGACTGATGTCAAATAATTTTTGGATTTTATCTATAGATCCAATCAATATCTGTCTCCCTTTCACAACTATAATTATTTGACCACAAAATATACGGAAAAAAAATAAAATGTAAGGTCTGTACTCACAATGTATCCTCCGGTAATTATGTCTCTTCCACATTTTGAAAAACGTCCTAGTATGTGACAGACTTTTTTCAACGACCGTTGCCTCGACAGTGACCAGATCTTGTGGCAAAACTGGTTTCCCGACAAGGGTGAAGTTTTGGGCACCAACAAGCATCACCTGCAACAAGAAGATAGAAAAGGGGGTTTAAATAGTACAAAGTGGGAGGAAATGACAAATTGACGTTTATTAAAAAATAAAGTTATGTTAATTCTAAATAAGATATTGGTAAATATAGTCTGTGCAGACTAAAAATAATGAGAAAAGTGATTAATGTTGTCAATTTTTTTATTACATAGAATAAAAAAAACACTATGTAGCGCAGGAAAATAACTATGCAATAAAAAGTAAATAACAATGCAAAATAAAAATTCACCAATATTAAGTTGCTTGTGAAAGTTTTAGAATTAAATTGAAAATAAACTGACCTTTTCAAGTTTGATCCGGTCGCCAACATCAGGGGGCCAGTGACCTTCGATGACCACCAAATCCTCAGCAGTGACTTTGAATTGTTTGCCACAGACATGGATTTGAGCAAAAAGCCGTCCTTCAGAATTACTTGCTAGCTCTGTATTAATCTTGCTCAAGGTTTCTGCAGATTCAGAAAATTTGTCAATCACAAAAATAAAATAATTAATGAAACAAACCATCCAGAGCTGTCCGATGGGGGTCGTCTCGCAGGACCTGCTCCTGCACCTTTGGGGATTCGCTCAAACGATCTCTCAACGAAGTGGTGTTTAGGAATCGTGCTGAGGTCAAAGGTAAAGCTGCAAATTGGCCACATTACGAGGTTATTGTCACGATAAAAGAAAAAAATGTGAATTTTACCGGTTCGCAAATGCTCAACACAGTTTGGAACGAGAACGTTCGTTCTGTTCGCGATGGTTCGGACAAAATTCATTTTATCAATAAATGACAAGTTCTAGTTGTTTAAAAAATATTTTTAACAGTTAATTATGAGTGAAAGAGTTAATAATTTTCCTTCAAAGCAGCAGCCCGAAAAATGTAAACAAGATCTTTAAAAACACATGGTTGAACTTTTTAGTTCACTGGCGCTGTAGAGATGGCGTGTGAGGAACGTCGACCAACAAAGCACGTAATGCTGGTTGCATAAGCTGCGCTTAGGAAATTATACGGCGGCGCTCCCTGCGTTCTTTTTACTTATTGGTAGAGCATTTGCAATGGATTACTTTGGATTAAAATTTAAAATTAAGGTAGCAGAGATTATGATAAAGAGAAATTATGGTAAAGAAAATGAATAGATGGGCGGGAAAAACAAGCACAGGATACCGTATAAAACAAATAAATTTAAACATAATACAATACAATGATGTACAATATTATAAAGTAAATTAACCGCGGGTCGTTCTACACGTTCCGTTTACTAGTTTGGTAATAATAAATTTATGTTTATTTGTTTAGCGGATGTTTTCTCCGGTTTTCTCTTTACGATGGAATATTGTTGTCCCGTGTAAATGTAAAATTTTATTTACAGCCAAAGTCCTTTAAATGAGAGCCATCGATGAAAAAATTTAATTGATTTAAAAATCATAGCCATTAAAATTACTGTTCAGAAGAAAATGTTTCTTTTCTTGCTTATCTCACCGGAAATATAATTAATTTTAAAATTAACTCAGAAACAAGGAAATCTTGTTTCCTTTCTATGGAATTAAATTCTACAAGCTTTAAGGCACTTATATTTCCATGTATTATTTATATAATTTAAACTTCATATAATCCTTGAATTTGTGAAGTTCTAATGAATATTTTTCTTTACATTGAAACAAAATTTTCCACAAACTAATAGAAAAATATTTGCATGAAAATTAACATATAATCAAACGCCATGAATAAAAGTTATTATAATATGAATTCCTTTTCTGGTTCGAAAAACCGTTTAACTGTTAGGTCTTTTTACACTGCTTTTTTAAAGTCACATAACGATCCTACTTTTTCTCTGCACCGTTTTTATTAAGTATATTAACAAAGTTTTCCTACCGCGAGAAACAATTTTCATAATTCTCGAAACCGAGCGAAAAAATAAATTGTGTGACGGTGGCGAAGCGCGCGAGCAAATGTATGCGTGGTGTGTGCTCGGTCCCGCGGCAGAACATTTTCTGTTTCATGCATATGCCCGAGAGCTCAAGGTCCCTTATAAGCTATTCTGAATGCGCTCCAGCTTTAGTCAGTTTCTTATCACAGTTCTGATATGAGCAGTCCTACAGCCACCACATCATCCTTGCCCATAGGTCAACAGCAGACCGACTGCAACGAATCTCGGGCACATATCGCACATCTCAGTGGTGAGTAGAAAGCGCACTTTCCTCAATTCTTCTTTCTATTTTTTAAATTAAATTACCTTTCAATATAATTTTCTAGCAAATAATTTTTATTTAATTTTATAATTGCGGTTGCCATAAGTGGGGATGAGAGCAGTTTTGAAAATGTGTGACTTTATTATTGAATAAGGAAACCGCTTACAAACTTACAACATTTTGTTTATAAGTGAAACAAATTTATTTTTCATAACTATAATAATATATGTTTTGCATTAGCCGATTGTCTACCAAAATTTGATGAAATAATTAGTTTAATAATTCTTGAGTAAAAGTAAAAATTTAATAATTGAAGTTACATTAACAATTTTAGCACGCTTTCTTAAAAAAATTAAAATTTGTGATTTTTTTCTCTCTTAAAAAGTAGCTTTTATTTCAATCCGGAAGCTTAGATTTTCCAATTGCTTCATTCTGACACTAAATACAATATTTGCGTTGTAAAAATAATTAATTTTGGCTCATTAACTAAAATCTCTATGGGAAAATCGTATAATCAAATGTCAGTCAGTTAGATTAATTTAATTGTATTTATTCTTTATCCATCTCACTTAATAATTTTTGTGTAATTTGAGTGTTGTATTATTTGTATACATGATTTAGTATTATTTGTAAGACTGTAAATAAAATCCGCTTTTCTCCCTTATCTGTTTTAATTTCATATGTTAATCTTTCAAAATGAGATGGTTTACCAACATTCTCATTAAACAAAGAGGTTGAATTTAAATTAATTAATTGAGTGTATTTTAAATCTCTGCCAAAAAATAAAATCACTTATAGTTATTCATAAATCGCACAAATCAAACAAACAAGAGATGGAAGGGAACAAGAACTTTTAATTACAAGAAAATTAAAAACAATAATATTAAACTAAAATATTAGCTTCACCTCTCTTAATCATGGAGCATTACAATGAATTAAAATCAACTTAAATATGTAATGCAATTTTTGTGCACTAATGAAAATTAAAAAAATTTGGATTGCCAGAATGAATACAAGGAGCTTCATTCATCTCGCCAAAATTCATTAACATAAACATTTTAATTAAATAGCACACTATCTAATCATTAAAAATTCCCTCACTCTCTTTCTCAAATGGAGGGTTTGCAGATAATAAGCGCAGAGTGAGAAGAATGGAGATAACTAACCGCTTAATAGATACGCAAGTCGTAAAATTGTATTCATCCCTGGCGATGCTTTTTACTCACCAAGCATAAATTTGGACTGGCTCTTGCCAGATCGACTTTTGACCGCAAAAAGAAGCGCTCTGATTTATTTTCTCTTGGAGCTCAACATCGATTAATTTCTGTCCGTTGGTGCTTAAATGTGATTTTGAGAAAGAGAAAAAAGAGACGCGCCGCACAGCAGTCGCATATGCTTATCTTGTCTTGTGATCGTTTTGTATATGGCATATATGCGTGACCCCCGACCTTCGATGACGAAATAACCTCTGCCCTTGCGCTGCCGCCCCTAATATATATTCTGGGGTTTCGCTCTACTCAAACAGCAAATAGCGTTCCTCACTTCCCCGATACAATATAAACTTAAATACTCACCATCAGCAGATTTGTTTAACCTAAAAGTTGAGTGACGCGTCAGCTCGCTATGCTGCATCAATAATATTTAACTTGTTGATTTGTTTCTGTGTGAAATGATCTGATAATCAACATTAAAATGTGATTTTAGTAGATAATCTGGAAATTATACAACGATTTAAAACTGCTGAAAAGGTAGGAAAAAAATTAAGAAGTGTAAATCAACCTTGTCAAAAAGTTTAAAATTGACTTGTATTGAAGTTTTTTTTTTTAACTCAAGAATCTTTAAAAAGTATCAATATTTAGTTAAAAACTACCAACTACCGTTTGGTCTTTAATTGGTTGTGTTTCCTCTTTCCAATAAATGTATAAAATTAGTTAAGTAAAATAATTTCATATGCCAACAAAAATTTGAATGTAAATAAGTGTAAAGACAGACAGTTCATTTTTACATTTTATAACACGATCCAAAATAGCTTGTTTGAAACTTCCGATAGCATCAAATCACTTGCCACAATCAAGATACTAAAATAAATAAATATAATGGTAATGGTATAAAATGAAAATAACTCAGTATTTATCAAAAAAATTTATCCGTCAAAAAACACAAGCTAAACTTGTTTGTTATAAAAAAAATATAAAAGATTTAAAATTTTAAATATATTATCTGAAAACAAAATACACTTTAACTCTTTCCATTGGGATTGGTATAAGTATATGATTTTGCTGACGCATTTATCTGAATCTTTAAAAATGCTTCATTTTATATTTGCAAATCTGACTATCAATAAGGTTTGCAAATAAGAACATTTTAGGCCACGAGCGGAGAATCAAAAACTCGGTTTGAACTTTGAGAGTGCAGCAACAGTATATTATTGTATAATAACCCCTACGTGCCAAAGTGATCCAAAGAGCTGCAGCGATTCGCTGCTTGGCGGCACGTTTTTCTTGATTGTCTTCTTGCGATGACTTCACGGTGCTTGTGTGCTTCTTTTCTAAACAAAAGCATACTGCTCATTTATTCACAACAAAAGGCTTTAACCCGAACTAAAAGTTGCAATTATTGTTTGTCTCATTTTTACTGCAGTTTGAAATCGTCACAGATTTTGTAACCTTTAGCACGCTTTGCAGTTGATATCCTCTAATAAACAAAATGTGGCTGAAAATAGAATACCGTGTACTTTTTGAGTTGGTAAAATATTTATCCAAGAGAAAAGAGAATACTTAAATACATATAATGTAATTGATATATTCAAACTAAGATAAACAATAAACAAAATATTTGGTTACTCTTAATTTTGAAACTTTGTTTTAAAGCACTTATTAATATTTTAATTCAAGAGTCATATTATAAAACCCTTTCCTCCTAATGCAAGAGCAAGTACAGCAGAAACAGCATAAAATTAGTTTGTATCCATTTTTTAATTTTACATAATTATGAAACTATAATTTAACGGAGTATATAGTTTGCTTCAAATTTTTTTAAAACTGTTTTTTCATATGAGATTAGATTTTATGAAGTTCTTTTCCTCAAAATTCACACCCCTGATATGAGAAATTGCATTTATCTGATTCTGATGTGATAAATTTGACTTTTATTTTTCTTTCACAAATCTGCGAGGCCAAGAAAGAAAGAGATAACGTTATCGAATCTAGACTTCCAAATGTGGCGCCAACAAATTGGGCATAAGGAAGAGATATTCATCTTAAGAGTGTTTGACAACAACAGAAGTTAAGCTCGGAAATACCCCTTTTATCAACAAATCACCCTGGCCACGTGTTCGGGTGTTTGCGGTCAGGAAAATAAAGAGGAAGGAAATTGGCGCCTGCATTGTCTAGGTGTGCGGGTGGCCTGCAATGGGATCAGTAGAATAATGAGTAGAAAGTGTATTTAAGCGGTCAGCTAGCGACGGAACGCACACGTCGAGGTGACGAGTGCATTTAACCCGGCCGCGCGAGTGGTATGGCTGAAACTCGCGATAAAAGCCAAGTTATCTTTCGGCCGCCGCACTGTACAAAAGACACCCCCATTTCCTTTCCACTCCAAAAGAACTTTTTATATATTCTGCTTTTCCACACAGCGAGCTGTCACGGCGCTTTTTTTCTTATCAATAATTTGTATGTGTGTGTATGTGTGAGAGCGACCGAGTATATATTATACGGTTTGTTGTATATGTGTGCACGACATTTTTCTGCCTACGTTTACAGAAACCGCGCGGCGCGAGGGAAATATTTTGTGTCGCGGCCCCGCGAGGTGACACACTTGCGCGGTGTCGCTTTTATTAAAATTCTCGCGCTCGACTTCTCTGCTCTCTTCTTTTTTTTTATATTCTTTATTTTCCAACGCTTGTTTCTGAAATAAACGAGTCCCCTGTGAAATCCGGGCCGCCGAGAAAATATTGCCCCGCGGAGTTTTAATAAAACCATCTTCCTGCCTAAGCTTTATCGCGCACAGAGCTCCCCCTTGTATCTAGCTGGAAAATAGCTATGCGACAGAGAGAGCAGTGTGTTTGTTCAGAGATCACATACACACAATAAATGCAGCTTTTACCCTCACCTTGTTTAACCTGCCGGAGCCTTAAACATTTGGGTCTCGCGCGCTCCGCAGCAGGAAAACGGCCTTTGTTGGGGTTGCAGGACAAGTCGCAAATAGCATGACTGAGATCGTTTTTAAACAGTACAAAGCAGTATATAGGTTAATGCAAAAATTTTGTTGAAGATAAATTATTTTTTAAATAAACGTGCTATGAAAAATTTAAAAATTTTATAACATTCAAAATAATGATACAATAATTTTTTTTTATTATTGTTTTCAATTTGTTTTGGAATAATGTAAATAATCAACGTTAAAAAAAAAATACAAACCTTGAAAATTTGTACTTGGTTACAAAAAAAATTATTCGTATATTGAACAGTTCTCCAAATATAATATTTAACAGTCACATAGGATGTTTAAGTTGAAAATAATTTTTGTATTACATTGATAAAAGAAGCACTTTGCTAGCTTGATTAATTATGCAACAAATGTTTTTATAAACAGACATTCCTAATCGTGATTTTATTTTTTAAAAGTTGCATAATTGTTGTGTAACACTGGTTTAAAATATAATGCAAAACCATTCCCAAGCTCACCCTATTTTGTAAATTCGTTTTGTGGAGTGTCTCATAAAAAACCGGACAAGGAGATTAGTCTCCCCACACACTTGTCAACCCCTAATTTTTCGCCCTCTTCAGCAGCAGGCAGTTGTGTTTTTTCTGCCTCTCCTACTGACCTCTGCCTCTTTCTCATTAACAAGCGTAGCACATTTGCTTAATCTCCGTAAACTAATTGAGTCTGCAGTGGGAGAGAGCACGTGCATTTTTTGCCATTGACGAAAAACTTAGCTTTGTACTAGTTGTACACGACATTGCGGGGAATGCGTTTCGTATGGCGTGTCAAACGCTGACGGCAATTAATCAAGAGCCGAAATTCTGAAGGGCGTAAATATGTGCGGTTGATGAGAACAAGACTTACAAAGTGGTTTTTTTCACGAGGAGGGAGAAAGCGTGGTATATAACAGAGGCAATAGTACTTCGCTTAAAATTCTCAATTGATTCAGTAGCTGATATTCCTCTATATTGCATATTATTAGCAAATTTAAATGTACCAGATATATTTTTCAATATGTAAAACATTTAAAATTGTGAATGTATTAGAAGAAGAAAAAGGGCTTGAATTTTTTTGTTTTTATATGGTCAATTTTGATAGCAAAGAGATTCACTCTGCTGGGAAATCTGATGTTTTTCTTTTTAATGGCCGTGTTGCAATAACAATTTTGGTTCTAGACGCTCTAGAGAATAAGAATAACTTATTCGAAACCAATTAGCCGCACACCAAGTGGTCGCAAAGAGCGTCGTCGATGAAGGATTTGGTTAACCGCAGTTTATTTCCTTTTCCCGCTTCAAAATTTTCGAACGGCGCAGAATATCAAAATAGGGGGGAAGAAGCTGCTTTATAATTTCTTGCTTCGTTACATTTTTTTTATATAAATCTTCTTGCATAATAATACAACAATCTCAAAAGCAAAATGCCCCCGCTGGAAAATTAACTTGCAGCTGTTGGGCGTCTATACAGTTTTAAATTATACACTTGGCATGCTTATCTAAATGAATATTCTGCGCGTAATGCGGGTCTATGCATCGCGTTTAAAAGGTAAAGAGCTTGGGAAAAATGTAAAAGACATATTAAATGCTTTTTTGATTACATTTCACTGTTTGAAAATCGACCCAAAAGAGCTTGCAGATCCACAACCCGAAAAAAAAATTCAAAAAGAATTTTTTATCAAAGTTTGCTGTCCAGACTTTTTGGAAAAGAATGTGGTTGTCTATATTTACATTTTCTACATTTATTAAAACACTTATTTTACTAAAAAAAACATTTGACTTATTAAATTTAATTAAATTAACTGAATCACTGATTTTCAATTTTTCTATAAAATTTATTTAATTTTTCATCATTTGGTATATAAATATGTATATTTGTTGTTGTAATCCTATGGCCTTTATTCCTTCAAAAAAGTAGCTCAAGCAAATATTTTGCGCATGTAAACGCAAAAGCTATATTAAGTAAACAATTTTCTTGTTTAAATATTCATATTTTCATAAACTAGTCTTTATATCCTTATTGAATTTTAAAACAGCCTAAAGTAGTAGAATTTCCCGATCGAGGGTTGATTTCATGATGATTTGAAAGTCGGATTTTCCTTGATGGGTTTTATTGATAAGTTTTGTTTTCAGAAAAGAAAATATATCCTGCTCTACTGCTCGACCTCTCTGCTGAGATAGCCCATGAATTATGGCTGCAGCTCGCAGCCACAACATGCAGAGCAGGATATTGTTTTTTGGAAACAATAATTAAATCAACTTATAAAAAACCATTAAGGAAAATCCGACTTTATGAATTCAACTCACTATACCTATATATAGTTATAAGGTATTTTTATTGAATTATAATAATCACCTACTCAATGTCACTAATCACCGTTTGTTTGCAATAAGGTGTTATTTGGCATGTTAATCATGGTGCCAACTTTTTTTTTTACTCAAAATTTTTTTGTTTGTTTGGATTCACTGCTGTCTTTTTTTATTGTCAGAAGTTTTAGCTGCTTTCCACTAATTTTTATAATACATATTGATACTCAATTTAAAAATTTTCCAAAAATTGTTGCATTAATGATGAAATAAAATACAATAATACTACTTAAAATTTGTGCAAATATAAAGAGCTTTCCAAGGCCGCAAAAATTTATAATGCTTATTTTGGTCAATTATTATTCAACATGGGTCTCTTTTTCATGGCCGTAAATATAGGCGTTCTCCGTTTTTGTGTTGGATATGTTTTTAAGCAATAATCGGCGAACAAAGTTCAAAGTCAGATAGTGATCTGGTTTTTAATTTTGCAGATGCCGATGTGGACGAGGAGCGGCAGCGTGGTCTGCAGAGGTCAGACTCGGTGTCCTCGGAGGCGGCAGCGGTGGAGGCAGCCGACGAGGACAAATTGGCGAGCGGCAGCGTGTCTCCAGAAGAGCGATGCTCGCCAATGGAGGCTTCGTCGAGTCCGGAGGCTCCGCCTTTGGCCGCATGCGCCGCAGCGAGACCGCTCGAGACTCCCGAAGGCACCAAACGCACGCAAGCCATGGTTGATGTTAGCGCGGCGGACGACGAGAGCGGCCAGCAGCACACGAGCGCCGGTGCCATCGACCAGTTCATCGAATTCAACATCGGCATGTCCGTCGACGAGTCGGCGCCGCAGCAGCCGCTGCAGCTCTACCATCACCTCCACCACCACCCTGCCGGCGGCGCCAACGTCATTCGGCGCCTCGAACGGCCCGATTCGGAGCCAGAGAGCGACGCCGACCAGCCGGACAGCAACCAGTACTTGGACCTGCGTGTCCGGTCGCTTAGCAAGTCGCCGCCCTCGGACCTGAGCAGGCTGAAGCAGGGCGCCGATCTAGTCGGCGCCACCCTCGAGGTGCCCAGCATCAAAGACGAGCCCATGACTGCAAACAGTCTGTCCGCCCTGTTCTATCCACCGTACCGCGTCGGACACCCTTCCGAGGACTTTGGACGCGTGCACTTCAAGCAGGAGGACCTGAAGGAGAACAATCACCACCAGTTGAGCGCCGTGGCGGCGTCGACCGTAGAGCAGGAGGTTTGCGAGTACCTGGACATTCGGCGCGAGGGTGGCTACTTCGTGTCCAAGCTGACCAGCCTGGCGCCGCTGACCCCGGCAAACCAGCAGCACGATGACGATTCGGCCAATGGCGAGCAGTACGCCGAGCCGCAGATGCCGGCCAGGGCGCACCAGCAGTACCAGGAGCCGGCCGGACTAGACGCGGCCGCGGCCGCCTGGTGAGCCCTTCTTTATTATCTTTTGATAGCGCGCGCTTTATCGTGGGAACTTCTATCTTTAATTATAACACCCGCGATTAGCGAAAACCACACTCCAGCGAGAGTATTTTTACGCGCTTAGGGTTTGTTTTGGTTTGGCTAGGTCATAACTGTAGTGCTGATTACGATTAAAATTTATGACGTGAAAAGTTTGATCTAGATAGTTTTTTCAGTGCTTAATACGAGCGGTCAAGGAATATCATTTGATCTGTTTTGAATATTCATAATAATTAATATAATATCAATGTTGTTTCATAAAATTAATTGAAAGTTAAATTGCTAATAATTAAATTTAACAAATTACAAATATTTTATACCAGCTTGCACTTGAGTAATTTGGTGTTCAGTGGTGTTCAGATTTAGTACAAATCTTTGTTTTGAATTAAAAAAAAAATGAGAGTTAAAATATCAATTCAATTATTTTAATCATTTACAAGCTAACAAATAAATTAGAAAATAATATAGAAATTAGTCGTTAGTCTGAAAAAAATTAAGAGACCAGTTATATTTAAAAAAGACACAAGTATTATATTGTTAATTTAACGGCGTATTGCTGATGGTATCAAAAATGCTTAACATCAATGATATTTTCAAAAGCCATAAAAAGACAAACATTTTAAAATAAATGTATGCACAAAAAAGGAAGCGCGTGCGAGCGATGGCAATAATTATTGAACTAGTTGGCACGTCAATCGGGAGCTTGTTTGGTGCTCACGATGGCGGAACGGGCCTCTTCGGCATGTGGGCTTGCTGCTGGTGGCGAACACGAAACACGCATCGTCCCAGCATGAGGGCGACAGACGCAAATTATTTTCCGTTGCCCGCTTTAGATGCGTCCTGTATTCAGAGCAATATGAAAATGCGTGTAATACTCACATCTTCAGATCTTTATGGTAACTAAGCAGAAACCAGAAGATCAAATGGACTCTGAATAGTCTTGAATATACGGAATATATCATGAATTTAAAAATTAGCAAAAATTATTAATCAAATACAATTCTGCACAAGGGAGTTTTAATTATAAAAAAATTTATGTAAGCTTTAAATACACTATACCTTATAAAATATATTTTAATTTTTTCTTCAAATATTATAAATTTAATGCTACAACCAAAATTACAATTTGAATTAAGTTTTATAGTCCATAATCCAAAAAAATAACTTTAGTAAATTAAAAAATATTTAAAAAATTTTAAAACCTTAAATATTTACTTAAAAATATATTTAAAATTAATTAGTTATTAAAGTTTTAAACAAAAAGTAAAAACCATTTAACAAAAAAAATTGCAAATTTGAGCTCCACGCTACTGCGCACCCAGGTGTTCTTAATTTCTTAAAATTCGGACGCAAGCCTGCATCCGACTTCCACGTGCTTGTTTAGTCAACCCTTTACCCTGCTTTTACACCGACAATCCCGAATTAGTGCGAAAGCAACAGAGCGTGCCCGAAATTTCATTGAAGACGCGAGAAGAAGGCGCGCGCCTTGAGTGCTGGAAATCACACTCGCGCGGCACATTTCCTTTGACAAACAAGCCGCGACCCATTAGGAGAAGGCACGTGTCTTTTAAGGTGGTCTTCCTCTCTGCAAACACACGCGCTTTTATACTCTTCCGCTTTTTGTTCTTAAAAGAAGTAAAGCGACGAGTCGGCAAATATTTGCGGCTTTGTTGGGAGAATGACCTTACTAATTGATGCGAGCAAACAGCCGACCCGACCTCTGCCACGCTCGCGAAGTGAGCCCGCCAGCCAGGGAAAAGGGAAACAATTTCAATTTTCGCCTGGCCTGATGTAACAAATATTGCAAAAAGATGACCAATAATAAGATTTTTAAATATTAAATCAATTTTTTTGCAATAAATAATTTAGTTATTAAAATATATAATTTTAAATTTTACAGTGGAAACAGCTACGAGGAAATTCAGCGAGGCATCTTCACGAACCCCTCAGCCTACCTTCAAGATGCTGCTGCTTCCACACCGACCTCCGTTTCCCACGTTTGGCCCTCACAGCAAAGTAAATTTTATTATTTATATTTTCCACTCAAATGAAGTGTTAAAAACGCGAAAATTTTGGAAACAGTCAAACAGACGGTTGCTTGATGAAAAAATTTAATTATTTTTTTTTATGCTTCAAATTTATAAATTTTAATTATAAATGAGGTATAGCTTGTGGCTATTACTGTCTCAAAATTAATGCGGTTTTTAATCAGTTCAGTTTTCCTTCTATTTCAATCACACTTTTATTTTATCTAAATTTTCATTTTTCCTTTTTTTAATAATTACATTTTTAGCGGAAGAATTCAAAGCTTCGTTGCTTGGTGCCAATTTTGGTGGACACAGCAGCGGTTTGGGGAGCAACTCTCTGCCCCCTTTTAGTGCGTCCAGACTGCCCTACAGCTCGAGCAGCAACAACTCGATTCTGCCCCCGATCTCGCGACCAACGTACAACTCAAGCTACAACTGGCCCATCCAGCAGGCGGCCAGCGAACAATCCTCTTACGACTCGTACACGTCCAGAGGCCAACGCACGTCTGCGTCCACCACGCTCTCCTCGTCCAACTCCCTTTACCGTAAGTAGTTTTCATTGTTGGATTTTTTTAAATGTTTCTTCATTATTGATTTGGCTTACAAATGTTATTAATTTGAAATATGAGCAATTTGGTCAAACACTTTTAATTAAAAGAGTGAAGAGACTCGTCCAGCTGAGGCTGAACGGCCTCTGGACGCCAGATGCGCGCGAACCGCCGCGTTTTTGCTTAATGAGTGGATAATCAGGCTACTACAGTCAACCGCTACTATTAAGGCGCTATCACACGCTTTACTGCTGTGTTATTACAACTTTGATAAGATAGTGATTTGACAATATTCTCTACACATTCGAGTAATGAAATGCAGCACCGCGGGTATTATCTAATTCGGCGAAACATGCGCTGCATTTCATTGCGATTACTTAATTCGAACAATTTGTGGAAGTTTGCGAGTTTTTTTATTCCTATCTGAAGTTCAGCCGAGGAGGTAATTTTTTATGGCCTGTTGACGACAACATGTGAGATCTTAATTTGCTGTCAGGTCTGTGAAGGCATTAAACAAAAGGTTGATTAATTTATCTTTTAAGTTGCAAAAGGGTGTTTTTTGGGCTAAAAATTATTAATAAGATAAAATTATATAAAATTGCCTAATTTTAATTAGAAGATGTGACTTTTATAATAAAATAAATTAAAAATATATTTATTTAAAAAAAATCAAATTAACTATTTTAATAGAATCTTATTTACTTATCAACAGAAATTTAAAATAATTTTTTAATAAAAAAAAATTGAATTATTGGCCTTTACCTTGGAAAAGAAGCACAGCTAAGCTATCCCACGAGTTAATTTTAAATTTACAAAAAAATTTCTTCATAAGTTTTTTATGCCTATCAACCAAAATTGCATATTTTATTATTTTGGAACTATTTTTCAAGTGAAGGAGTCGGAGCAGCAAAAATAGCCCCAATAGTAAAAATTAATATTTTTTAAACTCAAAGTTTTGAATTTTAAAAGGCTGAAATTTTTAGTTTTAAATCCATTCACTTTGGCTTTTTTTAATTTATAAATTTTGAACAAAATATTTGTCTATAAATTTTCTCTTCAAACAATTTTTATTTTTCATTCCAATATCTTCATAATGATCAGAAATATAATATGAATCTAATTTTAAATTATTTAGCACGGTATGAATTTTATTTTTATTTTGTTCATATAAAGCTCACGAAGGAACGAAAAATTATGAGCTTGGACGCGGTTTGTGTAGGAGTTTGACACAATTTTGATAACGCGCCCCCCGAGTTAACCCAAACACGTTGGTCAACAGCGGTGCTCGCCGCGTCCGACCAGCACTCTCTCTTTTACACGGCACTCTGCGCGGGGCCGAAAAAAGCATTTAAAGCGCCACAAACTGCCACATACATACATATATGTACGCACATAAGTGTACCCACAAAACACACGCAGGCAGCCAGGGAGAGTACTTAAAAATTAATGCTCGGTAGCCAGAGAGCGGTTCGGAAAAAATAAATGTGTCTGGACTAAGTCATCATAAAGTGATGCAATAAATTGTGTGTGTGCTGCTGCTGCTGGGGCTAGACCGACTGCGCTTCATAATAATATTAGTCGTACACACATGGTTGGACCGTTTAGACAGAAATAGCTATGGAGCGACCAGAGGCGCATTATTTTCCAACTTGCGCCACTTCATTATCTTTTTTGATCCCTTTCGATTAGATGCATTATTTCTTTGAGGTTTGGCCAAATGATATTTCCTTCAGATTTATATAAGTTCATAATTATTTTTATTTCATAACAGGTCACTGTTTGCACTAAATAGTAAATATATGCATGGTTTATCATTATTTTCAACGTTACTTAATTCTAATAGCTGCTTGAGAGATTTAAGATTATCTCAGAAATAGGGAAATTCTGTGTTGCTCCTAATCAGCTCGTTTCCTGCAGGGCGCTAATTATTATTTTTTTTTTATAAAAAAAAATCACTCCAGCGGAAATTGCAGCAAAGCTTATCTTGAGAGCAAAAAATTGCCCTCAAAAAATAACAAGGAAAGAAAAGTTTGGGGAATTTTCTTAAAAGCTTTGCCGTGAGACTCGTGAAAGAACCGAAACTCAATGCCTTATTTGAAGTTTTATATTTTGGAAAATATTCCGTCTGCGGACGTGAACGCAAAAACAAATAGCCCAAAGAAAGTGTGCTAGAGGTCGGCCGCATGCAAAACGTTTTATGGAAAAGCGCTGCCTTTGCAGTCTCATCGTCGAAATTAACCTCAACAGAGAGCGAAAGAAATGCACACAATAAATTATTGTACGGCGTGTGGTTTTGACATTTTGGTCACATCAGCACTATTTCTGCCTGCCGCTCAACGGCGTTGTGTATTTCTGCACTAGGCTAAGGTCACGCTTAAAAAATAACAAAGGCGCCTTGGTTTATAAAAAATGCACAATTATTAAATTCTAACTAAAAAATTCAATTCGTTCAAGGTTCGTCAACAAAGTTTCAATGAAATAAAGTTTAAATAAATGTATAATGAATATAATTTCCGTTAATTTTAAATGGCGTCAAAGGACACTAAGCAGCCCCTCATTTCTTTTTATATTTATGCGTGCGTTTATCTCAGATTGATTTATGTCTCCACCACTATCAAAGTTTTCCATTCTGACAGTGCAGGTTGTCGCGCGCGTTTAAAGTCAAATTATCAAAGGCACCTTTGAAGAGAATAAATTATCTCAATTGTATAACCAGAACAATCAAGTTCTGATTATTATTTTTATTTCATTCTGGAATTTAAAACTTGCCTCTAAATATTTTTCAATCACTGTTTTTATTTAAATATAAAAAATTTCAAAGTTTTCCAGACCCCCACCCCAAAATGGCCAAAATTTAAAGCTTTAAATTATGTCATTTTTCCCACAGAGCGGAATTCAGGTTTTCCCTCACCTCCCAAAAAACTTCATTTTTATTTTTAGATCGTAGAGTTTCAAAAATTTAAACTGCGCTCCACTTTGTTGCATAATGGGATCACATCCATTATTTATAATATTATTTACTATATGTGCAGAAGTTCATGCAAAGTAGCAATGCGGTGGCACATATGTATGCGTGTTCAAGTACATGGTCTCTCTCGTATTATTGCTGTTATTTATCGTTATCGCTAAAGGAAGTGTGCGCCTTGCCGATAAATGCCCGAGCCGTATTTTCTCTTTCCTCTTTCCACCAGTGTCATTCCACTACGCGGCCGCTTTTTTATTTCCCTACGCGCTAATGAGCCAAGTGTTGCTGGCCGTCGCTTTGCTTTTTTTTTTAATTCCTCTGGGCTGGGGACAGTTGGAAATGGAGGCAGAAAGACCCTTCCAAGGAAAAAAACAAAACAATTATTACACCGTCCATTGTGACTTTATTACCTTTTCGTTTCCATGCAGGCGCGGGTGACACTATCAGAAATAATATATGCACTTTCGTGTTTGGCCTCCTAGCTGACGAGCAGCAGCAGACGAAAGCAATTAAATTCAAATCGACATACACAGTGACTTATTGTTCTGAAATGCTTATTACCGACGGCCCACGCTATGATGACAATTGGTTTGACTGAAGTAGAGAAAATTAAGTCTGGTTAAAATAATATTAATTTCATTTATCAAAGTTCATTAAAAAAGCATAAATTTAAATAAATAATGTTTAATTTTAATAAATATTTATAATTATTTTTTTATTTGTTTAAATTTTCATGATATTCTTTTAAATTTAATTTTTTTTTAATTTTTTAAACATATTGTCATTGTGCGATAATGCCTTATTTTTTTTAGCATTTTTCTGTAATAATATACAAGTTAAAAAATCTCTAATTAATAAATTGAGTTGATAACAAGGATACATTTATTATGGTTTCAGAAAAAGTTTCCCAGATGCCATTTGTGTCCCTTATTCTATTCATTATTAATTGCACAAGTTTTTAAAAGAAATAAATAGTTTCAAAAACTTTCACAATTTTTATTTTTAAGAAGCAAATTTGTATTACATAACAATTTTTTCCTACATTATAACTCTAAAACTCTTAAACAAAACTTTCCCATGACTGACGAAAAGTCTGAGGAGTCAAAGGTGTTATTGGCGTATTCAATTTCAATTTAACGATCTGCTTGTTTCGACGTCTGTCCAAACAAAGCCATAGCCGAACAACCGGACACTTTACGCCCAGTCGCAAATGCTGAGAAGAGAGACAGTCTCGGGTCATCAGTCAAAGTTGTTCCAGATGTTGGCTCAGGTTGGGTGTTCCGCTCTTTTGCAAGCGCAATCCGACATGACGGCACAAAGCGGTCGTGATGCAAAAACCAAACACCGCGCCGCGAGAATGCCACAAGTGCATCTCGGTGTCAGTGTGTGAAATTTTGTCCGCGGCTGCTGCAGCACAAAGTGGACTCACTGTGTAATGCTAAGCCATTGCCCCTGTGCGCGTTATTCAGAAACATGAATCGCGAATGCGTTAATGTGTTTTCATATAATACAATCATACGCAGGCATGCATTTGATTTGTACCATATATTATAATGCAAAACGCATCGTTTTCGCTCAACCCATATATTATCAAGGAAAAACTGGCATGGCGTGTAACGCAACACCCAATAAAATAAATAAATCCCAGACGTAATTCGATTTACGCCCCCTCAATGAGAAGTTTTCCTTCCGGTCTCATGGTGATGAATTGACGAGAGACGAGCTCTAGTGAAACTGAATACTTATGGCTAAATGAAGTGTACATATTTTTTTTAAGCTTGAAAAAAATAAAAAATAAATGTTATTTTAGCAGGTATGGATTATTAAATTTATCAACAATGAAGATAGATTGTTTCAAAAAATCAATTTTGTTGTAAATTTGTTAAGATGGAAAATAAAAAAACTCTTAAGATAAATTTTGCAAATAGTTGTAAACCACAGATTCAAATCTTCTAATAGCAATGGGGTAATTTTCAATCCAACGGCACATATTCAAATTTTTAATTATGTAGCAATTTTATAATTTAAAAAAATTAACTTCATGAAGTTTAATATTTTACTTGGTTTTTTTAAATATAACTTTTATAATTCAAATAAACTTTTTTTTCAAATATTTGCAATTTTTTTATTTAAATTACAATTGTTTGATTAAAAACTTGAAACTTACATCCAAAGCATACCAAGTCTTGAGATTTTTGCATATTGCTGTGAGCAAAAAATTAAAGTATAAATAAAATAAAATTATCAATGCTTTTAGGATTATAATGATTAATATAAATTACCTTATTAATATGCCTATCGAATTGCCCATAGTTAGAACCTAAATCTCCAGTTGAATTTTATTAAATATGAAATTATTGCACAATTAAATTTTGACAGGCAAGCTTTAGATTAATATTATAATATCATCACAAACCAAGAAAAAAAAAAAAATAAAATCCGTGAAAATGACGTTTTTTTTTTTTTAAATTGCAAAAATCTGACCAGATGAAAATACTATAACGTATCATCATCATTATTTATGGTTAATTTCTTAATTGGATTTCAAGTTGAGTTGACCAAATTGCGATTTGATGACATAATTCTGAATTGTTTCTTTTTTACTTTTAATTAACTTTTTACTGTAAGCCAAATCATCCTAATTGTAATTACACCCCATGCAGTTTCCCCAGCAGCAAACCTGGCCGAGTTCACTATAGTAAGTGAGAACGACTTCTCGGACGGGCGCGAGTGCGTCAACTGCGGCGCCGTTTCGACGCCGCTGTGGCGACGGGACGCCACCGGCCACTACCTGTGCAACGCGTGCGGCCTGTACCATAAGATGAACGGTATGAATCGGCCGCTGGTCAAGCAGCCGCGGCGCAACGTAAGTGGTAGCCTTAGTCTCTAATGCGCCCCACTGTAACAAAGCATTAAGACTTTGGCTGCTCGCGACCGCCGCAGCTTAATTGTTTTGGAAAACAAAAGAAACCGTGTCAAAAACGGCGGTGCTCAATGATCTCTTTATGCTTGGTTACAGTTGAGGGCTCCGATTATTCCCTGGCCTACCCCAATTACGGGATCCCACCTGCGAGATCTACTGAGAAGTCGGCAATTTCTTCCACTACTTCCAACAGGCGGTTGGTAGGTTTCAAAGCCTCCGCTTCATTCACTCTAGAGCAGAAAATCTCACCCTTGCGCACACACCTTTGTTTTTGTTATTTTTCACAAAATTTTTTATTTCATTCTTCCTCTTGTGCTGTCTCATGATTGAATTGGTGCGTGTCTCAAAATGCTTTTATATTTCGAAATTTTTATACCAGCAGTTCTTTTGTTTATTAAAAAAGCTTAAAAAAATCTTTAATTCATCTGCTGTTTGATCTTTGATCCAAGATTTTAATATGTATTGTTATAATATTTGTTGCTTTGCTTCTGAAATAACTCAAAATCCGCGTTGCATAACTCTAATTAATTAATAAAATATTCTGCCTTGAGCTTGAGACACGCAGGATTTTTTTCTGCTTGCATTCTCATCTATTTAATAACACAAATCCAGCATTAGAAACCTTCCAACCGCTCTGTAGATTGCAATTTTCACAAATTTGTACAAACTGTATTAAAGTATTTTATACATTGCTGATATTTTTATTTGAAGAAAATACTTAAAATTTTTTTGATTTCTCAATGGGATTTCGTTTCCTCCGACGATCCAATTTATTATTTTAAACTTTAACAAGGTGTTTGATGATTTGAAATTTTGAAAAAAAAAATTTAATTATTGTAAATAAATAATTTCCTTGAAGTTGATTTTTTTCAACCACACTAAATCAATTTTTTTCAGTTAAATAAGTACATTTTACTGTTTTGTTAAATTTTCTTCAAGAAATCCCGATTCATTTACCGTTTTTCTTATATACCATGGTCATTTTTGCAGTCTGCTTCACGGAGAACAGGGCTGAGTTGTTCGAATTGCCAAACGAGCAGTACATCCCTGTGGCGACGCAACACCAGCGGGGATCCCGTGTGCAATGCATGTGGTCTCTACTTCAAGCTGCACGGCGTCAACAGACCTCTAACCATGAAAAAGGACAACATTCAGGTATATAAATATCGAGGATTCTCACGCCATGGGCGGTCCGCTAATTTTCGGCTCCCGATTTCAGACCCGGAAACGCAAACCAAAGACCAGCAGCAGCACCTCCAAATCGCACCACGCAGACCAGTCCAAACTTGATGCATCCTCAGCAGGTAAGCCACTCCTAAAAATTAAAAATAACGTTACTTTTAAGTAAGAGGAAAGCAGAAGTGCACTTATGGGAGAAATTTTCCTGCTCTTAAGTAGAAAAAAATATTTTGCACAATAATTTTTTTTATTCACAAGTTGGTGAGAGCGAATTGAGCTGAAAATGAAATTTTCAGATCATAAATTGAAAAAGTTTGACATTCTTGCCGAGTATTTCAACAAATCGCCCCTGCTGAACTCTGAATTAGGCAACTATCTAAGCAGCCAAGAAGCGGCGGTTGCCTATAGCCAACTTAAATCTGGTCTGCTTACCATTTTCGCTTTTATTGTAAAAAATAAATGATATAAATTTATAAGTCTTTCCCATACTTTTGTTTTTTAAATATTTATCCCATAGAGGATTGAAAAACGATTTTGTAACCTTTGAATTTTTGCAGACTACCGCAGAAGCAGCAGCAAAGCGGTGGCGGCAGCGGCAGCGGCGTCCTCGATGCTAAGTAGCTACCCCTTGGCACCAACCGGACTCATGCACAGCTCGCAGGCCTTCAACTTGCTGAACCGGCAGTGGCCAAACGCGGCCGAATTTTCCACGTTCACCGCCATGCAGCACCAGCACTCGCCCTCCTCGGGCTACCAGCAGACGTCGCCCATCTCGCCGGCCAACTCGGACCCTCTCAGTGAGAGCGCCCACCTGCAGAAGGGCACGCCTGACGATGACCACCCTGACATGTAGCCCAGCAGCTCCTGTCAATAATAATGAGAATGCATTTGTAAATATTGGTTTGATGCTGAGAGCTGATGAATGGATAGGTCTCTGCAAAAAGAGTGATATTTTTAAGAGTTTTGAAACTTTACCCCAACATCAGTGCCTGAAATGAAAAGAAAAAAAATTGCAAACTGAGACTTATCACCTAATAATGTTACGCTGGAAGTGTTTTTCTTTCTTTCTAAAGCAAAGACAGTGAGACAGCTTTTGCTTTTTATTTAAAAAAAAAAAGAGATTCTTTAAGTTTTACTCTGTAATTTATTTTAGCTCGCAAGTGTTTGCAATTGATCTGAAGATTGTATGTGTTGATTGTTTTTGTCAAGTCTGAAAGATCTGACGTTCCACCAAATTTCCTAATGTTATCCCAAGTCAATTAGCAGAAAGTCTGAGCTTGTTGAATGCAATAATATTTGTTTGCGAGTGACAAATAATTAATTGAGTGTATAAAAAAACCGAGAACAAGAATTTTTCTGATCAAGATAAATGAATTTACTCATTTTGTTTGAATATAAATTAGAATGATATTTTGTAAAACTCGTTTACACACCTAATGTAAAAATCTCATTTGAATAAACTGCCTGTTTTTCGCAATTAGTTTGTCGCCGTTATTCCTATTTATGTAAAATATAGTTTTTCTTATATAAAAAAAGGGGATCTGATCATCAATGCGGAGATTACGAGTTTTGTTTCAAGCGGCCTGAGCAAATAATGCGCGTCGGCCCTTAGAGATAAGGAGGCTGCTTAGGTGATTGACTGACGATCATTCGCTCTACGCAGCGCCGTACTTTTGAGTCCAGGTGTACTTTTATATATTTGAAATGTTGAAATACGTGCCGTGTGATATCGCTTGATATTATTAAGTGCAGAGGAACATGAAAACGCGAAGGAGGGCATAAAGGCAGGATGGCTGCTGCATTGTGTACTCAGCAATTATCAGTCGTAACTATGGTAACGCAGCGATAAGAGGATATCTCGCGGTGACACATCTCTAAATATTACGGCCTTCCTAGCTAAGGTATAAAACACACGGCCATGAAATATCCTTTTCGTGTATCAAAAACGAAAATTATCAAATTCGGACCTTAATTGTGTCAAAGTTGAAAAATTTATCCAAAATTTATCCAGAAAAATTTTACAAAAAAACAATATTGATAATTAGAAAAAGAATAATTGCCAAGTCAGAGATTATTTTAATTAGTAGAAAATTAACAGTTAAACCCCTGGTTGAAGTTAATTAATTATTTCAAGATATAAAAAAGAGATCTCAACGCTCAAAACGTGTTATATATTTGAAATTTTAATTTAAAAAATAGGATTATAGAAAAATACATTTAAAATTCAGGTAAGATAAGGAAACAAGGATAATGAGCCGAGGAAGTCCAAATTTTTTGAAAACAACTCGTTTCGAGAAGGCGAGTGTGAACGCGTGATGAAATTGAGCCCCTCGAGGAGGAAAGAGCGAGCGCTGGTTCTGTCGCGGTGAGCATCAGCGGCGCTCCCCCGCGGCAGTCGGCTCCGGAGACAGGTAGAAAAAGCTTCTCGGCGACTCACCCGACGCTGGTCGCTGACGGGGCCCGTGTGGGACCGGTGCTGGGCCCGAATTCGGCGGTGGATAGCGGCCGTGGCGCAGAATGGCAGGTTCCCGGCGTGATTGTGTCTGATAGTTGTCGCTCGGCAGCCAAATGTTCTCTTCTTTGTACGCAGATAGCTGTGTTTGTGTCTTATCTGCTATGACCTCCTATCTTTTATCTATATACTCCTATACGCAGAGACTATATCTTATTCATAATATAGATAAATTTTACTTTTTTAAATGTGCAATTTATGATTAGGAACGCGGGTACTTTTATCGCGCGCGCGGCGCCGAGCGCTCTCCCCGCGCGCGAATTCGCCACTCGCTCTCGCCCGCCGACACGGCTTTTCGAGGATGTTATCGGACACCACCTTCTGATTATTGCTCAGCCGATTTTCGAATTTTTATTAGCCCCCGAGATTCGGTTTGATAATCACAAGATAGTCAAAAGCGGATGTTTTTCCAAAGTCATATCAGGACGCTTTGTGGAAATCTCTACAAAATAATAATGCTCCGCTCTTTCTTCGAATCTATGCTCACTATCGTTTTATTGGAATCTGATAAAAGTTTCAATTCGATCTAAAGCGAACTAGCAAATACAAGACTAAGAAACGAATTTCTTAAAAACTCATAAGAGAAAAAATTGAACAGTTTGAATTATTTAGCTTTTGATGCACCAATCAATCAATCAATCGATTGGAGGGCTGAAGTGTTTTTCTTCTTTTTTTCTTATTTGACTTTTGGGAGCAAGGTCTTGTCAAATTAGAAACCTGCGAACGTGCGTGTGTCTCATGTATTTTCAACAGCCTTTCAAGAGTGTTTCTTTATCTCTTTCTGTGTTTAGAAATCGCGATCGCCGCCGCTTATTCTGGCGATAAAATGCGCGTTGTCAATCAAGACGACACCGAACGCGACGAATTTGATTAGCCATTTTGGTTCGTGACGGAGTTGTAAAGAGTCTAGAAGTTGATTTATATCTTTTAAACGTTTTTGAGTACTCTTATCAAAACTTGCACACGTTTTCACAATCAGACAAACAGAGAATAAAATGTATATATATAATAAAAATTTACACAAAATTAGAGAGAGAAAAAACATTTCAAAGAGTAAATTCACTAAAAGTTGATCTATTTTTAATTTATTAATAATCGATTTGAATTTCATGAAAATCTTTGCACGACTCGATTAAATTTTTCTCCCGAATTCATCGCGTGATCTTTGATTATAATAATTGGTTGCAAAACGAGTGTGTATTTATTTCAGTTTGGATTAAGGGCAATTTATTAATGGAATTTATATTTTTATGGTATTCTAGAATTGCGCTAAGCAATTAATTTTTTTTAGCGAATTGTAAACTTACGAACAATATTTATTTTTGGATAGAATAAACAAGCATGATTATTTCTTTCAAAGACTTTTTGTGAACGCTTTTAGAAACCCGGTTTTTTTACGAATCAATTTTATCCTCACGTTTTTAACATCTGGGAAAACCCCAAATGCAACGTTGTCCGTTTTTCGGGGGCACAGGGATGATTGATTTTCTCTTGTGAGCATGCCTGGCGAGAGGCCCTATTTATTTTATTGGGCGTCAGAGTAGTAATGATTGGAGAGGGGTGGCCAGCGCAGGGCCGCCGCGGCAGTCGCGTCCCACAAACGCGCGAGGATGCGCGATCGTATTGATAATCACAGTCTGGTCTTGAAGATGAGAAAGTGAGGTGAGTTATTGAGAGTGCCAAGATAATGGCAGATAATGCCGATCACCAATAGTAGGTGCCACCTCACTGGATAAAGAGCCCCTCACCTAAAGTGAGTATGCAAGCGCTGTGTATATCAAATCAGGCTGTTTTCGCTGCCGAATTATCGCGATTTCTCGAGGAAATTAACAAAATAATGTGCTTTTAATCTCCATCAATGCTAATTCACATAATCAATCAGAGTTAAGTTAAAAGCTGAAATATTTTGTACTAGCTTGAAAGCAAGTGTGGAAAATTGATAAAAAGAAGGCTGGAATAATTTTATTTCTATCATCAAAGCAGAATACGCGAAGTTTTACCAAATGTTCGGATTCTCTAAAAATAAGCCAATTCTTATCAGTTCCGACCTTCTTAGACTTTTTAATCATTTTCCCGTCATAAATTCCTTATAAAGTCTAAAATTTCAAAAAGTGATTTTAACGCTTGGTAAATACTTTCATTATTTAATATTGCTTTTATTCGGTACTTTAAAATCTAAATTTTTGTTTTATTAAATTTATTAGCCACTTTATTCCTTTTCGTGTGGTTTATTGATCTCAAGAGAACTCCGTTTCCCTAAAAGTACAGCTCCTCTACACACAGACGTCGAGCAGGTTGCATAACTCTAAGTAAAAATCGCGTCTACCGACTGTTGAGACACTGAAAAACAATATTGCTGGTTCTCTTTAGAAATGCAACTATTTAATTTAATCAAATAAATCTTAAATAACACTTCATTGATTGTTCTTATGAGATATCAGAACAGAAACATTTTTTTCCATTTGGCCTGCATTATTTTCACTTGGAATGACTAATGGCAATTATCTCGGACCCGTTTTTGGCGCTAAATTTTATCAGCGAGCGGGGACGCTCATAATAGAGTGCCACGAGTTGCAATTAAACGTGATCTAATAATCTTGCACTCTCGCTTGAAAAAAAAATGATCTTTAAAAAAACCAAGAATTCCAAGTAAGGAGTGAGAAAATGCGTTTTATTGTCGCACGCTGCAGAAAATCCACGTTGCCGTGTGGCAAGCAAGTGCTCCAATAAAAGTTATTTGCTCTGGCGGAGCCTAGCTCTTCGCAAACGCGAGTGGCGAAAAATGAGGTAAAAACAACAAGGATGCGTGCGGAGCGAGGGAAAGTGGCGGACATACAAGAAAAGCAGTGCTGGCGGACGAGAGGAACTACCTGTGCACTCGTCATCTATGTGTTAGGAACACATCGTTTATTCTGTGCCGCACTTCCACATTCTCGAAATATATTGTATAACATCCGTTGAGTGAGTGAGCGCGCACTCTTTTTCTCTATTTGCCTTTTTGGGATGGTGTGACGCCCTGACGGTCGGACACACTCCTCTTGCCGCGCGTCATCAGATCGACGACGACGCTCTCTGAATGAGGCGAAAAACCACGTGCCTTAGTCTAGAGTAGTGTGTTAGGGGATTTGCAATTTTGACAAGTATTTCCTCGACTGATTTTTACCAAAATTTTCATATTTTATAATTTTAGTTTCAAAGTGGATTATTTTTTTAAAAATTTTATTTCATTTAAAAAATTTGTTTTTAGAGATTATAATTTATTTTCTTAATAATTTTTCATATTTTATTATTTTCAGATGGAGCAAATGAAGAGCCTTGAGACACCGTTTCCTCCTTCTGAGGCTGTCAAAGCCGAGGCCAACGGCCACGATTTCCCGAACACAACGGCTGAAAAGTTAGAAGGTTCACCCCACCCTGAAGCTCCGGCACCCGCGGCTTCCGAAGGGTGGGCGGAGCAACCCCCGCATGACGAGGATCAGAAGGCCATCGCCTGTCTTCTCCAAACGCCCCACACTCCTGAAGACAACAAGATCGTCTACGAGGATCACCACGTCGAGGAACAACAGGTCATCCTGACCGAAACCGAGGTCAAGGAAAAAACTCCGCCTTCGCCGCCGACGGCCGAGCTGCACACCCTGGAGGTGGCCGGAGAACTGGAGGCCGGCAACCACCAACAACAGGCCTCCCCTGAGTACCACCAGTCGCAGCAACACCGCGGGCTCAAGGTCATGCCCAACCTGCTGCCCTACGACGAACTCAAGTACCACCAGGAGGAAGCGGGTAATTATGACACGCAGCGCGTTTGTTGATTAAAAAGTTAAAAAATCAGGTCGGGGTCATTTTTTTGCAGAACTTCACCAGGCGCCGAGTCCGCACTCGGGGGCGAACATGATCAACAGCTGCAACACCTACGCCACCCTGGAGCCGGTGCACTTGCAGAACCACCCTCAGTACTCGACGTCGCCGCCCCACCAGTACCCGAGCGCCGGATTTTTCCCCAGCTACCCCAAAAGTGATTCCATCTACGTCAAGAACAACCCCACCCTCGGTTCGGCGACCGCTGGATCAAAAATTTTGCACTATGACTCGGCCCTGTCTTATGAAGATCCACAGTATGGCAATTTTAACAGGTATGATTTTTTTGTTTAAAAACAGTAATTTTAATTATATTTTAAAAAAAATAATACCACAATTGTATTTTTTTTTTTTTTACTTCGTTTTTACAATTATGTTTTATTTTTATAATTAATGTTATATTATAAAAAAATTCAATTCAATTAATAAAATAATTTTTAAATAACACCTTTGATTGTTAAAAAGATATTTTGAGCTTCTTAAATATTAAAATTTAAATCTTCCTTTGAATTGCGATTTCATAGCATTAAAAATGCAATTCAGTTTTTGGGTGAGCCACAAATGTTTTTTTCTGCTAATTATTGGAGTTTATAGATCATAAAATTAATGTTTCTTCTTTTATCTTTCATTTATTAGAAAATTTTTGCTAGCATATTTATTTTTCCGTTTTAATCTCAGAAAATATTTACATATATATAATTATGCTTTAAATTGTAAATGTGATTGTAAAAATGTGTATTAATAAACAGCAATAGAAACTATTATCATATTTACGATCCAAATTTATTTTTTGTCCCAGGACTATTGTTACCACTGAATACTATTACCCGTCGTCCAACAACCCTGGTGGGCTCATCGAGTACTCGACCACCCCAACCACGGGAGTTTACTCGCACCACCATCAGCCTCTGACGCTGCCCGTGGACACCACGGTGGAGCTGCGCTCACCCAGTGACCCCATCGCATACGGCACCCTTGGAACCCAACTTACCCCTCCCTCCTCGCACCCTCAGTCGTGGGCCCTTCAGGAAGACATCTATGATGCGAGTCAGAAGAAAAAAATTAAAATTTATAAATATCTTTATTAATTTTCTCTTTATTCTTAATAGATGCGGAGGGGAACAAGGAGTGTGTCAACTGTGGCGCGAGTAACACACCCCTTTGGCGGAGGGATGACACGGGCCACTACCTATGTAATGCGTGCGGGTTGTACACCAAAATGAACGGGATGAATCGTCCGCCGGCAAGGCAGCAGCAAAAGAAATCAGGGGTAAATGAATAACAAAAAACTTATTTATAGCTTTTTTATTCAATACTTGAACGTAATAAATTATTGAAGAAACTTCAAATATCTACATCCAGTTCTTCAAAATGATAAAATATTGGGATTCATTACAATTTTATAATTTACTGAGCAAAGAAAGCACTTTTAAGTAAGAGATCCAAAAGGGATATTGTGGCAAATTTAAAATTGAGCTTTTAATTATTTAATTTGATTGATTTTTTTTATTTATATTGCTGCCATAATTTGTGCTCCTGCGAATCAATAAATAGTGCATAGAAATATGAATAATCTTTCCTATTTATTATTTAATATTTTGTCTGTAGATTAAATCTATGCTTTTTAATAACAATATTCATTTATGATCTGTTTTAAAATTTGCATCGTTCCTAAATTGTAGCAACCATCCTCTGCGGGTCGACGCAGTGGAGTGACCTGCGCAAATTGCCAAACGACGACGACCACCCTGTGGCGGCGCAACAACAATGGCGAGCCAGTGTGCAACGCTTGCGGTCTCTACTATAAACTGCACAGCGTCAACCGACCATTGAGCATGAAAAAGGACGGTATCCAAACCCGAAAGCGCAAACCAAAGAGCCAGAGCAGTTGTTCCAACGGCACCAGCAGCCTCAAGTCAGACAGCCACCCCTGTAATTAAATTTATTTAAAAAAAAATGTAAATATGTCACGAAAATTTTTCAAATTTTGCAGATTACCAGGGAATGCAGGGATCTATGGAAGCGGCCAGCTCAAGTCGCGTCCTGATGGCCGTCGACATGCAGGACGCGCGGGAAAACGTCCACGGCCACATCAACATGTACAACGTGGTTCCCACAGGAGAGCTGGTGGACATGCAGTCGTTGCAGGGGCTGCCGAGGTCACCGTCGCAAAACCTAACCGCACCAACCTCGCCCATTCAACTACCTTCAAGTTCCATTCTTAGCAGACATATAGCAAAGTAAGTTAAAACAAACAAAATAATTATAATAAATTACTTTATTTTCATAATTTTCTTAATTTTTATTTTTAAATTAAAAATATACATTATTCATTTTATTTTTTAAATTTTAAAATTAATTGAAATATTTATTTTTTCTCTACTAAAATATTTTTAATAATTTTTTAATTGCTTTTTTACAAAAATTATTGTGATACTGTATTTTCAGAAATTTAAAATAATTTTGCTTGCCCCAAAATGAATTAAATTATTATTTTGTTCTTAAATTCATCACGTGTCTCCAATATGCTTGCATCTGAAATGTTGAAGTATTTGATAAAATTAAAAATATAAGAAACCCGTTAATGAACATCTTAATCAAATTTTATTCAATATCTTCCAGTGTTCACAGTCCGTAACAAATCGTCCTTGTAATTCATAATATTGCCATTATCTAACCAAATAATTTATTTCATTCTATTAAAATTTTACAAAATCAGTGTGTGCTACAAGAAAATTAACATTTCTGATTTATATTTTAAGATTATATTTTGCTTCGTTTACTGTACTAATGAGTGTGTTTTTGTGCACCTAGTGTGCCCCCGTTGGAGCCCATCCAGCAGCAGATGCGCCCTTGCGACGAGCCCCAGCCGGGGACGGTGGTCGCCTCCTCCGAAGAGGACCACATGAACGCCATCATGAGCGCGTTTTGCCAGCAAGGAGCCCGCAACTAAAGGAGACTTCAATACATGATTAATTCTTGCCACAACTCGGTTTTGCTCCACGAAATCATCACATTTTATTAAAAATCAACAAAATTACAATTATTCGAGTTGGAAAGAAGATGCCTGAAACGTAGGCAATTTGAATTCATCAATGCTGAGCGGAACAGCATAAATGCCAGGCAAATGCACAAAAGTTTGAATCGGAGGAGAGCTTATTATATAAATCTTGATCATGACATTTTAAGACAAAATTAAACACAGAGAGCACGGCGCTTGAGTATTACATAAACCTAATAAATTTGAGAGACTTCTACAGGGCCATCGTAAAGTTTAAGTAGTTTTCCTTAAAAATTAAGACTATGAAGAAGAAATGTGTTTTTGTTGCGTAATTTTAAAAGTATTGGTGTGCGTTTGTGTTGCATTATAGACGTTATTTTTTTACTGGTCTCGTCTGATCAGAGCCAAAGAAAAGAAGTGGGCCTGAAACTTAATTACGTAAAAGGCCACTGTCGTGTGTACAACTTAATTACGAGTAGTCATCTAGTGAAAGAACCGCAAAAGTCATTCCACCTGTGGTGGCTCTGGTTGTTGATTGTTCCATTTTTATTATAACTCTTGCCAAAAATGGTTTGCTAGTTGTTTAGTCTAAGCTTTACTTGACCAGCAGAGACGAAGTCAAATCTTAAGTGGGCCCTAAATGCCACATAAATCCTAATTATTTGATGTTTTTTTTTTATACACAATGGAGATAATTGCACAGTGATACATAAATTAAACCGGAAATCATACACACATGTACGCAATTTTTACAAATATAAAATCAGACTTGAGAGAGATGTATAATTATTATAATATATATCATCGCATATAAATAAAATAAACTCTGCTTTCGCTCACAAAACCGCACGCTTTTCTTTAACTTTCTTACTCACTATTCCGAAATAAAGTTCAGCTGTTGGCCATGACTTTGCTCATCGCCACGTTCATGGCGTAATTTTGGGTCGAGTCTAGGCCGAAGAGGTGGTGGTGAGGGTGGTGATAGGCCATTTCAGGGTGACCGCCAGGCTTGTGGTGCGACGAAAGGTCGCGTGAACTGCCGTGGCCGTAGCCAGAGTCGTGAGGCTCACTTTTGATGCTGCTGCTGCTCAGTAGGGGCTTTCCTGCAACAAGGAAGGATTTTGAAATCGTGAAATTTAATGGATGCATACAATTTATTGATACATATGTGATATTTACCAAAATTGACTATTACAATTCTTGCGAATAGATTTTATCTTCTTTTTATCAACGCAATTTAAAAATACAATTTTAATATGATTTAAGCAACTTAATAATAAAATATGTTTTTTCATTTGATAAAAATATCCAAATATCCATTTTTTATTCTAGCTGATTCTAGCCCTTCCTAATTATTTTCAGGAAATTAATTTTAATTACTAGCCAGTTGATAAAACTTGTTTTTAGATACATAATTTTTATTTTCCAATATAAAAGTGATGTATTCAATAAATCAAAAATTAAATTTAACAACTCACCAATAGGGGTTGAGGAGGACGAGGTTGACTTATCCTCGTCACGACACTTGGCCTTGTCCTGTGCAAAATGCTGCTGTCCGGCGAGGGCCGAGTTCTTTGGTTTGCGTTTGCGCGTCTGGATGCCGTCCTTGCGCATGGCCAGGGGTCGCCGAACGCCGTGCAGTTTGAAGTAGAGGCCACACGCGTTGCACACGGGCTCACCCTCGTTGTTGCGCCGCCACAGGGTGGTCGCCCTGGTGCCGCAGTTGGTGCAGCTGAGGCCGAGGCGGCGCGACGCCGTCAGCCGCTTCGACGGCTTCACCAGCGGCCGATTCATGCCGTTCATCTTGTGGTACAGGCCACACGCGTTGCACAGGTAGTGGCCGGTGCCGTCCCGGCGCCACAGCGGCGTTGAAATGGCGCCGCAGTTGACACACTCGCGCCCCTCGGCGAACGGGTAGTCCATCTGGTCGTATGAACTGACCGGGACAAAGTTGGCAGGATCGTATCGCCAGCCGGCGGCCGCGGCCGCCATCGCACTCATCACCGAAGGGGTTGGGTAGTACGGACTGGGGTAGGCGCCGCTGCTCGACTGGATCGGCGTCGACGGGCCAGAGGTCAACGACTGACACTCCTGGCCACCGGCATTCCAGCCTGTGGACATTTGAAAGTGGAAAATGTTATTTTTATTTAATTCACTTTCTATTTGATTTTTTTTCTAGTTTAAAAAAAATAATAAAAATCGCTTAACACGAAAGTATAGTTTCAGGAATTGATTATGATATCATCGATTTTATTTTAAAATTTCACGTCTTCTTATATAGCAGAAAAAAAAATCAAAGAATTGAAATTTGAAATTGAGTGTTGCTTTTGTGTTTTGTTTTACAAGCCAGTTTTTATTTAATTTCGAATATTTTTTTTTCAGAATGATTGTCATCAAATTTCATATTTACACATAAGAGTAGTATAAAATTAAAAAATTCAAATAAAATAAATTAATATTTTTCTTACACTTAAAAAGAAAAAAAACATGCTAACCTAAAAACTTAATTGTTACATGTAATTCTTAAAATAGCTTAACTTGATCAATAAAATGTTTTAAACATTAATCCTGTCCCATACATGACATAAGAATTGTATTTACAAACAATATTAAAAAAATTCGAATGAATATTTGTGAGGAGACTTACCAATTTTGTCTGCGTGCATTTGTTGAAGAGCGGTGGCCACGGTCGGCAAACACTGTTGGGGCGAGTCGGCGTTGTGGTGCTGCAGGAACGGGGTGTGGTGGTGGTGGTTTTGGGGGTAGTGGTGGTGATGGCTGGACACGCTGCTCACCGACGACCCTCCGTACCTGTCGTATAAAAAGAAAATTTATTGGGCGCGATAAGTATCTCGGAGCGCCGCCTTTGTCAATGAAAGAAGAAGCTGCCGCGCCAAATAAACACACAACGAAAAAAATAAGAAACAAAAAAGATGCCTCGGGAAGAGCACTTTTATCTTTTTGGGCCAGGTGGGTGACTCATTCAGATCCGGGATCTATCCAATTTCTCGTCTTTAATCAAAGGGAGTTGATCAGTAAATTTTAAAATTTTAGAGAAAATTATTAATAAAAGAATTAAAAAAAAGGATTATATGTTGAAAATGAATGAAAATAAATTTTAGGACGAGAGGAATTTGTTTATTTCATCAACTGGTTGAAATGATGCACGCGGAACGAGATTTATGAGGCACTCGGTTTGATGTTGGCGAAAATAAATAAATGTTGCTCGCGAATAAAGAGCAGGCGGGCGTATTTCTACGTATATATGAGAGAGCTGGAGACTGACCCGGCCACTCTGGTCGTAGGCACATACACAGGGCCCGAAGACAGGTACGACGAGTGGGTCGCGCTCGCGCTGGAAATGCTGTTGGAGCCGTACGTCGTCGGGCAACCCGCCTCGTTCGGCGACACGAACATTTTCCTCCTGCAAACCAACCAACATAAGCCGACCAGTGTTATTTTTGCTCTATTTCACGCGCAATTGCAATTGATATGTACATAAAGGCAAACCGACCGCGCCGGAGATCAATGGAAATCTCGGCCGGTTTGATTTGTTTCCCGCTTCAATAACGGGCATCGCCCACGAAGCAAATTGTGACACCCATTGAACATTTATTTAGCTGGAGCATAAATTGAAATATTTGATTTTTTGAAAAAAATCTCAATCAACAATATGTAAGAAATCAATTAAAATAAAATACATGAGTAATAAAAAAATATTAAATAAAACTGAATAAAAATCGATGATCTTAACTGTCAAAGAGAGAAAGAAAGGTAGGTAAATTGTAATATATTAGTTTTAATTAATAAGATTAAATGTAAATTGCATTTTAATATATATTATATTTCCTGTGCATTATTTTTTATAGTCATAATATTTTAATAAAAATATTAAATTTAATTTAAAATTTATTTGAATACCCTGTAAAATTATAATCATTGCTATTTTATATAACTTATGTTGCGACCTAAATATAATTTTTAATAATAGTTACAAAATTTATTTCAAGTTAAACTTGATTAAGAAGAGCAGTCAACTGCACATATTAACGTATAATGACTCACTATCATCAAATTGTTGCAGTTTATGATAATAAGAAATAATAATGTATATTATCGAGAAGGCTAAATTATGGAACATTTTATTTATTTATTTGTTGAATAAAAACAAAATCAATAAGCCAATTTAAACAATTTTTTAATTTAAATGTAAGGTTTTAGGATCACCTAGTAACACCTATGTGATTGTATATGATGAAAAATCACTTAACTTATTATATATTTTCAATTATTAAATTTTGCCAAAAATACCTTAATTTAAAAATTTCCCAAGAAAATGAAAACAGCCTTAAACGCAAAATTTAGATAAAAAAAGATCACCTTTGTTGCCAAAGTAACATAGAAGAAATAAAACTAAATTGGATTATGTTCTTATATAATTATAATTCAGGAAATAGGAAATTGAATGATAATCATCCTGATTTAGCATAAAGCATAACCAATTTTTCATAAATAATTATTCCCGTATCATCTATTTTATTTTTTATTTTTATTCATTAATTTTTTTGCTTATTTTTAAGTCAAAGCAAATTGTCCCATTAAATAAATATTTGAACAAATAAAGAAGAGTGAAAGGGCAGATGGACGCGCGCTGGAGTCGCACAGGGTATAAATTTATTGCGGCGATAAAAGCGAGTGCATTTGGGGAAAAATTAGTCTGGCCGAAACACACAAACCGGCGCTGATGCTAATCGACAGCGAAATTCAATTAAAGGAGAGCGAGTCGGGCGGAGGGACAGGTGGTCACAATTTTTCAGCCCGCGGCCGCAAATAAATTGATGTTTTGGTGAAAACAGAGAGGAGAGACCGTGAACAATTATCCGCTGCTCTTGTTCCAAAACCATTATTGTGAGATTATCAAATCAATATTTATAAAAAATGAAATTGAATAGCCCGACCGGATTTGCCGTTTTATTAAAAAATAAAAATAATAATGCACCTGCTGCTGAAAAGAGAGTCGCGCGCGTCGACAGAGTTATTTGCCGCTTATCTCTCAACTCGCGCGAGCGGCTGATATTTTTATTTATTTCTCCGCACTACCTGAATCTGACGGACGAGTCGCCGACCGGCGGATGAAAGGAACAAAAAAGTAACGCTTTTTGTGTGCGACGCCGCGAGAAAAGCGAAAAAGGTAGTACACACGAAAAACCTTTAACTGGTTGTCACCAGGCTTTTTGTGCCGCGAGAGCGATGAGGTAGCAGACCAAACTTTGAGAGGTTGACAAATTATAAAAGGATGCAGAGAGAGAGAAAAGTGACATAAATGTTATACAATATATTATATTATATTGAAGCAGATGCTTAAAAAAAAATGATAAATTTTAAACAAATTGACGTAGCAAAATTATGAGCCTAATAAAGCCTAATTGAAGCGCAATTATGTTAAAGAACATATAAACAAATATTATTGTTTACTTTCATTTCACACTGTTTAAAAATCTGTACCAAACATAACTGCAAAATGGTTTTGTTGAATTAGTGGTATTGTAAGAAACTTGATATTTTATTTGTTCATCTTAATTTTAAAATTTATATAATAAGGTATTTAAAATGTTTTACAACAAATTAATTTAATTTTTTTTTCATTTTTTCCCTAGTTTAAAACATTAAATCACATTAAATAATTTATTTTATTAAGTAAATATTAAAAATATTTGTCAAAAAAATTATTAAAAATATCACATGGATATTTAAGTATGTGACATCATTTTTTAAGAGTATTTCTCTAAGACACTGCATCCAGTGCTTGCATAAAATATATCAAATGAAGACTATAAGTTGTTAAATTTTGTTTAAGAGATAAAAAAATAAAGGTTACTAATAACTAATAATTAACAAGAACATAATTGATTGCGAAAAAGTATGATTAACAGAAACTGACATTTAAAATTAAAATAAAATTACATTAATTTGATTGTGACAATATTTGTTTTTGAAGGCCATAAGCTATAAGGCAAATTAATTTTAGAATGGGCGGTGAGACGAGCTGTTGGATCAAATCACAAATCAAAGAGGAAATTAGCGCGAGAGAGCAGAGCAAAAAGGGCGTTCGTTGGTTTTGATCGCGGGCTCAATTAGCAGATGAAAGAATCAAAGACGCGGCGCCGCGCTGTACTTTGCACAGCTCGAGAAAACGAGAGAGGACGGAAAGGTGCTGCAGAGGCGGGCATTTCAAACAAACAAACGTGAATATAAATCTAGCGGCCGGCGAGAGAAAGAAAGAGCGAATGGAATAAAATTAAATTTACAAAAAGCCAAGAGAGGAAGATCGAGGTGCGAGAGACGAGTTGCGAAATCTCAGGCCACTCTCAACCTGAGTGAGTGTTTGTCAGTCAAGTCTCTCTTCAGGTATATATTCGGAGAGAGAGAAGAATTTCGAAGGCATTTTAAGGGTTGGGACCGTCGGTGAAACATGTCTTACAAGCCCTGTCTACGAGCTTTGGCGACAAACAGTCGCCGGAATTATATTCAACTCCATCAATGAGAGAGAGCAGAGCGCGCGGCGCCTCTATTCCCTTTTTGTGCCGCGAGTATTTTTTATTTTACTCTTTTTATTTTTTCCTTATGAAAATTTCACTCTCGGGATTTTTAATTTGGTCCCGAGAGCGCAGCTTTTAGAGAGAATCAATGGAATATATAAGAAAGGAGAGCCGATCTTGTTTCCCGAACCTTTTAATAGAACACAAAAAAGGCTTTAGAGCTACATACTTATTCAATCAGACTACTTTTACGACCGCAGATGTGTATCAAAAGAGAAGCAGCGGCTCGGCGCGCCGACGAGAAGCGGCAAAGTGTAACAGCACAAAAATATTGTCCGCGTGTTTTATTTATTATTTCGGCCTGCTGCCCGCGTGCTTAATTTCTATATAAATTTGTTCCCCGCATATATGTGTGTTTATTTGTGTGCTCGTAATTTTCTACTCCGCGTGTCGGCTTCCGCGCTTCTCATAATTATAGATGACGTTTTAATTAAAAACGAGCCGATCGCTATCAGACCTGCCTATAACTTGTGTACTTTGCACTTTTTCATTCTATCCCTCATAACGCGGACGGAAATTTTGCACCGAATTGAGTTGTAGATCGGCATCTATAGGATTATAATTTTGATATTGTTCTCACTTCAAAATGAATCATTTTAAATGATCACGATCACATAACATTAACAGTGATAAAATAAGAAATAAAAAAAGTTAAATTTAATGAAATTTTGTAACTATTTTTTTAACAAAACACGTCATTTTAATCAATGCATAAAATTTTATTTTTTATAAAAAAGTTGTTTCCATAAATTAATTTTATTAAATTTCAGAGTTTCAAATTCAAAATTATTTTGCCATAACAGTTACAGGGCTTTCTTCTAATTAAAAAAAAATATATAATTAATTGATAGATGTAGAACTTGCAATCCCTGCCCCAAAATTTAAATAATAAACATTAAATGTGTTCAAAACATAAAAAGATGTTTTTTCTCATTTATTACTTGATTTGCGAAGAATAAATAGATCTTATAAATAATATTTGACACTAATTTGATTCCAAACCAATACTGATACCCAAAAAAGTCTCAACTGGTTTTAGACCGTAAAAGTGCAACAAAATATAGAAAAAAAACTTACCCCGCCTGCTGGCATTGCAGTAATCATATTTAATTAGATTTTTTTGTCGCTTTAAGTAAATTTGTTTCTTACATTTGGTCCATGTCCATAAATAGTTTTTTAGCGTTTTCCTTTCTGACATAAAAGCAGTCCTCTTTTTCAACCGCACATTAAATTTATCCTTATAGAGTGGAAATGTCTGTATATAATAGAGAAACATTGAACAAAGTGATGCGGCCTTCAAACCATTTACACACATATATGCCTATACAACTGTGACCCTGTTTGTAAGTAAGGAAAAAATCCGCAATAACATGCCAATATTGTTCGAGAAAAAAGAAAATTTATAACCAACACGCAAGGAGTAGCAGCAGGCGCGGTTGGTGCGTCTTTCTTTCTCTCTCTCTCTTTTATTTTCATCGCGCGGCGAGATATTGATTTATTGAAAGGGAACGAAAAAAGAAATAAAGTCATTGAAACAAGGAGGCAGAGGAGTGTCTTATAAGTTAAGAGATCGGCGTTAAAAGTTTGATGTCATCCACATAAGTAGCTTACCATGTTTTAGATTCTTCACATGACGCTGCGCGCCGCCGCCGCCGCCGCGACGATATATAGCGAGGAGTGGTATACCTTGGACCATTAGGCTTCCCTGAGTACACTTTTCAGATCTAGCCGTCCAATAATTTTTAAGTGTTGTTAAAAAATTCTTTATGTGCCATTGATTATATGCGCGCGCGAAAACGTGCTGAAAGCAGACGCGCTTCCACAG